TATAGTAAATACTGTACAAACGTAATGTATATTTGATTTTCATTACAGGTATACTAAATCTAGAGAATACATAATAAATATTATAAATTACTTAAATAAAAAAAATACAGATTAGATAATAAATATTAACAAAATTATATTATATTATACTTGTTTTTGTATTTTTATTTTATTTGCAGTATTAAATGTATTGATAATATCACATATCTAAAAATAAAGTAAAAGCAATAATTTGTGTAATTGTATAGAGAGATTGATAATATTGATAATATTGATAATATTGATAATATTGATAGTTTAGGTAATTTTATTGATTTGCAATAAATTGTTATATTTTGTGATATTTTTATATTGTCTTTCTTTGACATCTTTCAGCTAATATATTGTTTGACAGAAATGTCTTTGCATTTCTCCAATGCATTCATTGAATAGATGTATTGAATGTATGTATGGTTAGCATTGAAGAGCTTCACCGCAATCATTGAATGAATTTGTGGGCTCACAATCTACTCCCTAGACTCCCATTATGCCCAACATTACAAGTATTGTATTATTTTATTGTCAAATACTCCCACTAAAAACTTTGCTCTCTCTCTCTCTCTCTCTCTCTCTCGTTTTTACTTTATATTACGTATATATAGTAAATAAGCATATTTGTTGCAACTACTGGCAGGACAGACAGCGTAACAAACATCAATGATTTTTTTCTGTAGCATATATTTAATAAATATAATGAAAACAGTTAAACCATAGATATTATTGAAAACTGTCAAATGTGTGTAGTCTTCTCAATCGTGAATACATTGCTTTATGACAACAACACATGAAATAAACGTTGCATACATTAATGACTACTTTCATCAATATATGTATATACATATAGTATTAATACTACTAACTCAAACTCATCTATTTTTTGTTAGTCTATGAATTACTTCAAATGTTATATCACTTTATATATATATAACTTTATTTAGTACTTTATCCCGAGCTCAGTCATACACAATGAAAACACAAATGTTATTCAATATATATATATTATATATATAAAAGTTACAACTCATAAGCGACAAAAAAAAGACTCAAAATTTATGATTTCCTTTAAGTTTTTCTCCTATTTTGAATTGATGTTAACTGTATGTATGTATGAATGGATGAATGGCATGAAATCAGTCAGTCCTGCCATCATTTAGTTCACACTTCTCCTCTTATTTTCTGATGTGAATCACATTTTCAATTGAAACCAATAAATATATTGCAACTCTTCCTCTCAGTTATAAATTAGACGATCATATAATGTATATAAAGTACTGTACATTCAGTTTATAGCGAAATATGAATTTTATAATTTCTTATTCACTATTTTAGACTAAATTACAGTACATAAAGTTTATCGATAGTTTGTCTAATTTAATGTCATTTTTTAGAGATCTATGTATAATGAAATAAATATTGTAGATTTTTCCATAAACTATATGTTTAAAATGTTACATTTTATTTTCAGTAGTTGTTAACATTGAGTAAATTATAAACAATAAATATAAGTAAAATAATAATATTTGCTAATTATAATTAATTTTTAATGCAATTAATATTTGAATGTAATGCGATCTTTAATTATTTAATTTATTGAAATTTTAATTAATTTATGATTAACTTTTTTGAAAATATATTTAGTTATTTTTGAATTTATTTAATTTAAAGAATATTAATTATTTATTTATTATATAAAGTTTGATATTTTTACACTGATATATTTAAAATATAATTATATGTATTTTTTGCAAATATGAGATTACGACAAAAGATAATTTGTATCTAGGTAAATTAAATTTTTAATTATGTACAATATAAATATTGTTAAAACTTTTTATTTTTAATCAATTTTATGTAATTTAGAATTATTTTTTAATTAATCATTTTAAATTTTATTAGATTATTTTTTATTTATTTATTTTGTTTATATATTATAAAAATATATATGTATTTAAATATTTTAAAAGTATAATATACATAAATCTACTTTATATAAGATGATAATTACCTGAAATAGAAATTTTTGAAAATATATAAAAGTAAAGACCATTATTTAATACTTAGGATATTGTTTTGGTTATACTTTTGGCGATAACTCAGTCTTTGCTCTATGTTTTTGCTTTTGAATGTAATATATTTAATATAATATAACGCTATGACTTGTCAATGAGTTTTGATTGATGGCACTAATATTATATACATCACATACATATCACATACATATCACACACACTCTCATACAATGCAATAGAATTTTCATGTGAGACGTCTGGCCTTACTTTAAGAGTTAAAGAATATTCTTAACAGAAAAGGACTGACTCTATCACACAAATACTACAACCAAAAGAGTATATAATTTTTAGGTAAAGAATAGTTATATATATATATATTGCTTGAAATGTGATATCTTTATGATAGAAATTATGCTTTCCTTTATTGCTTTATATGCATCATCTCAAAAGGTGACATGTCTTATATGATTCAAGTTATTGCACTGTATATTAATTTATGATATATATCTATATGATATATGTTGCGTATATATATCTATATGATATATGTTGCGTATATATATATATATATATATATATATATATATATTAGTATACTCCAAGTGATGTGCCACTGGCACCTGCCATAAATGCATGTATAGTGTAAAGTCGTGTATTGCTATCGGTAACAGTTGTAATAAAGTTGCCCAAAGCAAGGGAAGGTGTAAGAGTCAGAGCACTATTATACTACTGACAGTAAGTACCAGCTGTGCTCTTAAGGTCGAAATATAAGTGCATTAAACGGCTATATTTTATCGACCCATTTAGTGAACTGCATTATACGGTATATTATATATATATGTGTGTTTATGTATATATATATATGTGTTTATATATTGTATAGTATTATTGTGTAACACATAAATTTTTGGGGAAAAAATAATATGTACTTTACTTAAATAACATACCATACCTTTTAGACAAGGTTTTAGGTTATATCCAATATTATATCAATATATTGAACACATATATGGGTGCAAATTTAATTTACGATTCGACTGAGTTTAATGTAAAACATTGCTTAATAGTATTTCTACATATTTAAAGAATTTATTTTTAAATTAAAAATAATTACACAAATTAATATTTAGTTTAATAAGTATTATAAATAGTTCACACTATTATTGTGATGATTGAAGCAAAAAGATAATGACATAATCTAAAGATGGATTTGTAGGCCATTCTTACCGTATCTAACATAACATATCACATGTCTGTGTTTTACTATTAATATAATAGCTATGGTTGTAATCAATTAAATGTATTATGAAATGTAATCCCTTAACTTATAATGAACTCATTGGACTGTATTAACTTGAAATACTGTATTTGCTTTAAATAAGATTTGTTAATAAATTTGTTTATGATTTAATTTAGTAAAAAATTAGCAGTCTTCAAATTTTTGTTATTTTATTTGGTATTTATTAAAAAAATATTGGCAACATTTTTTATTTATGCTCACAAATTATTACTTTATATATTTTTTATTTGATCATAATTCAAATATTTGATGAAAAATTTAGTTTATTTTAAATCTTTTTTTTAAAAAATCATTTGAACAGATTTTTAAATATTAACTTTTTAACAGTTGGCATAATTTCTATTATTATTATTATATCAGTTTATGATATATTTATAATAATAAATTAGAATTTTAAATTACATAAATAAAATTTACACTTATTTAAATATAGTAAATTATATTATTAAGATTTATAAAGGGAAAGGTATTGAGTATTGAATATATATTGTAGTTTATATAAAATATAGATATAAATTTATATAGTATTCAATATACTGTATATATATACCGTATATATATATATATATTTGACATAAAAACTGTGCACATGTAGTGATAAAATTTGAGAGTAACACACGTTTTATTGACATTGTTAGTTGGCGTAAAAATTTTATATTGAAAGTTATTGTTTGCCAACTTTTACGGTTATATTTGAACCCTAATTCAAGTGTAGTGTCTTTTAATATAACTGAAAGTAAAGAATGAACAGTAAAATGTCAAATAATAATAGATATGATTCTTATATATTTTATATAATATATGTTAGTGTTATATATATATATATATATATTCTTGCATTGAGTTTCAAGTTATACTCAGAATTATAACATAAGCTCAATATAACTGAAGTCATAACTCTATAAGCTTGACATTTGATGAATTGTTTTATTTATTTTTTTATCAAATAATATACATAAGAATTTCTGTGATTTTATTTGAATTGAATTATTTTTCTTATAATCATGTTTTTCATTTTTTTCATAAACAATGTTTTAATATATATATATTAAAATGAATATTTAAATGATAAGTTAAGTTTGTATGAGTTGTTGCAATTAATTAATATTAGATGAAATGTACTTAAGTTGAGGTGTTTTAAGTTGTAATCATTTTTATTAGAAATATATATCAATATATTATAAGTATATATATATATGTTATAAAGAAATCTTTTGGTATTTCTTTTTAATCATACTCTATTCTCGAGAGATACGTTTCACAACCGCATCCCTGTCCCTTAGCATTGACAACTTGGATGATAGATAACGGCGCCGGGGCCTCTGAGACAAGCCGTCCAATTTGTTGTTATACATTGCCTACACAATCGATTGCAATAGCAATTCATATATAAGATATAGAGATACACATCGAGACACTCATAGAGAATTGCATTTCTCAAACTCATAACAGCTCTCTCTCTCTCTCTCTCTCTCTCTCTCTCTCTCTCTCTCTCTCTCTCTCTCTCTCTCTTTCATACATACATTCCATTTCGATTAGCTGTCGGCCCTCATTCACATGCCTGACCTCTCAATATACACAACCGTATATAAAAGTTAACTGTAACTAAAAACAAAAGCTAATAATTGTATTGACTTTTATTTGAACCATAGATGAGACAACAGCCCCACTTAATGTTCTGCACGCACGATGTCCTCACTGCGGAAGAATATTTCGTGGCCAGAGATCAACTCTATCTCTCGAAGAACACATAAATAGTATCCATGCGGTTGTGGTTCCGTCATCCAAATCAAATATGGCTTCATCGCCATTGGCGTCACATTCTTCCGATGCAATAGTTAGTCGAACATTAACCGACAAGAAGTATGTATGTACTCAATGTAAAGCGTCTTTTACACAAAAGGATCAGTTGGACAAACATGAATTGATTCACTCATCACAGGGACAGGTAATGACAATATTTTTTGTTTTTTACTTTCACTATAATTTTCAAACCCTTTCTCTATTTACTACTCTAATAACTCTTGAATGCATTTATGATAACAATTGGTTTATTTATTCTTAAATATTTAAATAAACGAATTGCTTGTCATTTATTACTAACACTTAAAGCTTTTCTAATTGAGAGTTAAATATATATATATATATACATATATATATATATACATATATATATATATACATATATATATATACATATATATATATATATATATATATATATACATATATAATATGAGTCCCAGAAAAAGTCGGCCGATGCCGCGCCCTCACCAATGAATGCATACACGAGAGTGAGTTAAGTGTCACTCCCGTGGATTCCTTAGTTGTGATATCTGTGAAACACACAACACATACATACTGTTTGCATGTCTGCCTCTTTGCATCTCCATTTCCCTCTCTGTCTGCCAGTATTGCCAACTGTGCAATAAAAGCTTTGCCAACGTATATCGTCTACAGCGCCATATGTTAAGCCACGATGAGAGTCAAGTGCTTCGGAAATTCAAATGTCCCGAATGTTTCAAAGCATTCAAATTCAAGGTATGTTTTTATCCCTATACTCCCTGTGTGTCCCATCACAAGTAACAATGAACTGATTGTATTGCCATGAATGTAGCACCACCTCAAAGAGCACATCCGTATACATAGTGGTGAGAAGCCCTTTGCCTGTCCCAACTGTGCCAAGAGATTCTCACACTCGGGATCCTATTCCTCACACATGACAAGCAAGAAGTGCCTCGTTGTCAACTTGAAAGTCAGTTCCTTAAAAATTAGTCGAAATCTTTTTTAACTTTAGTTTTTAATGTCATTCATAGGTTAGAAAAGTGGACCAAATTCGAGGTCAACGAAACAGAAACAATCACCACTTGAACACAAATGGTAATACCGGTAACAAAGTGAACAATCTTTTGGCTAATATTTCCGACAGTCAGACCAATTTGAAACCATTATCGACAAACTATAACAAAAAAGTTCAACAATTTGACGTCTCATCCAATCGGAACTCATCAGTATTGAAATCAGAGGCCAATTTCCAGTCCATATGTGTTCCCGAAAGCACTTCTTTATTTAGTTATATACCTAATAATTACCCGCCAGGACTTCCTAATTTACATCCAATGTTATTCTCAACAGCTGCCGGTCTACCTCCGCATTACTTATCTTCGGCACTTCACAATTATCCCGAAGTGACCACTGCAATACTCAGGTCACAGATGAATAAATCAAACAAAGAATTAGATTTGATTCGTGAAAATTACTCAATTAATGATAAAATCGATAAGAATATCATAAAAAATTATGATATGGAAAAGATAATACAAATAGTGGATCCATTGACAATTTCTAAGACTGGTTCTGAGTCTGTAAACGGATCATATGGTGATACCTGTTCATCGAATCCATCCCCATTGACATTCTCGATGTCATCACTACCTCCACCACAAATCACTCCACTTGATTCACCCGATCATCTGAAGAAATGCAATTCATTGTATTGGAGATGTCATTACTGTAATGAATACTTCGATAACAAACAAGAATTACTGCAACACGAGAGCCATGTTTGCAAAAGACGGTTATTACTGAACGACATGTCATCAGTCGATATAAATTCAAATAATATTCAAAATATCGGTAATTCAAGTGCTGCTGAAAGTGATGATGAATCACAACGAGACTCATCTCTTGAAGAAGAAGTGATGACAACAGACGGTAAGAAAGTGAGAGTTCGGTCAGTTCTTGGCGAACAAACTCTAAGAATACTGAGAAAACAGTATGAATTTAATCCGAGACCCAAAAAACATGATATTTTGCGTTTGGCTCAAGAAGTCAATTACTCTCCTCGTGTGGTTCAGGTTTGGTTCCAGAATATGAGGTAATCATAATTAGTGGTTATTTTTATTGAATAATTATATTAAATAAATATACAATTACTACAATACAGAGCTCGAGATAGACGTTTAGGAAAACCAATACCATCTATGACTGCATCTAATGATATGAATTCAAACAATCAAAGAGTAATAAAATCATTTTCGCCGCCAATCCATATGACACAACATTCCGCGACCGCCAACTCAATGATGTCGATATCCATTCCTCATTATAAGCCAACATCTAATTTATCAGAAAACATGTCTTTCCCATTATATGCTTCAGATGTGAATGGTTTATCACCATATGGTCAACGAATTCATAATAATGCAGTTTATTATCTTAGTTCTCCCGATCTTTCAATAACTCCATCCATTAAATCAAATGCTAATAAATCATTTGAAAGTTGTTCCGATGGCTCTGAAGAACCTTTAGATTTGTCTATAAAAAGTAAGTCACATAACGATGACTATAATAGCAATGAGACTGAAGAAAAATACAATGAATCTGAAGCATTAAATTTAAGTAAAAAATCGTCCAGAAGTCAGACTAATGATAATTCTGACAATGAGTTATCCAATGTGTCGCTGAATCTCATTCAACAACAACAACGAAAAGAAGAATTGGAAAAGTCTTCGATTGTCCGCTCAATGCTTTTGAGTAAATGTCAAACTCAAGAATCTGATATCAATATAATCAGTGATACAGCGACTCAATCTCACCACCAGATAAAAGATCAATTGTCACCATTGGATTCTAACGATACTAAAGATACAGACCAACAACAACTTTCTTCTAAAAGGACACACTCTGACTGTGAAGATATTGAACCTAAAAGTGATTGCAATAATGCAAACGATGATAAAGTTTCAATTACTCGAAAAAATAAACAACTGACGACCACAAAGAGCTGGAAAGAAAAAGATGATAACAATGTGATTACAAATGACGATCAAAGTCCACCACCCGATCCTAATTTACAAACAGAAGGATTAGGACTCTTCATCTGTGATCAGTGCGACAAAACATTTAGTAAACAAAGCTCTTTAGCCCGACATAAGTACGAACACTCAGGTTTGTCAATAAAATTTATATTACAATTGATTTAAAATTAATTAAAATGTCATCAAAAACAGGTCAAAGACCACATAAGTGTGACGTTTGCAGTAAAGCATTCAAACACAAACATCACTTGACTGAACACAAGAGACTTCATAGCGGAGAAAAGGTATTCATTACAATACCATTGATTGTTAATAAGGGACTATTAAGACTATCTCTCTCTCTCTCTCTCTCTCTCTCTCTCTCTCTCTCTCTCTCTCAATGACATCACTAGTCTAATAGTTGTTCAATTGATTTGGATGTGTGTTTCATAACTAATTAATGTCTTTCTTTTTTTGCTATATTTGACAGCCGTTTCAATGCAAGAAATGTCTGAAAAGGTTTTCCCATTCGGGTTCATATTCTCAACATATGAACCATCGGTACTCATACTGTAAGCCATACAGAGAATGATACCTATGATGTACATCAAGTCCAGTGCCAAATGATAAGCAAACAATCTTTGAAACAATACGTCCAATAAGTTAACGCCAAAAGTGAAACATTATTTGCAAAAGTCATTCATTATATGCATCATTCAATTGGTTTTGCATTGATTTCACACAATAATCATTGCAACGATTATTCATCAATTCATTCATTTATTGCTTATTTAGTACTCATTCATCGAAACAAAAAGTTATTGTCTATTATTAATATAAAGTTATATTATATTGATGTATATGTAACTAATGGCCAAACAAAAAGTCGCAAACTCTTTGATGTGTTATATAGAAACTCATTGTTATATAAGAATTTTTTTAGTGTAAACCCATAGGTTTCAAATCAACGATAAGTATTTCTCTCTATTTTCACATTAATTACATTATTATTATTTCATAATTACTATAAATCTATCTCTATTATCATGCAAATACAAAGTTTTCTAACAATAAGGTATAATATAATTATTATAATGAGAAAATCTGTTAATAATTTCTCTAAAAAAAATTTGATTAATCGACTACTAGTCATTCAAAATTGCTAATAATATAAATATATTGTGAAATCAATACATAATGACGAGTATTTCATAAACTAACTAAAAGATTATAAATATTTCTAATTTGTAAGAAAGTAACGGTGTGTCAAACATTGTGCCAAATAACTGACCCAAAGATAAATGCAGTCAAACTAATTGATGCATTCATTACATCATTTAATAATAATCTTTAATAACTAAATTAAACACTAGTCTTCTAAATGTTTATTTTTAATTCTATAAATGCAAAACAAAATTATTTCATTATTTAATTTAAAATTTTGTTATTTGTATAAACAAGTGCTCATAAATATTATTGTAACTTTAAATTCATTAGTTATTAATGTCATATTTCTGGTCAAAATATAATAATATTCTAGTTTTGTAAGATTGATCTCAAATAAGAAATATACCAAAAAAATTATAATCAAATTAATTAATCTGTAGAATAGATTTTTACTCTAAATTTCAAAAGAGTACTATTGATGAGGCAATTCTGGTCATAACTTGTATAGAATTAGATAATATTCTTTATAATACATCTCTTTTTGTATATTATAATAATCAAAATAATTGTTAGTATTTTTTATAAAAATAAATAAAATGGATGACACTAATAACTTTTGAATTATATTATATTTTTGGGCACTTATTTTGTGGGTATATTTGATTTTGTGTTTGATTAATGTATAATTTGTTTAGTTTATGTTTAAATTTCCTATTTTGCTATATATTGTTCTGCAATATTCTACTCATAATATATTACAGTAGATGTGGTTGACATATGACGTCCGTTTTGAAATGATTTTTGATCTCTTATCGACAAAAATGACATATAGTTTAAAAGTTATAACATTTCTATGATATATAAATAAATTGTTTATTTGATGCCATTTTGCCACTTGTATGGATATCATATGAGATTTGGTGAGTTTGTCTATAATTGAGTGAACAGCTAGTCGTCCCCAAAGACAATGTATGTATAGATGAGTTGATCTGCTTTTTCATTGATGTCTTTAATGATAGCAACGAAACAAAAGGTGCTCTTTTTTAGCCATAAATATATAAATTAAATTTTTTAATAATTAAAATTAATTCAGATATTTCTCATTATTATACGCTTTATATTTTGAAACAATTGGCTCAAATAACTTAAAATATAGATTACTTTTAAAACTTTATTTTAAATGTTTAATTTATCAAAATATATACTTTGTATTTTATGTTTCATTAAAACAAAAGTTAACGAAATATTATATTTAGTAAATATCCTATTGCTGGGAGGATTTGCAATTTTAAGCCATAATATTAAATATAAGTCATATATTAGAAATTTTTGTATTATAAATAGCATTTTTAATGTTTATCAAAACTTTATTATTTAAACTAACAGATGAACACATTTGATATGTTATAAAATATTGTAAAAATATATAGAAAACAAATGATATATTTAACAAATCATTTATTGATTAGTTCCTTTCAATCAACATTTTTTTATTATGTTATTACTATTATTAAATTATATGATAATCTATATATTATTATATAAATTTGTGTAAAATATTATATATAATATAAGCCAAAGAAATATTGAAACGAATACACACAACGCGCGTACAATTTGTTGATATATTTGCCATAAAAAGTAATGCCATTATAACTGGTGATCTGATTTATAATAATAATAATTATTAATATTTTTTATTCAAATTTTAATTGCCAAACAAATACTATAATATAATTATAAATTATAAAAATGAAGTGTTATTTTGAAAAAAATGTTATATTGATTTGAGAATCTCTTGTTTGAATACTCTTTTTTTATTTCAAAATACTCTAAATAATAATTAATTAAATTTTTAAGAAATTGATTAATTAAGTTTTGTAATATTTGAATTTAACCAAGAATTGAAATATTTATACAAATAATATCTGTCCTAATAATAACCAATGGATATTGAATTGTTTTTATTATACAGAATATTCTTATATATATATGATTAAAAAGTGTTACATTGGGTTACATTTAAATATTTAAATTCTTGATTTAATTGAATATAATAAAATAATGACAATATATATAGAATTTAGTCAAGAATTCTCAGGTTTATATTATAATGAAAATAATAAAATTTACGAAATTATATATATATATATATAATACTTAAAATATTTAAATTCATAATTGTATGTAACGTTTTTTTGATGAAACCAAAATCATTTGAAACATACAATCATAACATGTCTTTGAATTTATCTCAATATTATTTTAAAAAATTTCTTACAAAAATAATTATTTAAAGTTAAAAATTAAGCATAAATTATATAAAATTATATTTTCATTTTAATATATTTATATATTATGTATTATTCTACATTCATATGTATGCATAATTTCAAAACATTTTTTATTATTGTATTTTACAGATACATAACAATTATTGTTAAAATATAATATAAATAAAAATACAAAAATGTGCGCAAATTGTGCCAAAATAGTTGTAAAATATAAACTAAAAGGTGCCAAACATATGAAGCCTTTTATAGTCAACATTGACCTCAAATGTTGGCGAAGCGCTGTTAAGTAGTTTGCTTTGAATTCATTATAAATATATAAATACTGTATAAATAAAATTTTCATTTATTAATAAAATATTAATTTTTGAGTTTTTTATTAAAATGATAATAATTACAATAAATTTATACAATTATTTCTCTGTAATTTTTAATAATTTTGACAACATTAAAAAATTATTTAAATTTTGATTTATTTCATATTTTTATTATAACCATATATTAGGTATTTGTACCTATAATTCAATTTATAAGATTTTAAGTCAATACAAGGAGATACTAATTAATAAGTATATTATGTATCTATATATGGGATTAGGTTTGTTAAATAATAGAGAAATATTAAACAAGTTTCTTAATAAAACTGAAAATTTAAATTAAATTGTTTTACTTAAAACAATATTTTTAAAATGTATTTTTGCATTAAATTTATTCTAAAAATCTTCGTCACAAATATATATGCGGTCAACGATTTAGGAGTTGTCGACAATAATTGGCAAAATCAAGACAACAATTATTTGATACTTTCATTTATTAAGTATTTAATTTATATTATTAATGATTAGTTATCTAAAATTTTTACGAATATTCTTATAAAAAATAAATAATTTATATGTATTTTTCAAAAAACAATTATTATAACTGTAAAAATATTTTTATTTTCTGTAGCTTATAATACTGTAATGAATAAAATCTATTAATAAATTTACCTAAAGTTGTAATTTAAAAGCATTACGACTTAAACAGTAAATTATTTTAATATTTGAACAATAGATGGAAACTTTGTGTTCAATGAAATAACTAATTTCATCTGAAAATATTTAAAATGCTTTAGTAGTGATAAAAATTGTGATCTTAATGTTTTATAATAGTAATGTTTTGTGTAAATTAAGTAAAATTATTGTGAGAATATATCAAACTTTTCTAAAATTATTTTTAAATAAAAAATACTTTATTTGGTTTGACTTTTATTCTTGTATTATATGATTATTGTTATAAATATATACTAAATCTGAATTAAATTCTAATATACAGTAGTTTTTAACATTTTAGAAATTAATTAAACATAATTAAAATATAATATGATATTAAACATTAGATTAATACAGTATTTGGAGAAAGTATATTTAAACAAATAAATAGATAAATAATCTATAATTTTATTTAATTAAAATTATAATACAAATAACTAATGTGTTATTTAAGTGTTTTATATATTTTATAAATCATATTTTAGTCCAGTGGTCACGTTTAATAGCATAACAAATCTAATATATAAATAAATTAAATAAAAAAACATTTTTATGATAATTAAATATAAATTTATATACTGTACAGTAAATATATTGTATCATTTGTGATATTAATAATATTTAAAAATCAAATTATAATTTATTGAAAAGTTATTTATTAGTCTTAATAACAAATGATATGAAAAATATTATATTAAATGGGAATTTTGTATATGAAAAAATATTGTTAACTAAAAAAATTGAGTACCAATTTAAAAAAACTATAAAATTTTCATATATAAAATTTTAGCTTATGTATCATCAATAGTTATTATAACTTTACATTATAATCATTAATATTATTTCATAAAAATATCTGTCATTAATAAATTATGCATAATCTGAATTATGTTCAAATTGATAATGTATTTTAATTATATAGCATATTATAGTTTATATAAATATCAGTCAATCTGTTATATTTTGATAAACAATTAAACAAAATTAATAATTATTTAAAATATTAAAATAAACAATTGTTCAAAGTTCATCATTAGTTTATTATTTTGGTTACTAATTATACTAATAATAATGTACTGTATATGCAAAAGCATCGGCAACTATATCACAATTATAATACTGTATAAAATCAAATATATACAAAATGAGCGAAAAAAATTAAAAAATATGTTTATGTATTAATTTTTAGTATTTTTTTATAACAATTAAAAGAGACAAACATAATGTTAATTTGTTTGCATCCAAAACTATAATAAGTCTGATCGCAACAATTGTTGTTAAAAAACATAACATATGTAAGATTATAAATGACACAGTATTTGTCATTAATTAAAAATCATATTATATTACATTAAAAAGTATTATATTATGACACTATAATATTATTAAAATTTATAATAAAATAGTTTATTATATAAAATTTTTCTAATGATTACAATTTCTTCTATATTTTTGTTGCCTAACCGGCAAACTTTTAAGACACCTGTCCACGAACTGCGGCACAATTAATACCATTGATAGCTCTATTATCATCAGAAGGTACGGCGAGAGAGATAATCAAAAAGAGACAATTACTCTCTATAGAAAATGACTAGTTTTTTAGAGAGAGAGAGAGAGAGAGARAGAGAGAGAGAGAGAGAGAGAGAGAGAGAGAGAGAGAGAGAGAGAGAGAGAGAGATAGAGAGATTCATATATGATATTTATTTAGTTTAATAATTAGATATTTAACTTCAAAAATTAAAAACATGATTCAATGCTTTGTCTGAAAAGCGACTATTAATCGTTAAGTTTGTCTCTTTTTGATTATCTCTCTCGCCGTACCTTCTGATGACAATAGAGGACGAAATAGCGCTATCAATGGTATTAATTGTGCCGCAGTTCGTGGACAGGTGTCTTAAAAGTTTGCCGGTTAGGCAACAAAAATATAGATTCGTCTAACTAAACAATTATATAATTAAAAAAATAGTTTAAAATGACGTAAATAAAGGTGTATCACTAATTAAACACAACTATTTATTATATATAAATAACTACTGTATAAAACTTATATTTATAAGAAAGTTAGCATTTCATTATTGTTATCAAAAAATATAATTACATTAAAATAAATATATAAATTATAAGAATATATATTTTAGTATTATTTCTAATTTAATCTGTAAATTGATTATACCATAAACAATAGATAAATAAAATTGTAATTCAGATCAGTCTTTAATTACAAACTGCCGCTAAAAAGCTGTACAAGTGGTCAGTGATGTTATACTTTCAGCAATTAATTATAATTGATATAAATTTATAGAAGTTTACTGAATAAATAGTTTATAATATTTTAATGTAAAATATAGTCTAAATTTTAATATTTGTTAATCTATTAAAAGTTATATAATAAAAAATACTTAACTATAAAACTTAATTAAATAAATGAATTAGAAAAAGTTAACAATATATCATTTAATTGGGAAATACGTTAAATGGATTACACAATCAGTGATTAAATTTAGATTATTCAAAATAAATTCATTAGAAAATTGGATACTATTATTGAAATTTATTTTTAAAATTTAATTAATTTAATTATTATATAAATTATTAGAAATATATAATTTATATTCTTTTAGAGAAAATATCAATAGATAACTAATAAGAGTATACGTCTAGTAATTCAAGTTATAATTAATAAAAACATTAATAAAAACAATATATTTTGACTGATTTTTTATAATACAGTAATTTATAATATCTCAATTTATGACATATACTATAAATTAAAATAAATTTATATCAATAAAGGTAATGATAAATATATTGAATAATTATAAAACTACCACTTTTATAGCAAAGGCTATAATTAGCAATTAATATACATATAAACACCCATTTTATTGATCGTTAGTTTGATTTTTATCATTAACGAGATGTACTGTCTATGTCTATACTGTCTATACTTTCCATACTATTACATAAAAAGCAATTTTGTTTGTTTGTGTGTTTGTCTCACATTTTTTATTGATGTTATTGTTTGTACAGACATGGGATGTGAGACAGACATACAATATACTGTATATATATATATATATATATATTTAATTGCATTTATAGATAGATAGTGTGCCTACTATTGAAAAACATTTCAAACATTTCAAACAGGGTCATCCATAACGTGTCTATCTATTACTATGTAAATGTACTCATATGGGGCGCACAGGGAGGAGAAAGACTGCCAGACAGACACACATACTGTCACTACTGTCTTGACAACAGACAACACATATATTATAGACAAATATGTAATAAATGAAAATCAAAGGAAAAAACTGACATTAATTTAATATTAATTAACATTTGATTCAAATTTGATTTCATTTGTTACACACATTTAAGTACTGAATAAAAGAGTTGATGAAAAAATGTAATACAAATACAAATAGTTGTAATAATTATTATAATTATTATAATATAAGACAACCTCAGAGTCAACCAATCATTATATTATTTTAGTAGATCTCATAACTGAATACATTATCAAAAAACCGAACCGAAACCCAAAGTTTATAACATTGTAGTTAATAATAGACTAAATGAACAGATTTTTAATAATTGTTTAATAATAATACAATATTATTGTTATTGTTATAAAGCATTGAAATTGAAATTATTATTATTTGTTATAATACTGTAGTAATTTGAAAATATGAATCTGTGATGATATAGTCATATATATAATAGTATTAATGGAAAACTGATACCTAAAATGAAGATCCAAACCGAAACTGTATTGGTTTTGTGTTATTTCGGTTAACGGTTTATGGTTTGTACCTCTAATTTATTGCATACAATAATAAGGGGTCGAATGTCTGTACTTTGCGTCACAATTATTATTAGTGTCTGTAAACCAAAAGCATTGGATTTAGTGCTAAAAACACTGCAAACCATTGCTAATACATTAAGTAATGATTGCGCAACACATCGATAGTGTTGTTGAGTAGTATTGCTATACATTGTAGATGTCGTTGTGATTGCACTCAACATAACTGTCTGAGTCTAGAAAATACAGACAACAAAATAAACAGAAAATACAGACATCACGTGATACTACTGTCTGAGTATTACAAACACATTTATAGTCCCGAAACCAATAATTGAATATATAATTTAGTTTAAATTAGCATGGTAATCTATGATTTATCATGATAATAGTATTTACCATGGTCTATTCTATTATAATCAATATATTTTTTAAGTAAAATATTAATATTGAATGATATTATTTAATAGTTTATAAGTGTCGGGAATAAGTGAATTGAGGAATATATGTGTTATAACGCCAGACATGAATGCAGACATACATTAATATAATAAGGTTTGTGTAGATTATTGAGTGGCTATACGTATGACAACAGAGACAACACATACTGTATATAGACTTTGGTTGGCATAGACTGTGCCATACATTACATACTTTACCACTCATTGCCATACAATGACAGGCAATGCATTGCCAGAGATGTCCACTCAAGACAACACTTCTCAACTTTGCGACGATTATGAAAACCTTCATCTCATCGAAGAAATAGGTCGCGGAAAGTATGGCTGTGTGTGGAGGGCGTCACTCAATGGACAGACAGTGGCCCTCAAGAAGTTCAGACATCAATACAGACAATACGCCTTCAATGAAAAAGACATTTATTTATTGTCTTTCATGGATTTGTGTCCATCATTGTCGCGATTGATGGCCTTTCGGGAGATGATGCTCGTCGACGGCCGATATGAATATCAATTGGCGATTAGTTACGCAGCGTTAGGCAGTCTTCAAGACTGTTTGAAAAGACAAACCATTGATTGGACCACTTTATGTAAGATGTCTCAAACTATAACACAAGGGTTAGCCTATTTGCACACCGAAGTCACTAAAGAAGGTGACCGTAAACCGTGTGTTGCGCACCGGGACCTGACCTCCAGAAATATTTTAGTGAATGAAGATAAATCTTGTATGATAAGTGACTTTCAGTTTGCGATCCCAACATCTGGTTCACAATATTGTTCATCAAACAAGAGATTAGATACACAGCGGACACCACTCCACGCAGTGGGAACCTTGCGATATATGGCACCCGAAATTCTGATCGGTGCCATTAATCTACGCGAATGCGAGTCTGCTCTCAAGCAGTCCGATGTATACTCTCTGGGACTGGTGTTGTGGGAAGTGGCCAGTCGTTGCTCCGACTTGTATCAGGGCATTGAAGTGCCGCCATATAAACAGCCCTTCGAAAAGGAGTTAGGTTTGGACCCGACTTTTGAACAAATGCAGGTTATGGTGACCAGACATAAGGCTCGACCACTGTTTCCTGACATTTGGAAAGACAGTAACCCTGCTATTCGGTCCCTTAAAGAGACAATTGAAGATTGTTGGGATCACGACGCCGACGCCCGGCTTACAGCTCTCTGTGTTGTTGAACGACTCCATGAGTTGCCCACACTTTGGGAACGGTATAAATGTGGAACAATTGCTAACTGTATATATTCGATGCCCAATCAAAGCGTCTCTTTAGCCAATAATAACAACAATAATAATAATAATAATCAGAAGAATTTTTTGCGAACCACAGGCTTTCATAACCTAACGGCTGCTACCGTTCCCTTAGATTATTGCGATAATAAGATAATTAGAAATGAATTTCAAAACAACTTTCTAACCAATAAACTTAATTATCCATATCATAGTAATAATAATAATAATAATAATAATTCAAATGTTAATAATTATAATAACATTAATACAACTGAAGACTCATCGACTCCTTTGATGGATTTCGAGAAGAATGTAATATCGGCTGCAAACGCCTTCAAGAATCAGCCAAAGCTGACGTTTCCATTACAACCACATCAAGGAAGGAATCCTTGTCTTGAAAGGAACCTTATGTTACAATCATCAGATGATAATACATCAGTTCTGTTGGGACAGGGATTTAAATTTCAAGTGAATGCTTCAAATACCGATTCAGTGTTTTCGGACACATTTAACGACAACAATAGTAATGTCGAAAACAATGCTCTTTTGACAAACGATCTCTTGAACCGAACAACAAATGATAACCAGAGAAATGTCAGCCGACGAGTGGCTAATACTGTGCCTCCCATTCCTTACGTACAGAATGCTGTCGGTTTTACTACAGTTCCCAAACTCTGTAATTATGATTCAAATAATGGACAGTCATATCATTTGAAGAAAACAAATGAGACATTGAATGTCCACAACAGCAATGAATCCGGTTTTTCAAAATTATTTAATTGGAGTAATATTAAAGCACTTAAGGTTTTCTCTAATATTAAAGTATTGAAGCAAAACAATACTAACTCTGAGAAAATGTCTATCGATGGCCAAAAGGGACACACATTTAAACGCAATAACAGTCCGCTTCTCATTAAAAGAGACAACTGTGAGAACCAACGGGTGATCTCTTGTTCGCTGCAAAACTCGATACAATCGATGGATACCGGAGTCAATGCTTCGACTGAGCCTAAAGTCACACAAACTATAGATTTAGCTAATATTATCAGTGATAAGTCTAACTGCAAATTGAATTTATTTTTGCAAACATCTGAAGAAAGATCACCCGAACCATGTGATTGTCCAAACAATCTACCATTAAATGCGATTCTTCATAATTAGATAAATGCAACGCTAATGACGATTGCATTCAAAAATACAATATATATGATATGATATTAAGATATTTTCGTTATTTTCACGTTCAGACCATATGTTGGTTCATATTTAGTTATTTTGATTTTTAACTCGAGTTTTATTCAATAGTTTTAAAAACTAACGAATAATTTTGTTGCGTTATAATAATTATTATTAATTACTAATAATCTAACTCTAAGTCATATATACTCTATTTTTATTTACTTTTAATGCAAAAGCAATTAATTCTCAGTTCAAATTAAATTAATTTTTTTGCTGAGTTTTTTATTATGTAATTTGTTTTAAACATTATTATAAATCTATATTTGATATAATATATATATATATATATATATATATAATTATAAAAATATTAAAACATAAATTGAATAAATAACATATTTTGATCATAAAATGACTATAATTTGCTTTTATTTAGCTATGATTTGACTCTTCAAAGTGATGATCTTATCGGCTAACATTCGGTTAGTTGGTCCACATTTGCTCAACACATAGTCTAACGCCTCTATATCTTTGGCTTCAAAGGCAAACTTAGCCGCATCTTCTAAGAGACTTATTTCATTGAAAGAAAATAAAAAATGTTATTAAAATCTGCAAAATAGGTATAAAATAGTAATTATTGATAAATTAGTAATTAATACCCGCATCTGACATAATATTTGACTCTATTTTCTTCATTAATTTTGAGCAAATATTTTTGTGCTTCATATCGGTTGTGGTGATCGAGACAAATGTCAACAAATGGCTAAATGCAATGTCATTAATATTAACATTATTGTTAGAACCAGTAATATAAAAAAATAATGGTATTATAACTAAAAGGTAATATAAATATTAAAATAATAAGTAATTGATATGAATTACTTCATAACCAATGGGAGATTTCTTAATTTTGCTAAATTTTTCCAATTCAAGCCATTCGCCCATTTCAGCCAAAACAGTCACTTTGAGCCACCAATACCTGCGATCGCCAACTTTGAACTCTTTCTTCAACTCTTCGCTTAATTTATATTCTTTGTCTACAATGAGTTGTCTCATAGTTTGATGTAACGACAAATTAATATAATTTTTCTGAAATTTATCCTTCAGTTTAATTTGATATTTAATAAGACGTATATTTTCGTCAATAATCGATGAATTAAAATCATTTTTAGACTTTTTGTATGAATCGAGAGCAGACTGAAGACAACTCTGTTGTTGAGTCAAAGAACAAGCTTTTAAACTCCTAAATAAATAAGAGTTGGCTTCAGAGACAAAGTCGTCTTCTTGATAGTACAGATCAGTCAACTTTTCGGGTTCCGCTTCATTACAATACTGGTTCAGTTCGTTAAAAAAATGAATAAATTTTTATAATTTTATAACAAACAAATAAATACCTTTTTAAATAACGAATAAGCAATTGGATAATCTCTGATTGTCATCAAGAACTCACCGGCCGGAAGTACTTCCCGTAAACGTATGATAACCGTATGAATTAGATTAGTGTCACCACTTTCTATGGCTCGCTTTAAAGCCAAACGATGTTGTTTGAGCTTCAAAAGGAGTGGCACCTGTTGACTGGCCCTTAACTCGTGATCAAGCAACTTGATGGCCAGTTGGGTTCGGCCAAATTCAATAGCTTTGTTAGCGATATCGGAATAAGAGATACCCGAACTATAACCCAGTTTATTGGAAATGTCGCGCGCAATGCGCTCGTCATCTAAGAATGTTTGCTTAACTTTAAGAAGAGCCCAATTGCCGAGTACTCGGGCGGCGCCCCTCTCATCGGGTAATTTCAGATACGAAGCAATACGAAGTGCTAAACAAAAATTGCGTCTAAGTATTAATCGATCGATTAGTGTTTCCATTGTTAACATTTCCAATTGGGTATAAGTCAACGGAATTCCTATTGTGTGATGTCTTATGGCATTCAATATTCTTAATGTTTGACACATTTGTACGAAGTTTTGTGTATTTATTTTCGGTACAAAACATTTTCCAAAAGAAGCGGCTCTTAATAACATCTTCTGAGTGCTGATCCCATACTCATGACCGGCCGCTTCAATGCATTGTTCGACTGATTTTTCCATTTCGTTTCTCTCGTATATCATTCGTATATATTCATCGGCTTTATGACTGTGCCGTTGAAACTCCTTATTTGCTTCAAGCAATAGAGCGCCGGCAGCTATTGAGCCGATACCAAATATATCGACCACTACTGGACTAACTCTTTGAAACATTTCGTGTATATCGTTGGCAACAATGCGAATGCCATCAATTTCTTGTACCATATGTACCGGTTGATCGATGACATAATTAAGCCAATCTTTATCGGGTCCGACTACTAACAAAATATTTTTCCAAAGACCGACAACTGCTGAGTTTGCGCACCACAAGAGTTGTTGTGGTTTTGTTTTTGTCTTTGTTTCAAATTCACAGTAATTATGTAAATTCGTGTCAATCCATCCCATCCAAAGAATGCCAGTATCGGTCAAAAGAGCGACATGTGTTGAATCAAATGAGATACTCATTTCGGTGATCTCATTAAATGGTGAACTAAATGGAGTATTCATAGGCTGACAACTCTGGTCGTTGGCATTCAGTGAATATAAATCATTATCTTTGGCTACCAATACAATGGTCTCACCGTTTGATGCAATCACTGCCCAACTCGAAGGACTCTTTGCAAGACCAGGAACTTCAGCCAAACGTCTTATTTTCGGCTCATTTATATTATTCAGAACAAAAAACCTATAAGAAGTGGTCAAAACGGCAATACCGGTGCCGTGAATGCCATGAAATGTTTTGCACTCTAATATCTTAGTGTCGCGTATCTCTTGATCCAAAGTAAATGTATTTTGTAGATTACCAAAGATGTCATAAACCAAAACTATACCGTCATCTTGAATGCACAACAAATCTTCACGATTGGACCACTCGATCAATGCTAACGTATTGGCCGTCCATTTGATAGTCGATAAGAGTGTACCAAAAGACGAAAAAATGAAAATACTGTTAACATTTGACTTAACAGTATTCGTGCCATTAGTGGTCTGCAAACGGTTCCAATTCTTCTTCTCGACCAATGCTAACAAATTAGAAAAAATAAAACTTTAAATCCATTAAATTGTCATCAGTTTAGTGACCAAACCGACCAATTGGTCCGCCAAATGATGCGCCAGTAATGAAAAAGTCTTTGAGGTTGACTTCATGTGACCAAAGCATTGGATTCAATTCAAACTTTCGGTAATAAATATCTTTTCCCAATGGATTCCAGTCTGATGTAAACAATGCCATTGCTTTGGTTCTTGTCTTTCGGTCAACTTTTCCCGATCGATGTCCGGATATATTAGTCAAACAGTTACGACTTGTTTAGCATAACATCACAAACAAGTAATTGATTTTATGAATCAATTTTCTAACCAATTGTTCATTTAATAAGACTTATCATAACTTTTTTGACAACAAATAAACTCGTATTCAAAACAAACACTTAATTTGTTTGCAAACAAATACACAATACTATTGACATCTATTGAGTGAATAATACTTACATTTGTAATAATATTTCTACGATTAGACACATTGTGTGGCCACTGGTCTGCACTGTATTTGTTTAGTATTGTCGACAATAGTAGTGCTCTATATTGACAAACAATAGGACTAATTGTATGCATAAATGTTGTTATTATTTAGTACTTAACGATAGGTGTCATAACAATCGCATTATATTTTTCAATACATTGTAATGTTTTTGCGTTTCAATCATTGGTTTGTATGTTAAGTATAGTAAGTATTGCATGAATTAAGTATTGAATATCATTTGCAGTCATCTATAGCTCAGCGCAAGAGTCGGCCATTCAATTGAAATCATTGATCACTTGAATTGATTTTACCGTACAATCAGTCCATTGAAAAGCAGTATTTGAAAGTGAAGATGAAGTCAATGCCAAGTCTATCGATGACTGGTCTTCGCAAGAATCCGTCGGTATGTGATTGAAATGACCTTTGATATGAAGTTTGATATTTGTCACACAGTTGTGCTAATTGTGATAATTTGATGAACAGCTGATTCCATTGTTATTCTTTGTGGGCGCGGGTGGTGTTTGGGCCGGTTATTACATCGGAAGACTGGCCTTCAGGAACCCAGACGTTACGTAAGATTTTTGATTTGAAATGTTGTTAACATTATTTTAACGACGATTTGATTTGTTTGATCGACAGCTGGAACCGTAAGACGAATCCCGAGCCGTGGCAGGCGTACGACAAGAAACAGTATAAGGCATGACATATATCATGAGTGACCACTTAATCTGTTGACAATACTAATGATAAGTTTGTTTTATTTAATAGTTTTGGTCTGAGATTGACCACAACACCTACGAACACCCGCGACCTAAGTTTTAAAGCAATACATTTGACAATTATTTTATAGATTTTTGTTGCTCTAAACATATGATAGTTAGTCGACAGTAATATTTTGTGTTAAATAATCTCAATTTAAAGATAATCTCACTTTTATCCATTGATCTGTTAATAATTGAAAATATAATTATAATAATAATATGTCAATTTATAAGCTATTATTATTATGTTTTATTCATTTGATAATTACTATACAATAGATATTATAGACATTTAATTTCATCAAAATTATGTCAATAAAGTGTTTAAATCTATTTAATTATTTAAGTAATAAAAATTGGATGATAAATAACTATTTTATTTAATATTAGAAATAAACATGATATATATGTTATTGATAATTTTTATCAATTTTAAAATAAATGATTACCGTAACTAATACTGTATGATAATTATGATATTAAATTTGCAATGATTTACATTTATTGATATTTAAGATCGTACTTAAAATTGATTGATTTGCAAAATTAATATTCTGTATATAGATTATTAAATTACAATTAAAAGTGAATTTACAATTTGATTTTTTTTTGCATATAAGAATTGGATTGATTTTTGTTAATGCATTTTTCTATCAATAAAACTAATTAAAATTACAATTAAAAAGTTTGCTGGTTTTCATCTGTCAAATAAATATAAACAAAATATAACAAAATAATCTATTACTATGGGAACTGTGTTTACAAATTGATTATTAAAATACTTACCGGTAATTATCTAATCAACACATATGTATGAATCAAATTTATGTTATCGAAAGATTTTATTATCAGTAAATTGATTGCCACTTGACATTAATGATACAATTATAAACATTTTAATACAGTAGTATAATATTGATATGTATAAATAATTAGATATAATAATTTAATTAATTAATTCTATTAATACTAAATATTAAATTTTATTTTTATTAATTATGGAAACTTCAAAAATCAAAACAACAGTTTCATATTATATCTTAATTAGTTTTGTTTGTAAAATTGAAATAAACCCGATTAAAATGAACATGCTTATTTTTTTAATTTAATACTTTTACGGTTATGGTTAGTATTAGTACATTAGTATTACATCCAATTAAAGTTATGAATATATATAAATATCTATTGAATCAATTTAAATAAAAATGAATTCAAATAAATGTGCAAAATATATGTTTATTTTTAAATTGTTTTTGGTATAAATATTATTTTTTTTATAAATTAAAAAAATTTAGCTTTTATCTAACTTTCAATATTTAAAAATCAAATAATAAAGTTAAAACTTAATTATTTTATATTTAATATATTTTGGATTTTATAAAATTTAATTATCACTTGTAATTTATAATAAACTGGGCTACAATAAACTTGCATTATTGAAAATTTAATTTTAAATTACTATATAATAAATTGAAATTAAATATAAATATAATAAAATAATTATAAATAAAAAAATAACAGTTATAGAGACCACAAAGTTTGCTAATTTTTATAACTACATGTATTTATAATATAATAATAGAATATAATTAAATCGACTTTTATATGAATTTTAAAGCAGAAATTTAGAAACAAAATTAATTTATAATTTTATATTTGCTTAAATAAGATGATTAAAAAAATATAACCAAATTTTTTATTGCATTCATGTGTATCATCTGACAATATTATTATATAATAATTGATTCAATTTATTCTTTTAAATTAATAATTCTATAAATTAATTTTTATAATATATTTTATTTATATTGTTCTTTACAATTTTAACGAATAATATCTAAAAATTAAGTAAAGTGTATTATTAAAAGGTTTATAATTGAATATTTAAAAAAATATTTAATAATAGCCTCTTTACTCCCCAGAATGCAAACCTGAAATATATACTATAATATAAAATTATATAAATATATCAAAAATTTCTAATAAACAGTAATTATAATGATATCTGTATTATACAAGAATCGATGTTTTGTTAAATTGTGTGTTAAATTGTAGTTTATATTAGAGAAAGTCATAATGAAAGCATAATATTTAAATATAAAAATATTGTTTTAAATAACATAATCAACAGTACATACAGAATATATATTTTAATTATGATAATAAAATCTTTAAAATAAAAATCGTAATATATTTTTATTAAACATATTACTGCATTAACGCTTTTTTATAAAACATTATAAATTTAATTTACATGAAATTAAGAATAATTTATATATTAATAATATTAGATTAATTGTGATAAAACATTTTGACTTAACTATTATTATAATCATTACTTAAAATAATGTTATATTAATATTATATACAGTATTATAATTTAAAATATATTTTCTAAACTTTTTGATGAAACAATAAAATTCCTATTTTTAGTTTTTTGATACATTGTAAAGTTACTAACAAATTATTATACATTATATACTATTCAATTCAATATATTATTAATTATACATTAAATACATGTGAAAACATCAAATTTGATGCAATTCTATAAAATGTTTAAATCATTAGAATATTTAGTCTATATTTATATCATATTAATGATAGAATCACTTGAATGACACGTATAATGAAAAACTGTATTACTATTACTAAAACTGTATTACTATTACTAAAACTGTATTACTATTACTAAAACTGTATTACTATTACTAAAACTGTATTACTATTACTAAAACTGTATTACTATTACTAAAACTGTATTACTATTACTAAAACTGTATTACTATTACTAAAACTGTATTACTATTACTAAAACTGTATTACTATTACTAAAACTGTATTACTATTACTAAAACTGTATTACTATTACTAAAACTGTATTACTATTACTAAAACTGTATTACTATTACTAAAACTGTATTACTATTACTAAAACTGTATTACTATTACTAAAACTGTATTACTATTACTAAAACTGTATTACTATTACTAAAACTGTATTACTATTACTAAAACTGTATTACTATTACTATTACTATTACTATTACTATTACTATTACTATTACTATTACTATTACTATTACTATTACTATTACTATTACTATTACTATTACTATTGTATTACTATTGTATTACTATTACTATTACTATTAATATGAATGCAATACATGTTTGTAATAATAGTCCGATAGATGTCATAGTTGTATGTAATGTGTGACACATTGACGAGTGTTGTGGCAAATGATTGACTCAATGTTTGTATTGTTTGGACGCCATGTTTGACATCATTTGCTTAAATGTGCAAAACTTTTCTCAATTATCACCCAAATTGGTCCCCAATTGCGACAATGGATTAATGTGAAGTCGACGACCAATAGATTTGGTGACCAATTGGCCCCTTAGGGTCGTCAGTGAACTAAATTGGGACAAATAGTGTTTGTTGTGATAGTTTGGTGACTTCGGTGGTCATGACGTCTAAGTTGTCATTCAGAGCGCGAGCTCTGGACTCTTCCAAACCAATGCCTGTCTACAGGTCTGAGGAAGTGCCCGACCTTCCGGAGTACTCGGCCATCAATCGGGCAGTCCCTCAAATGCCGACTGGCATGGAAAAGGAGGAGGAATGCGTTAGTATCATAACAATGGATGCCTACCAGTGCTGCCATTGGCTCATACCTAACAAACGGCGCCAATTTGAGCACTCGTTTCGGTCGTACAGACCGTTTGGCCACTTATGACATGATTTGACATTTTTTTGAATTTTATTTACATTTTTATTACTAAAAGCAGTCAATTGAGTGTCAAATGATGATAAATAAGTGGTTTTTATTATAAATAATGAATGAAAATGATGTAAATGTATGGTATGTTTGAACTCTTACAGGAACACCATCTGCAACGAGCCATTTCAGCCCAACAAGCCTTTGGACACACTGTCGAACACGTGATCCCAACACCTGAAGTGTTCACGGCGTCGGAAAAAGATTACGATGAACTCTATCCTCCAAACTATAAGATTTCCCGACAACTGATTCATATGCAACTGTTGACTATAGAGCAGGACATACCTGAATATGATATGGATTCTGAAGATGAACAGTGGCTTAGTATGCAACCTCAGGACACGGGCCTAACATCACTCAAATTTGAAGAAATGATGGAAAGACTTGAGAAAAGCAGCGGTCAGAATGTGGTGTCACTTAAAGAGGCAAAACTATTGCTCCAAGAAGATGATGATGTGATTACTGCTGTTTTTGATTACTGGCTAAACAAGAGACTCCATACACAACAACCATTGATTCCAATAGTAAAGAGTGAGAAAAGAGACGGTTCTACAGGAAATAATCCATACGTTGCCTTCAGAAGAAGGACTGAGAAAATGCAAACTCGAAAGAATCGCAAGAATGACGAGACTTCTTATGAAAAGATGTTAAAATTAAGACGTGATCTGAGCAGAGCTGTGTATGTATTGATGTATTATTTATTATAATTTAATATTTTATTTAATTTAATTTTAAATATTTTTACAGAAATCTATTAGAATTAGTAAAACATAGGGAATCTTTAAAGAGTAAACATTTGAAGTTTTCGGTCGATATTTTTGAAAATCGGTAACATTTTTAGTATTTAATTATTTTCAGATTTTATTTATTGGTATTAATATTTGTTATTTGTTTAGATATAAAATCGGAGATTTTAACGGCGCTATTATTAGTGAAGTGACTCAACTGCGGAATATACGGCCCGCACCCTACTTGTCATTTAATTTACAAAATAAAATAGTTGGTCGACCAAAAATACCCAGAGTATGTGCTTTTTAATTAAGTACAACATTTTAGTAACGAATATTGATTTAAAAATTATCACCAGAATGAAGAACAACCGCGTCGTAAACGAGAATATAAGCGCCGGCGACCAGAAACAGCTGCAGTTAGACATGAAGTCGAACGCAATGACTTTTCATTTACTTCGGATGAAGAGACAGGCAGTGTGTCACCCATTGCTGATCAACCATCTGATCAGGAAGAACAAGAAGATCCTGATGGTCAATACGCTTTCAGAAGAAAGAGAGGTTGCAGTTATGTGGCACCAATTATTGATAAATTTGGTGACTGGCCCTGGAGTTCTGCTAGCGATTGTGGTACTGGGGATCGTAGGTATCGTTTTTGTTTGACATCACTTTCCAAACCAACGCCTCGTTGTATTGGTTTTACTCGACGGAGATTCGGTAGAGGGGGACGGTATGTGTTTTTGTCATATTTTAATTAATGTTGAAATTATAAAATATTTTTTATATAAATTAGATTACATTTTGATCGGGCCTTCACTCCATTTGATCCGTTCTGGTCAGAACTCACCGAAAATAAAATTCCAAACGGGTTTCCCTCTAAGGAATTGTTAAATGAAATACAAAATGATTGGTTTGTTAAGACATTTATCAGATATTATTTGATTGAAATTAATATTTTTAAATTCTATTAATAGGTTACACTTTAAGCCGCGATCACCACAACATGAGTCATCAAATTTGTATTTATCAGATAATAACGATAATAATGAATATGATTCGGAAGGTAATGTTATTCCTGTGGTTTCCATCACATCCGTGAAAGAGTACATCGACGACAACTCTATTTCATCAAATATATTAAATGGTTTCCAAAGTGAGTCCGAATTGGAGACCAGTTTTAATAGACATCAACAAGAGTTAGCAGAAATGCAAAGGAAACAATTGGAACGACTGAATAATGTTAACCATCAGACAGGAGATGTGATGACCAACACAGCCAAAAGTGTCACAACTTATAATATATATAATTCAGATCATTCCTCGCTTTCCAAATTGATTGCATCTCCTCAGTCATCGCCGTTAAGTAAGACATATAAAGGATTGACTTCCGATAAGACGCCGAACCGAACACCACAGCCTATACTACAGCCCTCAACATTAGATACGGCAAGCGTTCAGTTTGCTGTTAGTGTTGTTTGTAGTGCTAGTGATTTAACATCAAATGCATCATCAAATGTGACATACAATCGGACACAAACTCACACCACATGTGCTAACGACTCATCCAAAGAGACTCAACTTAATAATTGCGAGACGAAGCCATTTATTAGTGACAAACATTTGTTAGGAACAACTAACGGTCCCACCATTTATGACAAAGATATTTATCGGAAAATACATAATAATGAACTAAGTTTGCCGTCCACACCATCATTAAGCACATCACTAGTGGCTGCAGAGATTGAGGCTAATGACTCACTATCACCATTGACACCAATGACAGGGAGTCCTAATCCAATGCCCAGTCCTCAGCCAAACACTTGTAAAAAGATATTTCGAAGCCAAAAGACAAACACTACAATACCTCCGACTGATGTCACGTGAATTGTAAACTAAATTATATAACATTTCATCATTTTTTCCAATTGATATGTCATTGTCAGTGCTTGACATTTGTTACAAACTTTCTATATTTTGATTGTTTCAAAACCAGTCATAAATTGATAGACTCAATATTACATTGTTTTTTTGATTTGTTATCTCATAAGCATGACTTAATCCATAACTTCATCAACTGTCCCACTGTTTAAATGTCGCAGATTTGCTCAAAAGGCAACAATAAAATTATAATACAATAGTAACAACAACTACAACAACAACTAAATTAATAAATTTTGACACAATTATACAAATCTTTTATATATAAAATCCTCAAATCAGTTGAATTGCAATCTTAAATGTGTTGACTCAAATCATTATTTTAGTAACTGCTGTGCAGTAATGGTATCACTATAACAACAACACTCCCACCAAAATCCCGCACTTCATTCATCCCAATCCTTATATAATAATACTTATATGTAGTGAATGATTATCATTTCAATTGAAAATAAGTAACAAAATTAAAGATCGACACAAATCTATATGAGAAGTCACCCAATGTTTCAGTTTATTATAATTGACTATTTTATGTTTTTATTTCATTAGTAACTATACCTCAATTTGACAATAGTTTTTTGAATCTATAAATTTATTTAAAAAAACTAATGAATGTGTGATATAATTGTAGTTATGATATAAATGAATGCTTTTTTGTATTTTACTTTTATTAAAATATTGATTCAAATGTCAATGTTTTTCGATGTAAATATCTTAACATAAATAGAAATTTTCAAATATTTCAAACAATATTATTAATAATAATAATATTTAAAAAAATAATAAAGAGAATAATAAAAATAATAAATGAATGTTAAAACATAGCAAAGTGTTGTTTTATTTATAATTAAATGATTAAATATGTAATTTAATATGAGTGGGAAATTATTTTAGATAAGATTTTGGATTTAATACATAAATGTATGTAATATATCATAAATTGTTGAGTATAAGTGAATTACAAGTATTAATTGAAATGCTTATAAACAAATGGTTTGAAAACAAATATAATTATTGATAATAATAAATAACAATAGTAATTATTAAATTAATATTTATTTCAATTAATTTATTTTAATAGTTTTGAAAAAATAAATATGATTAAATTAAATTATTAGATGTTTATAATATTTTGTAAATATTAAAAGAGGTGCAATTATCTGGTCAATCATACAAGTAAATAAAAATTGATCAAGTATAAATATATTGAGTATAAAATTGTCTATAACTTAGCCATTGGTCATTTTTATATTGAAAATATGGTTTACTAAATATTCAAAAAGTATCCAGGTCTTATATTCACATATTACCTTTACGTTCAACTTTTCATTTATAGCATACAGTTCTAGTAATTATTGTATTGTACAGTAAACTAGTGGTAAAGTATATTTTAAATTAAAAAAAATAATATACTTTTGTGTGTATACTGTAGTATATTTTTAAAAAATTATTTAAATATAGACTATACTATAGTATAAATTATTATAAAGTTTAATAATTAAATAATAATATATTTTTATTAATTTAATACAGATAAAATGTTTAGTTGATATCAATTTTAATTTGAAATCTAAACATTTCTAAACTCAAAGATTAAAATTAAGTTCACAAAGATTTTTATTAATAATGATTAGAGAGAAAGAGAGAGATAATTAATGTATATTTTTAAACTAGTAATTCAATTTGAATATTTAACAATTAATGTTTGATATATAAAATTATAGTAAAAATAGTATATTTTTTAGAAATTTAAAATATTTTATAATAAATAATACACTATTCATATTTAAACTTATATAAAATATGTAATAATTGTTTTAATTATTATAATGTATATACTGTACGAAACTATTGGAAATAGTAGTATCTTTTTTTTGATATAAAATACTACTTTTAATAATATAATGTTTAAATAGGTAAATATTGCCACAAATCACTTATCAGTCACTATTTATGGCACCGAAAAGCTATTCAATAAAAATTGTTTGAAGTATTTTACAATTGAAAGCTTACATTTCAAGTGTATATATAGTATATACACTCTGTATATAAATACAATACATGAATATAACGTATAGTCATGTTGTATGACATTGTGTTGTAAATATGAACTATATATGGGAACCAATTTGGAGCCATTTAATAGACGCAATGTATTGCTATCAATGTATGTTTAGTACCAATAATCATATATTTGCTGTCGTCTAAAGTTATGGAAATTATTTATTGTATAAAATAGTTAACCATTTATTAGTTATTCATTTTTAATACCAATATTTTTTAATTTTTTGATTACTTTTCGATCAAATGTATATTTTATGAAATATTGAATTAATTAATACTTTATACCTAAAATATAATTATAACAAATAATTTTTTTATATAAATATATTTTATCTATAGATAATTGTTAGATATAATTTAAATGAGAAGTACTTCAAAATTAGTTATATATTAAAGTTATAAAAAACAAAATATTGTCATAATAAGATATAAAGTAGTTATAACATTAGGTTATAAATTACAAGATTGATTATACATTTAAATATTAAAAAATTATTTTTAAATTATAATAAATTTAGGTAAACTTATTATTAAATTAATAAATTATTTAAAAACATAATTACAATTTCATAATACTATGTTTGTTTAAATTTAAATTATTCACAATTTAAATTCAGTATTATATATATTAAATATATACATTATATGAATTGTAGATAAAATTAAATTATTATTTATAAATATAGTTAAAGTATTATTACTTTAATGACATTTAACTTTATGTTATTTCTACTCAATCATTGCGAGCAATCATTTGTTTTACTTTAATTCAAATTTTTATTTAACTATTTTATATTTTAGTAGAAAAAGTAGATTAGATTCATAAATGTAGTGTTAGATTGAAATAACTATTTCAATTTAATTGCAATATAATTGTATTAATAAATTCATTGACAATAATTAAAATAAAACTTTGATGAAAACATAAAACAAGACCAAAATACCCCCTAAGATCGAGAAACTGGGATTTTACCAGACTTTTTGACCAAATTGGAAAAATTGTCGCTTAAAAACCAGGAGAAATGACCCCAAAATTTCGGCGCCGAAATTTTTTTTTAAGTTTATAAAAATTTTAATGAATGTTTTTATGTTTTTAAAATTTATATGAATCTAATTATTGATTAAAAATAAGTAAAATAGTTAAAATAACGTTAAAACTCATGAAAAAATAACATTATTTTAATTAAATATTAAAATAAAAAATTACCTATTTGTTGAAAAGAGTAATCATAATACAATTTAAATTTAAGTTTAAGATAGTTTAAGAAGTTAAAAAAAACAATAAATACTTACATTATAAGGTTTTTATTAATAATTTTTAAAATTTTAACTAAAAAATTTGAAAATATTTTCAATTTTATAATTAATATAACTAAAACTTTAACGCACATTGAGTTAAATAATTAGTATTCAGTCAGTATTTGTATAAAAATAACATTTAAAAAATAAAAATATATAACTATAAACTATAAATATTAAGTATTATTTAAAAAATTAATTGTTAAAAATTATTAAAATAACTCGTAGTGTATCATTAATGCTTTTATCAACTATTTTTAAATCTTAAAAATATTATTTTATTTTTTGTTAATTTTTAAGTTTTTTTTAAATATTTTTGGAAATTTTACCTATTTTCCTGGGAATTTATACGGGAACTTATGGGAACTTTATCGAATTTACATGGGAATATTCGGGAATTTAAGGCAATATTAGGGTATTTTCTCTTGACCCCCATTGATTTTGGATTTTAAAAAAATTGCCGTTTAAAAATGCAATAAAAATCTTACCCCACCCAATACCCCCCCCCAAGATTTTTCGATATTTTGTAAATTTCACCCCGGTCCAAAATCCCGGTCCACCCTCTAAAATCCAAAACCTTGCTTAACCCTGATGTGTTGCATTACTACATGACTTATCACAAAACAATATAACCAATAATATAAAAATAATATAATTATGACAATTACAGTACATTACTTTGAATCTTAATTATATGAATAATACTATAATATATATAATAAATATACTAAAATTTTTAATACAAATATTTATATATTGATTGTTACTAATAATTTACTAGACTATTGAAACAATGATGAATATCAGGGTTGAAAAAATACAAGGTTTTGAATTTTTGGTTTGTATAATACAATGTACAATGCATTGCATTGTACTGTATTATATATTTATAAAAACTAATATATGCTATGTTAAAAAACTTATTTTAAATTGTTAGAAAATCATTATTTTTATAATTGTTGTTTTCTAAAATTAAAAATAAAATAAATTAAGATAAAAAATAGAAAAAAATATCAAATCTATATTTTTATAATTATGTTGATTTTTGCATATATCAATGTTTTTGATTCTATGTGGTGCTAACTTTTGTTTTGTATAGCAAAATTGTCATGTATTATACAGTACATTGTATGATAGAGTAAATTTTATAATAAACATTTTGTCACTGCCAACACTGGTCAATAAACTATAAATATGTAGTACACTATAGTCTATAATACCGGTATAATAATAATAATAATAATAATAATAATATATTGTAATTAAATCATAAAATTTAAGCAAAAAATTTCAATATATTGTTAAAAAATATTTTCGTTGACCTTATAATAGGCCCGAAATTGTTTGATTCATTGAATAGCTTTTGGACTATACTTAACAAATACCGGCATTTAATTAGAGAGTTACCTCTCCTATGGCTTTCATCGTGTATTTGCAATAAACATCATTATAGTCATCACATACCTATCAAAGCTATTTATGAGATGACGGCAAATAAACTATACATAAAACTTATACATTATATAACAGTCAAAGAAAATTGTTTTTATTTACATTTTTTCTAAACATTATATTATACACTGTATATACTGTACTGTAATTTAAAACAAATATTTACACCAAATTCATATGAAATGCTTAATAACAGTAAGTTATGTTTGCAGTCATTATGTGAGACAATGTATTCAAAAATTAATTGTTTGCGCACTTATGGCAAACGATAGTTTATATTTAAAATGTTTTAGTAAATGCAAAATTAATGATTTTTCATTCATAAAAGTGTTATTATATTTTGTTGAATGTATTAATTGTTTAAAAATTATGCAAATAATTGACTTAACACACAATTTACCTGATTGTGTGATCCCAGTCATTGTAAATCAGAGTAAACATTGAAAATATTTAACTAAATGATGACATTTTGAGTTTTAACAAAATGTTTTGTGAATATTTTTATTTATTAAATTATCATTAAGTTCATTAACTTTGATTATACAAATAAACTCAATTTTTAATCGTTTTAAAAAAACATTGCAATCAAAATATAATAATAAATATTAAATGTACATATAATCAACAATATTTTATAATTGAATTAATAAAAACTTATTTTATGAATATTTTTTTAATTCAACTATTATGTAAATTGTATGTAAAATTAAAAATAGAAAATGTCATGAAATTAAGTTAAAGTTACAATAATTTTAGTGAAGTTAGTGATGACATCGCAATATTATATCGTATATAATATAAATTATATAATTTTATACACCATATCATATAATATAATGTATGATTTAAATTAACTTAAAAAAAAATTTCATTTTATATACAATTTCTAAAAGATTTCTATAAATATTTACAAATATAATACAGTATTTTTTATATATTGTAGTATACTATACAGTAATAAACTTTATTAAAGCTATTACTTTATTTAATTTATTATAGTTAGATAATACAGTACATAACATGTAATATGTTTGTTAACAGTGATAATATAGTAAAATCATTTATAAAATTAATATTTAAAAATTTTTATGACAAGTACTTTACTTTATTATGAACTATAATTAAAATGATTTGTCTGAAATCATCATTACATTCATCTATTTATCATTATTTTAAATATCGGACACGAGATTAGATGTCAAGCCAACCACACGTGTCGTATTTAATTTCGACTTAACCCGAGGTCTGTCCGCTAATTGAGTGATCAGTTATTCAATTTATTATTACATTTAAAAATTATATTTTATTTTATACAAAATAACTGAATAAATGCAATTAATAATATTACATACTATTAAATTTATATTATGTAATCAGTGAATAAAATTAATTATAATATTATTCTAAATAATTAATAAGCCTATTTTATTGATAACTATATTGATTGATTAAATTGAAAACTATAAAACAATTTATATATAATAATTATATAACATTAATTCATTATTGTTAAGAAATAAAATAATAACAAACTTTTAGTTATTTATTGCAATTGCTATTAATAGCATCACAAATGTTTTGTCAATTGGTTAATGAAAAGTGAATTTTAGGTACAAATGTTAATAACACAAGAATTGAGTTAAAAGGTGTTATCCATTCAAAAAATTAATTTAAAAAACAATAAAATTATTTTTTTAAACAAAAAAATGAAAAATCTTATAAACATATGTTATGTTAAAGTTTTATAACAAAATAGTAATTTATATTAAATTATTTTATATAACATATTGCAAATAAAAAAGGGTTGAATAGAGCTATAAAAATGTGGTTACAATCAGTTATTATGTTATTTTGTAATTTATTTTTATTATGATTGTTGTCAAAAACTATTTACCGAGACTTTTAATATATGAGTTTATATTAAATTTGTTTGACAGACAAATAATATAAGATATTATTATAACTTATATGAGATGTGTTTTGAGGATTGAATGAAATTTGGTGTCATTTATGATATAAATTCTTGATATAAAGTATGTTATCGTTGGACTCAATGCCGCCACTCTTAGAGAGTCTCTATCCGGCTGTCAGTCTGTCTCTCATTGTCTCTGAATCTCTCAAAAGTAATGAAACAACTTTTGCGATACCATTCATACGATTTCACTGTAAATGTTATGTTTTGTTTGCTATGAAATAACTTAAATATTTTCTGAAAGTTTACTATTATTTTTGTGCTTTAAGTCTACCGAAAAAAATATATTCTGGTGTTAGCACTGGTGTTGGCGTATATGTGATGCAAATACATAACCCAGTGCTGTATAGTCACCCAACCCCTAAGCCATAGGCCAACAGCAAGTGTCGAAATACCAGTGCCTGAGTGTTGGCTCCAGTGGTTTGCCTGATGGTTGGGAATGTTGTGTTATTTTTTGGGGAGAAGCTTATGAAAACAGTGTTTGGGAACTGACTTACCATTAGTTAGGCATTTCTCGAGCACATTGGCTGAACAGTGACTGTGACTGTATATACACTACTAATAGTGACATTGAAAAACATTTCATTACATTCAATACATAAGCAGTGAATGTATGAATGAATTCATTGAATGAATCAATGATTGCAACAAACGCTGACTTATGAGCGGAAAGCAGTCCAAGACTTGTGCTCTTTGTTACCAATGAGTCGTTTAAATGCCTGCTAATAGTCCTCATCCTTACTGTCCACTGACCGACACACACACCACACACGATCACAACCAACACATGACCAACACTGGCCTTAACGGCAATACAAACACTTCAAACAATGGTTTTAATACATCAAACACTCGAAGAGATCGACTCTCAACTAATGTAAACTACAATAACTCATCAGAAATGGACGGAATTAGTGGTGAAAATACCGACACATTAATGGACAGATCATCAAATGTGGTTCACGTATGTCATAGCAAACCATTGTTATACAATCTTTTATTTGCTTTGTTGTCTCATAATTTTTACATAACTTTTAATTGATTTATATTTTTTTTTATTCAGAGCTCTCATAAAAACTATGAAGAAGTAGCGCTAATTGGTTCCGGAGCTTACGGAACAGTATTTAAAGCCCGAGATCTTAATAATGACGGCCAGTTAGTGGCACTCAAAAAAGTTAAAGTACCGCTGAATGAGGACGGGGTTCCCATAAGTTTGCTCCGGGAGATATCTGTTTTAAAACAATTACAAAGTTTTGAACACCCAAATGTGGTCAGGTATGTAATGTATAGAAATTAATTTTGTTAGTTATTTCTATATAAATATATGATAATTGAAGATTATTGGACATATGTCATGGTAAACGTCTTGAGCACGAACGCCAACTCATCCTATTCCTCGTGTTTGAACACGTCGAACAAGACTTAGCCACTTATCTGCATAACTGTCCGGCGCCAGGCATAGGGCCCGATAGGATCAAAGTATAGATAAAAAGCAAATTTATTGCTTAACGTATTGTAAATAATGTGTGAAACTATTGATAAAACATTAGGAACTACTTTATCAACTGTTAACTGGAGTCGACTTTTTGCACTCCAATCGCATTGTTCACAGAGACCTCAAACCGGCAAACATTTTGGTGACAAACGACGGACAACTCAAACTCGCCGACTTTGGTTTGGCCCGAATCTATCAACAGACACAACCACTGACCGCTGTTGTCGTTACGCTCTGGTATAGAGCACCGGAAGTTCTGTTACAGTCTAGTTATGCCAGTCCTGTTGACATATGGAGTGTTGGCTGTATTTTTGCAGAACTGTTTACTCGAATACCATTGTTTTGTGGCCAATCTGAAAATGACCAGTTATGTAAAATATTTAATGTAATTGGTTCTCCCCTTCCCAATGAATGGCCTAAAGACTTAGCACTGCCATGGAGTACATTCTCTAACTTCAAAAAACTTGATTTCGATGATATTGTCAAAGATATTTGTCCGGACGGCAAAAATTTATTAGAGGTAATCATATATCTATTAATGCCATTATTTATTTGATTTTAATAATGATTTAAATTTTTCTCAAATAATATGCAGAAAATGCTTAAATTTGATCCAAACAAGAGGATAGGCGCCCGACAGGCGTTAAGTCATCAATACTTTAAGGAGTATGAAATATATCCACCAAAATATGATAACAACTCAAATAAGAAATTTAATTCCGGTAATAGTGACGATAAATCATCTATTATTTCAAGATAACCAATGATTGCTCACCAAATATATTGCTAAAACATAGCACAAAACTACAATAATCGTTAAGTTTTATGTTATATTTTAAGTTATATTTATATATTGATAAAATAACATATCATATGGAAAGCACCGACACTTACAGATTATCTCTTAAGCAGCTATAAGTATGACCTTATGGTGTTCACCCCACATATCTATACACATATTGCTCACAAATATCTCATTTTATTGATGCCATACATCTTGAGTTTCAATACCAAACTCAAGATACCATATACTTTGTTCAATGAATATCATATTTAAGTTCATTTTATATTTTAAATATAATTTAGGTAGGATTGTTAAATAATAATTATAATTAATAATTATATCATCGGTATAAGAAATATAATGGACTCATTGTTTATTAAATATTTAAGACAATATTGACAACCATTTAGATAGTGAACGATATTTCAATTACTTTTAATAATGATTGACATATAATGATAACTAAAGTATTTTAATCGCAAATGATTTAATTAATTTATTAAAATATACTAAAAAAAAACTCGATTAAAAATTAAGTGCCATTTCATATACACCTAAACATATCAAACGATTTGAACTTATAAAATGAAACCTAAAGTAATAATATGCCATATAATTAAATTTATAAAATTTATTGGCATAATATACTGTTGAATATTTCTCGATTGAAATAAAAATTTAGTCATAATACTACCTATATTATTTTATAACTAAATTATGTAATATTTTAAAATTATAAATCACATATCAATATGTATGCAAAAAAAACAAATGTTACTAAAAACTTATTATTTTTATATTAATTATTATATATTAATAATTTTTATAACTAAGAATAGAAACATATCACATGTTTTATATATACATAACGAAATAGTATTGTATATATAAAATGTAATATTTTATTATAAAAAAATAAAAAATAAATTGTTTATATATTAATAATTAAAATTGAATTGCTTAATTAATTAACTGTCTTATAAATATAATACTAACTGATTTTCTATTGAATTGAATTTAATATATATAGATATATATATATACTGTATATATTAATGAAATAATTTATAGATATCGATGTATATAATGAAAATAAATATCGAAACCAATTTCAAGGCTTTTCTCACAGACCCAGACATCATGTCTTGAGGCGATTCGATATTTAATTAATTTTGCAAATGGTTTGCTATTTTCAATACTTGTATTACATGACACAGGAAAGGCATAATTTACAATATTAAATAAAGTTTAAAGGTTTTATTAATTGTACAGTAAATACTGTATATGATTTAAATTTTTAAAAGTTTATATATTAATAATACCTGTAATAATAACAAATGCTGTGTCAGTAAAATAAATTTAAATTAAATGTAACGTTTATACTGTATATCTATAATGATTGATATTTGAGTTTAATTTGTTTTCAAATTTGATCATGGTTACTTATATTCAAGATCTAGACACTAAAAATACATTATATCATAATCTGATAAAATAATTTCTATTTTAATTTTTTAAAACCAAAAATTTACAATATAATCAAATATCACATTAAATTATAGCCTATATCATATTTATAATGTGTACTATACAATGTATTTATATACTGTATATAATATATTATATAAATATAAATTCTAAATTACTTATACCTCCGATAAGGCTATGGACAACAATATTTTTATTCATAACTATATATTCATAACAATTATTATTTCCTATATATTTATTATATTGACATAAAATGTTAACTGCAATTGTGATAGCCTCGAAAGCACCTTGCCAATTTTACATTTCAATGCTCTGCAATATAATAATCTTTAAATGTTAGCAAAAATATTGATTATATTTTTTAAAATCAAGATAATATCGAATAAATAAATAATCAAATATTCCAAAACACTTATTTTATATTATATTTTTATAAAAATAAATATCATACAAAATATCTTATATGATAATTTATTGTTAATAATTTTTTTAAGTCAATGATATTATTTTAAAGATTGGATTTATGTGTATATTCATAAACAATCTACAAAGAAAATACTACTAATAAATAATGATCAATATTTCCATAAAATAAGAAAATCCTATTAATGTAATAACAAAATTACATAAATTATATATATATATACTGTATAAATAATACATTAAAATTATATTTAAAAAGTCAATAGTACTTTTAAATGCTAAATTTTAATATAAAGAATAAAAATATAATGTACACTACAATTTAGAATTCATCAAATTTTTTAGTTTTATGTAATTATTAAACAATTATCTAAATATGTTAAAATAAAAATCAATTAAATACTATAATATAAATAATTTTATGTATAGCAATTGAAATAAAATTTAAATCAATCAATTTTCATGAATTTCCTAGATTTTCTTAAAAATATAGTTTTACTCTATTATACTGTAATAGTAAAAATTATAATTTTAAATCCTATTTAATGGAATCACTGGCAATGGTCACATTTATAATATACGTAAAATATTGCAATTATAATAATCATTTCACAAGTTTTTAATTAATTTAATAAATTATAAAATTCATAAATAATTTCAATAATAATAAATAATTTTATTTCTTACTATTACAGCAATTATTTTTGTTGAGAACTAACTTCTGCTAAACGTTTCTTAAGACTCTTTAAAATTTCTACTTCTTTAGTGATAACATCTTTGGTTGCCTTTTCAGACTTCAATTGTCTCACTTTGTTTCCCTGTTGTGTCACTAATTCATTTAATTCATCGCCCGTGAAGTTAGGATTGATTTCAGGGATGCCATTGGAAACAGTATTCTCTTGTTTTCCCTTAAATCGCTCTTTCAATGCTTCGATTTCTTTTAATTCTAATTTTTTGAAGAGAGGTTCACCCTTTTTGTCGATATTATGAAAAATCAGTTAAAGTTATCGTATATTTAACAATAAAACCAATAATAACATACTTTTCCTATTTTATGTCCTGATTTTAATAGGCAATGCATTCGTTTATCTTTCGGTAATAGATTTATTTTAATGTTTAGTTGCTTTTGAATAGTATTAGATGTGTTGGGCATATATGGTATGACAAGAACTGATAAAAGTGCTGCAATATTAGCTGATAATCCCATTATAGTGGCCGCACGTAATCTATAATTTTAAAAAATAAAATCACATCAATTGTAAAGTACAGTATAAATGTTCATTAAATATATTGTATATACCTGTCCTCATCACTTCTATCTTTCTTAACCAATTCCCATGGCTTCGTTGCCTGGATATATTGATTGCCAATTCTACTAATACTTAGGATGTGACGAATACCATCCCTGAGCTTTACTTTATCCATCAAATCTATATAAGCGTTGATTTCTCTATTAATTTGAGCCAATAATGTTTTCTCAATATCCAGAAGATTCATCTGAGGAATAGTATTATCGAAATTATTGTTAATGAAAACTAGAGCTCTATTAATAAAATTTCCCAAATTATTCAAAAGTTCTGAATTGTTTTTGTTCATCAAATCAGTCCAACTAAATGTGGTGTCCTGTGATTCGGGTCTTATATATAGCAAATAGAAGCGCCAAATATCGGACGGAATTCCCGTATCTTTAGCGTTGTCTCCGAATACTCCTATACCACGACTTTTTGAAAATTTTGAGTCTTCGTAGTTAAGATACTCAACAGCAGATAAGTGATTAACTATAGTCCACTTGTCATGAGTTCCCAATTCAGAAGCGGGAAATATGATGGCATGAAACGGAACGTTATCTTTGCCCATAAATTGATAGAGAGTTACATCGTCGGGATTTTTCCACCATTCTTTCCAATTGATGTTTTGATGCGCTGTCATCGATGGATAACCAATAGGCGCGTCATACCAAACGTAAAATACTTTATCAGTAAAGCCCTCTAAGGGAACAGGAGTTCCCCATTTCAAGTCGCGTGTAATACATCGAGGTTTAAGTCCATCCCTTAGCCATGAACTGGCAATAACTTTTGCCGTTTGTGACCAACAACTATCGGTACTATTACTTGTTTCCTCAAACCATTCCTTTATCTTAGGCTGTAGTTTAGGTAAATCAATGAACAAATGTTTCGAAGATCTTACGACAGGTCCAGTGGAACAAAGTTTACATTTTGGTTCAATGAGTTCAATCGCGTTAATCAATTTCCCGCATTTGTCGCATTGGTCGCCGCGGGCGTCACAATATGTACAGAAAGGACAGACACCTTCAACGAAACGATCGGCTAAAAAGCGTTCACATTTCGGGCAATACAGTTGTTGTGTCTCTTCTTCTAAAAGATATTTGTTTCGATGTAAACCCCAGAAGATGTCTTGAGCTATCATAGTTTGCTCCTGAGTTGTGGTTCGTCCGAAATAATCGTAAGAAATGTTAAACCAGTCGTAGATGTCTTTATGTATTTTATAATATTTGTCGCAAATTTCTTTTGGAGTTAACTTTTCTTCCAAAGCCTTAGTTTCTGTGGCCGTCCCGTACTCATCAGTTCCCGTCACAAACAATGTGTTAAGATCTTTAAGACGACAATATCTTGCAAACACATCGGCACTGAGTATGGATCCGATAATGTTTCCCAAATGCGGTACATTATTGACATACGGGAGAGCACTGGTCACTAATATGTTATGACCGCCCGGAACCACATTCTTGTCAATCGCTGACACTTCTTCACGCATTATATCACCGCTTATCGACCAAACACTGAAAGCAGTTTCCAGTTCTTCGAAAGCGATGTCAAATTCATTGATTTCATTCCCGGTTTCCATTGTTATGATAATAGTCTGTTGTCTTCTTGTGGATCAATCTATTTGTGACAATCTATGCGTTGAAACTCTGATGAAATGCGTGTAAGAGTTGGCAATAAATCCGAAATATGGCGCAAATGTAACACAAATTATGACAAAGAGATCGACAAAAGTTTTGATTCAACGAAAGCCTATCTTTTAATATCTTCATTAAAAGACATCATTTATGGCTTTAAGAAGAAAGTTGTGCCGGTTTTTCATCTAATTATCACTTATTTGGTATCAAATCAATGATAATAATTGTGATGAATGTGTGTTAATATGTGATAACAATTTGGTTATTATTGGATTGTAATGTCAGTGATATCTTGGATGAGACCATTGAGTGAACAAGTTTTGAGTGCAATGTCTGGTGTGTCACTTGAGCTCATCCCTAGCGGTCATTACGTGAATCTCTGAAGGCTTTGATTTTTTTGGTGTTTTGTTGTTTGAAAACAACATATTTGTCGTTAAAAAAGTGATTATTAATTGATTTATTGACTTTCATTGATTGCCACAATCAAAGTGATTGACCAAACCATCGGTGGTGTCAAGTATTGTATCAAATGATTGACAATTTTGGTTGACGTCTTGAGTACTCAACTGTTTGTTGCAATTGATTGAGTGAACCGACTATTTGAATGGCAATGTCTTCGCAAAACCACAAAGATATCAAATACCCGACTGGTTGTCGGGAAATCAGCGAAGAGCTGCCCACTGATGACCTCATCAGAAGGTGTGTGTCTTCTTAATGATAACTAAATGGCTTTTTGTCTTTGCATTGATTTTATTATTATTTATTAATCACTGTATTGTTTATCATTAATTGGCGCTCAAATCGGTGTCTCATTTGGTTATCATATGAAATGTCAATGTGTTTCATATGATGTCAAATATCCTATTGAAGACACTATTGTTACTAAACTATTGATTTATGTTTTAATAATTTGAATCCTATTATTAATATGTTTATCATAACTACTATTTATAACCTAAAATAAGCACTTCTTATAATATTTTAATTAATTAAATGGTTTGTAAGTTATGTTAAGCAATTAATTATGAAAAAATTGAATAACAATATACTGTTGAATATTGTAATATTTAAATTATTTAGTGATTTATTTAGATATTTGTTAGTTTTTATTGTATGATTTTAAATCTATATTTAATTTCTATAAATTATATATCTTATTGAACTATTGAAAAACAGTACTTTTCATTACATAACTATTTTAATGTGAATTGTATTAAACTAATACTAATTTTAGATTATATTGATTAGCAATTAACTAAATATAAACTACTTAATTATTATTAATATCTAAGTTATAACATTGCGTTTAAATATGATCATAAATAATAAATTATGTTATTAATTATATTAACAGTATTTATTATAATTATGATTGTTATTGATTTATAATAAATTGAATAATAGATATAAAGGCGAAATAAAAGTTTAACAAAAAAAATCATTCATAAATTAATTGTATCCAAAATTATTAAAATTATGAAAAAATGATAACTCATATTAACTACAATTTGAAATTTCAATTTATATTAATTATAATAAATTTGTTTAAGTTTTAAAATAACAAAATAGTATATACAGTATGTGACAAATAATGATTGTTTTGTCAAAAATTAGACTAAAAGACATAGCAATGGCTTTTCAGCAGATGTCTCAAGAAGAGGATAACAGTGCTTTCATACCATTAGCACTATATTTATGTATGATTTTCAAAAATTAATATAAATTAACAATTGAATTGATTAAAGATATTTGACATTATTTTATTATATTATAAAGCGAGTGATTACTTTCTGGAGCACCCCTCCCGTGATGTGCGTCTACTGGTCGCCTGTGCTATTGCTGATGTCTTCCGCGTTTATGCTCCCACTGCTCCCTATCAGCACCCGGAGCTCATTAAACATATATTCTTATTTTTTATTCAACAGTTAAAGGTATAATGAAATACAAAGTTATTATTGATTGCTATTAATTTCTAATAATTTTTTAACAGGGATTACAAGACCCTAAAGACGCCACATTTAAAAGATATTTTTATTTACTGGAGGTTTGAGACAATAATAATGAAAAATGTTTTATATTTGTTTAAAATTAAAAATATTTGTTTAATTAGAACCTGGCGTGGGTTAAGTCATTCAATATATGCATTGAACTCGAAGACTCTCAGACTATTTTCGCACAATTGTTTTCATTGATTTTTAAGGTTTATTTTATAATTTATTTAAAATTAAATTATTGTAAACTATAGTTTATATATAATATATCCATAAGATTGTCAATGAGAACCATAGCGACAAAGTGAAGAACTTTATGCTCGATATGTTGACGCCATTGATCATTGAATCGGATACCGTTTCATCAAAACTGATTGAAATAATTTTGTGGCACATTATTGACCCCAAAAAGGTAATCATTGATAGATCATATCAGTTGACAGATAGTCTAAAAAATAATGTAAAAACACAGACAAACAACAAACAAGCGAATTGGTTGGCCGTTCAGATACTGAAGAAAACGAGCAAAACAATGGAACCATATCTTATTTCTTACTTCACTAATGCCATTACCCATGGAATTGATGATAACGCCGGCGATATTGATGACGATGAGCCCACTCCTGTCGTTCACAAATCAACTGCAAAAGGATCCCGAAATTCAAAGACTGCTAATCAAACAACTTCTGTCACTCAGATATGTGAACTGATTTATGAATTGAACCACATTTGTCCTAATATTATGGAAGGAATTTTACCACAACTCGAGTTTAAAGTGAAGAGCACTGATGAGAAAGAGAGGTGTGATTACACCAAATTATTGGCCCGACTTTTCTCTGATAAAGACTCAAATTTGGCTGAAATTTATCCCGATTTGTGGAAATCATTTTTGGGACGATTTCGAGACATAAGCGTAACGGTGCGAATGCGTTGCGTTCAATATTCAATGCACTTTTTGGTCAATCATCCCGAACTTCGCGATGATATTAGAGATCAATTAAGGCAACGACAACATGATTCAGATGAAAATGTCCGCTACGAAGTGGTTATGGCTATAATTAGTGCGGCAAAGAAATCCATTGAAAATATTAATGAAGATCTTCTTAGTTTTGTTAAGGTTTTCCTTTGTTTTTATATAAACTTCAATTATAAATAATTACTTTATAATTACTTTAACTAAATTATAATTAATTTCTTTACAAATAACGATAGTCTATATTGAATAATATAAAATGATTTAAACACTTCCATAGTTTTGCTAATTAATGATAATTAATAAAAATTGATTTATGGTTTTAACAATAGGAAAGAACATTAGACAAGAAATTTAAGATAAGACGAGAAGCACTTCTCGGAATGGCTCAGCTCTACAAGCAATACAATGTGGCCTCAATTGGAGAGTCAGGAGATTCGATGGACAATTCGGTGTCTGAAAGCGCCAATTCGGCACTAAAAATGCTTAATTGGATTAAAAATAAATGTCTCCATAATTATATCAATTATCAAACACAACTCGATGACAGGTTTAGATTGACTATCATTTCTTAAGACATACAAACTCTTAATTAATTATTTTATCAATAGATTACTTGTTGAGCGTATTCTTCACACATGTCTTATACCATATTCCTTACCTTTGGCACAAAGAATGAAAAGTCTTTACACGTTTTATTGTACGATCGATTCGCACGCCGCGCGTGCTTTCAATGAATTGCTTCGTCAGCAACAGATTGTTAGAAAACAAGTTAAAGAAGTACTCGATCTTCTAAGGTATCATTTTTTTTGAAAAATATATCTTTTTTGGTTTATTTGATATATAGCTATAGTTGAAATATTTTAGGAACGAAAAGTCTGATGATAGGGATCAATTGATTAAACAAAAGATACAAATATGCGCAAAGAATTTGCCCGAACCCGTCAAAGCCGATGAATATATTACTAAATTATGTCGAAATTTGGGTAAATATAAAATATTTATAGATTTTTTTTTTATAAATATAGTATTTACTATGTTTTAATTATAAAATAGAAATAAATCCGGCTCTTAGAGAGCACATGGAGCTTATTGTGACATCGACTTCATTTCCTAGTATTGGTGAAGATGGAGTTCAACTATTACCACCTCCCAGTTCAACCATTGAAGCCAGTGTTAGGGAAGTGCTTAAATCATTGGGTTTTCCGGTACAAACAAATTCATTTTATATGATAATCAAGCAATTAATGGAACGAATTGCACCGATTATGGTAGATCATGAGGGTATGTAAATATCAAATTTGTATAAATTATTTCTATTATCAGTAATTGATTTTTTGTTTATTTTTAAGGTCTTTTAATTTTATTTAATTATGTTTCTGATTCTCTGTTGGGCGACGGAGAGTTGGACAGTGAGATGGGAATTGAGAATTCAGCCAAAAGAGGACTACAACTTATTTTGGTAAAGAAATATTGAGAGTTATAATTGAAAAAATATAGAAATTAATTAAAATTATGTTCAATACTTTAGAGCCTATCTCTAGTTTTTCCGGCACTGTTTCACGGCAGAGAAATATTCACATCTTATTTGTTACCATTTTTATGGCAAAGTGGAGATCAGCATCAAATCTCTGAATTAATTTTACAAATATTAACAAACATTGGCCCTTCTGCTGGTGCCGATGCTCTTGAAGAAGAGCGACAGCTTCTGGCATATCCCTGGTGGGCGGCCGACGATGTCATTCCCAGACTTGTTGACCGATTTGTCTTAAAGGGTTAATAATCAATCTTTTATTAATTTTTGTAAATATCTATAATTGATGAAAATATTTGGTATATTTAGCATCGACAACAAAACAAGCAAAATACGCCATACAATGCTTGAATGCTATAATTGCTGATGAAAATGAAAAGATGAAAGTATTTGGCGAAATCATTGATCAAATTAAGGTTTGTAATAATTTTATTTACCGGTAAATGTTTCAGTTTATAAATATAAATAATTGATAATTTTAATGTAATAATAGGCGAGTGGCTTATCTCTGGAGACATCTCCTTACTTTAGAAGCCATTTGGTAACACTAGGAATGATAGCTATATATGGCGGACAAATATTTTTCCCGAAAGTTCTTCGATCTATAATTCAGAAGTTTATAGTTCAGGGATTGTTAATGAAAGACGTGAAAACTGATATCGAAATCAATACATTAGAGGAAAACGAAAGACAGAGAGGTTTGTCACACAATAAATATATATATATATATATACCGGTATATCATATAATTTTAATTTGTTTTTTTTTTAGATAATTCTGATCCTAATATTAGTTACGAATATTGTAGTGAAGAGGTTAAAGCAAAGATTGAAGGAATTAAATTAATGGTTCGATGGCTTTATGGCATCAAAATTAGTACTATTTATGGTAAATCTTTATAATAACTAAAGTATATCTAATGATTTATAAAATTTACATAAATGTTAATTATTGTAAATATAACAGCTATGCCTGAGAGTCAACAAGAATTAATACAACAATATCAGAAAACAGCATCCAATACATTAAATATGCTGAAAGTGATCCTTCAAAACAAAGGTGATCTAAATGAGCAAAATCTTGTGGGAACTACACTAGAAAAGGCTCACTTAAGACAGGCTGCGGCGTTGGCTATGCTTAAAATAACACAAAACGATTCAATAATATCCATATCAAGTAATGGTGACAATACACCATTATATAATTCTCCGACCACTTTATCAATTATGACGGCCGAACAGTGGCACTCATTGGCCACTACTCTATTAGATACCGAAGATTTTGTTCGCGAAAAGTTTTCAGTTAAACTACACAAAGGATTGATGTCAATGGCGTTAGGACTGGAATTCTTAGCAATTCTTTCATTAGGCGGAACTTTCAATACTGATTCAATGGCTAATTTCAAAAATAAATTGCGGTAAATGTTTATCATTAAATATATTTTTAAAATAATTTTGTTAACATATTATTAATATATTTTTATAGATCTTATTTGTTCTTAAATTTGGTTAAAAGACGAGAACTGATTAAATCAAAATCAGTGTCAAACATGAAGAGCGTAATGCCTGACTGTGTGATGCCTTTTGTCATACATTTGTTGGCTTATATGCCATTTTATGTCAAATACGATGATATTACACAACTAGAGAGTGTTAAAGGTTTGTTTGTCAAAAAATATTTACCGACAATTGATTTTAATTTGAATTAAATTATTTGTTATATTAAACAACAAAAGAGTGTCTTTGGTTTGTGATGGAGCCGTTGGTTCTGAAGAACGAACACTTTTCGTTTTCATTCTTCAAGAGAACATTCGAAAACATTAAGGTTTGTGTCGATCGAGTCTCACAAACTCAAGAATCCGAAGGCAACTCATCGACTTCCAACATAATGGCAACAATGACTAATTACAAGATATACTGCGCCTGTGATTTAGCTCTCGGATTAGTTATGAGTAAAACACAAAACTTTCTTCTCAAAGACTTTCCCGTTCAACCATCACTTCCAGGAAAATATTTTATTGGTATTTAATTTAATTTAGTAGCAAATTATGTTTTTTAAAAATTTTATTTTGCTATCAATAGTGTCGCCTTCGGCTGTCGATAACAATTTGAAGTGTTATTTACCGACTGAAATGCAATTCGCACCACCGAAACGTTGTGGTCTCGAAGCAGAGATTCTCGGGAAAATTACCAAATCTTTTCCACAGGTTTTTATATCGGGAATTCAATTGTAATTTAGTTACTAATAATTTTTGATTATTTATTTAGTCACCAGTAATACCTCCGCCACAGAGAGGTCGTCCAGCGAAGACAGCTCAACAACAACAGCAACAAATAAAACAACAAATTGTTGTCATTACTGGCGAAAATTTACTGGAAGAAGGAGTAATTATTGAACAAGAGACTGAAAATTTAACAAACAATCCGATCCAAAGACCTCGTAAACAAACTGATATAAATAATACAGAAGACGAAACAAATGGTACTGAAAAAGTCGAACCAATTGCTAAACGTAGTAAAGTAGATACTAATACAATCACTGTAAGTGCAGCGCCGGCATCAACAGCTAATGCTGTTTCTGCAGGACGTATGACACGCGCCAGGGGTTCAAAAGTAAGCGAAACTAAAGATTCGTCCAATGAAGACAAAGATGAATCACAAAATGACAATGAAGAAGAAGAAGATGAGGAGGAGGAAGAAGAAGAAGATGATGAGGAGGAGGAGGAGGAAGAAGAAGAAGAAGAAGAAGATGGTGATAAGGAGACAATTCAAGTCTCACAGAAGCGAACCCGTGGTAGACCACCAAAAAGTTCTACTATAGCAGCCGCAGCACCGACTGCACAATCTGCTTCTCTTGAAGATGACTCATCTCCTCAAAGAAAATCAGCAAGAATTGCAAAAAAGTATTATATTATTTAATAAAAATTAATTAATTAATATATTTTTTTACCGGTAAGGGTACCGACGCAAAGATCCCCATCTCCAGAAGCGACTGCACCGGCAACTCGTGGTGGTAAAGGTCGTCCCAGAGGTCGCGGCAGAAGATAAATATAAAAATACACTTATTATAAAGTCATTTACTTTTATAATTGTCAAAACATTTCATTATTCATTATTTTTACTTATTTAATACAAACATTATTTCATTTGATAAAATAATATTAAATTTTTTATCAATTTTCGCTGATTATCAAAAAAAAAACATTACCGGTACGGTATTTTTTAAAATATAATGAATTTTTAATCAATTTGAATCAATCAATTAACAAATAAGCAAATTATTATTAGTAGTGAAATTCAAAATCTGATCACACATTTGCTAAACATATATTGCATTAAAATTATTATCAATTAATTGTGTTTATTATAACTTTTTTCTTAAATCTTTAAAACTCGTTATCATTAATCAACAAATACTGCAAATTAATGATATAATATAACATGAAATCATATGGGATTTTAATTGTATGTCCAAAAGCATTGTTTAACTGATTAATTATAAAAGTAATTCCTATAGGAATAATATGATAAATGTGGATAATTGTGGATAATTGTGCATGATCAATTATTATATATAGTTTTTATGTGATGTGTACTCAATGGTTAAGCTATTTATCATTGATTTAATGCATATAATTTGGTTGAATTGATATGTGTGTATGTGATGACCATAGATGATGGTAAGTGATGGTAATGAACAAGTTTGCCGCCACTTGCATACAATAGGCCACTGTATTGAATGATACACCCATTTGTTTGGAGACATATGATTGGCTAATAGTGAGTCATGTGGTTAAGTGAATGGTTGTTGATATACACAATGTATTGAATACTGTATTGTATTGTATTGTATATACACTACTCGTCACTCAGTCTGAGCCTAACATTGCTCTCAAACAGTGCTATAAACTGTATAACTGACTACTTGTGCTGTTTTTGTTGAAATGATTAGACCAACTGATGGTCACAACCGATGAATAGTGATTATCATGTGTTTGTCGATGAGGTGGTGGTTGTTGTCGATGATTGTTAGCTATAGATAATGATTATAATGACAATACAAGTAATGGTTCCAAAGCTTGTAAACACTGGACTCACGCTATACTTGTTTACAGTCATCTCATTGACGATCGTAACCAATGGTTTGTATTGTTTATAATGACTTAACTAACTATTGATTTACCAAATGATTCATTCAATGCTAACCATTATATCATATCATATAACAGTTAAAAACAAACAAACATTGCTTACAATTATCGATACATTGATTCATTGATTTTCTATTGAAAAATATCAAAATATTTTGCAAATAATTGTGACAATACATTAAATGTATAGTTAGTTATTGATATACTGTATAATTGCATTATTTATTTATTTTATAATTACTTTGTTTTAGTGAATTGTTTTATGATTGCTATATAAAAACTGCTGTTTAAGACTTTAAGACATCATATGATAATTGAATTACTTTATAGTACTCACAAATAAATAAATATATGATATATACTGTTATATATAGTTTATGATATACAATATATGTTATATCATAGATAGTATGATATAATATATTCCTATATTTAATGTTATATTATAACGTGAATATCATATTCTTTGTATTATTTATTTAAGTCTAAAATTAAAACAATAACATTGTTTAGTATTAATCCTATTATGATCTACAATAATATACCATTTTATTTATATATTAATATATATATATATATATATAATATAATCTACTAGATCATATTACTGCTGTTTTTATTTTATACCTCTAATGGTGACTTATCCTAATTCATGTGAAAATAGATTATAACTATAAAATTTATTATAATATCAAAAAAGAGAGAGAGAGATAATATGAACAATAATAGTTAACTATAGTTATTATGAAATAGTTTTTAAGTTGTAGTGATTAGTTGTGTATTTTTAACGCATTTTATGATTAATTGGCCGCAATATTGTCATAATAGATATAATAATGAGAATATAAATAGAGATAAACTATTATTAATAATATAAAGAAGTGTTTATATGAATTAAATAAATATTTAGAGAACAATGAATATATGATATAATGAATATATGATATAATGAATATATTGAATGATATGAAAGAAAAGTGTTTATTAGTGAGAATTAGTTAATTATTTGTTAGCAATTGTTTTGAGAAAAGCCATTACAAGTAGTGAACTATATTTATCCGAAAGCTTTCATATGTTATTAACTATTGTTAAGTTAGACTCCAATATATGTTTTGCACGTTTAGGATGTATTGCATTATATCGAAGTACTTGACTATACGGTTAATACAGTATAGTAGTAGTAGTAGTGTATTGACTATAATAATGGTCTACTCTTTATATATGGGGTTCGGCTATACTTATAATAGATGTCTTGTTTGCTCTGCTATTGCCTCTGTTATTGTCAATTGAGTAAAACTTTTAAAGATTTTTGTTGGCTTAGTATTTAAGTGAACACAAGTCATACAAACGCTTATTGTGTATATTAAGTGCACAGCAATAGCGCTGTTTGAGGCCTAAACACAGCTCAGGGATGTGGAGTTAGGAGTTCATCATTTGCTGTTTCATTGGAATAACAACGGGCGGTCTTCACATGCATTTCAAATGTCTTGTAGAGAGTCTTAAAAAAAGAAAATAAGACGAGAGGTTAGCCAGAGGTTGGCTCAGTTAGTCTCACAAAATGCACTAATAGTTAGTGTAGTACACTGTATACTATTGTAAGAGTAACAAGTGATAGGCTGTTAAAGCGCTCCAACACTTGAAACACTTGAGTTTTCTATATAAACTCCATAAGCGCTGACCGGAGGGCCAAATACCTAGTCTTGAATATACCTAATATATTGCTAAAGCTTTTGGATGGCATTTATAGCCATAAGGGCTAACAGTATACCAATGAGAGACCCATCACTATTGCCTATTATAACCAGTTTTGCCACTTTTATTCATTTATATGAACAACTTTCACAACTATTTGCAAACATTTTATCGCAATAATTATAAGATGTTTTTAATTATTAAGCGATAACTATATATATATGTATAGATTTAGCTTAAAATTAATGTTTTTGAACTCAATTGACACCTAATATTCAATTGAATTGCGATAAGAATATGCATTTGATTAGTGATTAACTCAATAAATGTGCAAATGGTTTATGTCTTACTAAACACAAATATTTTATATATTTAAATATGACTTATATTTGTTAATATTTTAGGATTAAGTTTTCAAACCAAAATATTTAAGTCAAAAATACTATTTTTAAATATACTTTTCCTAATCAGCAATTTTTCAAAACACTATTTATTTGTTGCAGTTATTGATAAAATAAATTGAATGCAATTTTAGCGTAAAATTTAATGAATTAAAGATTTGCTCAAATTATAGAGCTTTGGCTAAAGCAATGAAATTGAGTGAATGCTAGCAAATGAAAAATCATATAATTTATTGTATAAGTCATATACAATGCATACATGCATTAGGAATGTAGTAGTGTTTAGTTTATAGCCTCCAGTCTCGTCCACCCAAACCCAACAAACATCACATAAATTATTTTTATTCAAAAATTATTTATTAAACATAACATAGAAGTTTTAATATCAATTCATATTAATATTCAGTATTTTTAATAAACACATTATAGAATTGTCTTATTTTATGGCATTACATAAAATTTTAAAATTTAATTTCATAAATATTTTATAACTTAAAGGAATTGAATAATGAGAAAATATTTTGTTATTGTATAGGCAATCAATTGGATGCAAACTCAGGGACTGATGAGTTATTGATCACTACTTTTACGGACATACAAAATGAAACGCCACAAAATGTAACGGTTGAGTCTTCCGGTGCCACCAGTGTTATCATTAGGTGGGAACCACCGGTCAAAGAGCTTACAAATCCAGTGACAGGATATAAAATTAGATATCGAATTAAAGGCAATAAAAAAGTCGATACCGTTACCACTGATGGCAATAGACGTCTATATGAAATTACAAATCTGGATAAAGGAGTTACATATAATGTTAAAATAGCTGCTATTATGACCAATGGGACGGGACCCGCATCTGAGTGGTTATCAGTTGAGACATTTACCAATGATTTGGATGAGACGCAAGTTCCAGATAAACCGGTCAATTTACGAGCAAAACCCAATGCTAATGCAATATTTGTGAGTTGGGCGCCTCCTAAAAACCAAAATATTATTATTCGCGGCTATACTATTGGATGGGGTGTTGGCTTTCCTGATGTTTACACTAAAGTGTTGGATGGAAAGCAACGATCGTTTACGATTGATAATCTTCAGGCATCTTCAGAATATGTAATTAGTTTGCGGGCATTCAATCAAGTTGGCGATGGACAGCCTATTTATGAGACAGTCAAGACATTGATAGAATCGGGTCCTGAGTCGAGTCAACTGCCAATGTTACCTCCCGTCGGCTTAAAAGCTATAGTACTTTCGTCGACAACTATTATTCTTTACTGGACTGACACTACACTCGCCCGCAATCAAGTGGTAACCGATAACCGACGTTATTTAGTTCGGTACACAAATAATATTCACTCAAATAATCCAAAATACAAGTATTACAATACAACTGATCTCAATTGTATGATCGATGATTTAAAGCCCAATACTCAGTATGAGTTTGCGGTCAAAGTAGCTAAGAATCGTCGTGAGAGCACTTGGAGTATGAGTGTACTCAATACAACACAAGAATCGGCTCCATCCTCACCACCGAGAGATTTAACAGTTGTCGTCTCTACTAATGATGATCCGACTGTCATTAACCTTCATTGGCAGCCACCTAAACAACCTAATGGACAAATCACCGGTTATGTCATATTTTACACGACTGATAATACACAACGAGATAGAGATTGGGTCGTTGAAGGAGTTATCGGAGACAAAATGACTACAGTCTTGAAGGGATTATTACCCGATTCTTCTTATTATTTCAAAATACAGGCGCGAAATAACAAGGGTTACGGTCCTCTGTCTTCAGAAGTTTCATTTAAAACACTTCAAGGTATTACTTGTTTTCTGATACTCATTCAAAGCATATATAGTATTGAAACTATATGTTAATTATTATTATTGATTGTAATGATTTTAATTTTAAAAACCAATTATTTTACTAATTATTTAATGCACTTAATTAATGTGATTTATTTATTGCACTTTTTGTTTTGTTTTGCATGAATTGTACGAATGTATTGACAGCACTACCCGATTCACTTGGATCGCGATATAATGGTATGTTTTGCACAAAATATTGAAATTATTTATTAATTATATACGAAATAATTGTAATAAATTTTTGATTATACAGATGGTCGCAATATATCGACAAATACATTATACATCATAATAGGTGTTATTTCTGTCATTTCATTACTGCTACTTATAGTTGTCGGCACTTTGCTCTGCCGATCCAAGAACTCTGCCGGAGTTATGAATGCAATGCGCAAACATAAAGGTTATATGGCTGCAGCTACCAGTCCAACGAGCAAAGGTGCAGCTGCTAAGGGTAAAGGAGGTCGCGAATTAAAACCTCCAGATTTATGGATTCATCACAACGAAGCTCTCGAATTAAAAGCAATGGATAAAAATGATTCAATGAGTTCAACACCTATGCAAAGGAATCCACAATCGATGGACATCGATGTCATTGAGAACTCGAAGAAGTCATCCACTTATAATGACTCACTATATGATGATCTCAATAAAGACTTGAAGAGATCAAGTTCGCCAATTGATTCAACTATAATAGTGAGCGGAACTTCAACTACTGGGCGGCGCACGGGTCGCGCCAAACCTATTTCAATACCTGTTGAACAAAATCCTACTTCAAATGGAGTCATAAGTTTGGAACCTTCAACGGGACTCTCGCGACCACTTTTCCCGCGCACACAATTTAATTCGCGCGCACACGTAACACTTGACTCCATGGACAATACCTCGGGTGTCAATACTTCAGTTCATCATTTGTATGATCCGGTGGCATCTCCTTCACTACATATGGGTGTTGGTTCGGCAGCCAATGGACCGCAGTTGCATACGGTCTCAATCTCTTGTGCATCAAATCAAGTCATTTCAAATGCTAGTCCTTCTGTTAATAATTATAGTTTAGGCAAAAGACAGTCCAGCCATCCATTAAAGAGCTTTAGCGTTCCGGCGCCTCCTCCGCCTCCACTATCAACACCTCCACCGCCAACAAACGCCAACAGTAAAATATTTATAATTAAACAGTAATATAACAAAACAATTTTGATATTTATAATATTTATATCAACTTTTAGTGGTCAGACCTCAATTTATCCAGAGTCCTAATAAAAAGACGGCCATCAATGGTATTATTTCTTCACATAAAGGAATAAATGCATTGACACACAACAGAACAACAGAAATGCTCAAAAAGGATGAGTTAACTGTAATTTTAATAACCTTTTATTTTATTAAATAATTTACTAATTGTTATTAAATATCTTTTATAACAGCCGTCTTATAGTACTGAAGAACTCAACCAAGAGATGGCTAACTTAGAAGGACTTATGAAGGACTTGAGTGCTATCACAGCTAAAGAGTTTGAGTGTTGAGTGATTAGTCAATCAACTCATGAGTCAATCAAATGTTGCCATTAGTTTTTGTTTGACATTTTGAGCTCAATTTTCATATTTTTCTATCAATCAGTCAAATGATTTAGAATTGTGTTTGAATTATCGTTTTTGTAATTATTTTAACAGCATTTATATATTATTATAATACGAATCTCAAGAATTATTGTATTTATAATTTTTAACGATTTAACTATTTTATTGATTTTTAAAATTATTTAATTATTTATATTTTATTTACTTTTAGCTAATTCAGATAAGACTAAATTTAAAAAAAAGAGTTTCAAAATCTAAAATATAACATTAAGATTTATTATACAGTATATTTATAAAACTATTACCGTATATGATAATTATTAACTTAATAGTACTATACAGTATACCATATTTATATATACCGTATGTAAATTAGTGCCAATTCATGAAATTAATGGTAACTAAATTATGATAAGAATCTCAGTGGAAATACACAACATTAGTATTTAACATATTATGTAATTATTTGGTCAAACTTTTATTTATCATTTAAGACTCGATTATTTTTTTTTGTTGTAAATTACAAATTTATAAATTATGTCATTTTATGTGCCATTCATTTAGTTTATTGTGAATATAAAACCTAACATTTACTATATATATACACAGTTACTGTATTACAGTATATCAACTTATTTATTGGTCTAATATACACTAAACATTTTCAGAACAAACTCGGTACTTTTTTATTTATATTACTTATGATTTTTGTGCTACATTTGGTAATTATAAAAGATACCATATTGTCATGTGTTGTTTAAAAAAATGCGACATCATTTATGTAATTATTTAATTATTTAATAGAGATATAGTTACACAAAAAACATATGTAATATACATAAAAAGGGCCCGAGTTTTCGATAGCTCATAAACCGTGTATATCATTTCTACTTAAACTTTAATCATTAAGTAAATAATTATTACTGAATTAATTATAAAACTTTTATAAATAGTGTTTTTTATATTTCATTATTTTGTACAAAAATAATTGTTTCAATCAATTTTATTTTATAACTAATTAAGAGTTTTGTAATGATTATATATGAAAAATGAGATTATATAAAAATAAATTATAAAATTATGCATTATTTGAATTATATTAATTTTATTTATTACGGTAAATAAAATTTTATTAAAATGTATACAGTATATTACTATTAACTACTGTACTGTATATTAGCATGATCAATTTTGAAAATTATCGGTAAATGCAATATTATGGAAAAGCAAAATACATGTACCGATAGTTATCAACATTAAAGTTAAATTGTATTATAAATAAAAAAAATAATTTTGACAATAAATAATTTCTAAATCAATTAAATTTGTGAATTTTTGTAAAATTATTAAATTTATTTCTAATATCTAAAGCTATATTAAAAAAAAATAATTTTATACCACATAATATATTATAAATTATGTTAAATTACTATTAAAATGAGTATAAAGTTATTATACAGTAATAATAAAATTATATTTTGATTATTATAAAAATAAGCAAATGTTAAAACAAACAATCAATTTGTTGATTATTATTATGGCTTTTATTATAATATAATTTAGTAGTACTTACTGTACATGTATTTAATATAATAGTTTTATTATTAATATCTATTTATATGTCTATGTGTTTGTGTGGACGTCATTGATGTAAGTGATTGTAAAAGTGGGTAAAAATATTGAATCATTGCTTCCTTTTCTGGTCTTCAATGAGAAGACAATCGACACGTGTTTAGTGGGAATCAAGTCTTGAGATCATTAAAATGGTTTGTCTTAACATTACTTCATTGTCTTTATATAGACTTTAAATGCTTTTATTGTTAATACAATTTAAATTAGTTATTAGTTATTAAAATGATTGATTGAATTGAATTTAATTGTTAATTGATTTGTATGTTTGATTAGACGACAGCCGCTTACCGGCCGTTAGTTAGCGTTTACACCGAAAAGAATGAGAATTCTGGTGTATCGGTAAAACTTCCCGCAGTGTTTCGGGCGCCCATCAGGACTGATGTCGTTAACTTTGTCCACACAAACATCCGAAAGAATAAGCGACAGCCGTATGCCGTGTCTCGCGAAGCGGGTCTGTATTTTTGTAACCAATTGATGACTATTTTGTTTGATTATTAAGTGATGATTTCTGCTTTTGGTCCGTGTTTATGAACCGATTCACTATCGGATGATTTTATCTTTCAAAAGCTCTGATTATTTTTATAATTAATATATTTCATATTTTTTTTTGTTTAATTGTTTACTTTAAGATCTAATTAATGTGTTTATTGTTGTTTATAGGACACCAAACTAGCGCTGAGTCGTGGGGTACCGGACGTGCTGTGGCTCGTATTCCTCGAGTTCGTGGCGGTGGTACTCATCGCTCAGGTCAGGGAGCTTTTGGTAACATGTGTCGCGGTGGACGCATGTTTGCACCGATTCGTGTTTGGCGACGACTTCACCGAAAGGTGAATCGTAATCAACGTCGATATGCAATTGTATCGGCTATTGCTGCCTCTGGTGTTCCTTCGGTGGTTATGAGTAAAGGACATTTGATTGAAGAAGTACCTGAATTTCCATTAGTTGTATCCGATAAGATCCAAGAATACAATAAAACAAAACAAGCGGTCACTTTCTTGAGGAGCATTAAGGCCTGGAATGATATCGAAAAAGTATATAAATCTAAGCGATTTCGAGCCGGAAGAGGAAAGATGAGGAATAGACGTCGTGTACAACGATTGGGACCAGTCGTGGTCTATGCCAATGACTCTGGACTTACTAAGGCTTTCCGTAATATACCCGGAATCGAGACTATAAATGTCGAGAAACTTAATTTGTTGCGTTTGGCTCCCGGAGGACATGTCGGCCGGTTTATCATTTGGACTGAAAGTGCTTTCAGAAAATTAGATGAATTATACGGCACGTGGAAGACTGAGTCTAAACTCAAGAGAAATTATAAGTGAGTGTAATTCAAATGTTTGAATAAATGATGTGTTTATACCATTTTATAACTAATGACTATTTATTATTCAATAGCCTTCCACAGCCAAAGATGGCTAACACTGACCTCTCCAGGATTTTGAAGAGCGATGAGATCCAGAAGGCTTTGAGACCACGAAAGTATGTATTTTATTATTTTTATCGAGTATTTCATGCTTTTGATGAGATAACTACTGGGCTATGATTTAATGATTTTGAATAGTTTTCTGATTGTAGTTACTATTAATAACTTGAGTATATTATTGATAAATATTAATTAAATGATGTAATTATTTATTTAGCACTCGAATTAATCGAAGTGTGGTTAAGAGGAATCCTCTGAAGAACCCATTGGTGATGCGTAAACTCAATCCTTACGCTGCAGTTCTCAAGAAGTACGCGCGCGTTAATAACGAACGCCGAAAATCTGCCCGAGAGTTGCTGTTGAAGAAGCGTCGCGGAGAGAAAGTTGATGAGAAAGAGCTGAAGAAGGCTGCGCTCGCACTCGGCATCAAAATTAGGAAATATAAAGAATATAAGGCAGAGATCAACAAGAAAAAGGAAACCCTTAAGAAAATCCGCGATAAAGTAGCCTCAGATCGCTCTAAGAAAGAGTCCGCTAAAAAGTAAATTAAGAATAATTGTATTAATTATCAATTTGTGTAATCGTTTTGAATAAAGAGGTTTTGAAATATAATATCTTTGACTTATTTTATTTTTTTAATTATCGTAAAAATAAAAGGTGTAAATAAAAGCTATTTATTACCTCAATATAACAATCAATATATTAATTTAAAATATATTATAAACTTTAATACAAATTAAAACAATCCATCATTTGATATGAAGAGTTGTAATTAAAAATTTATGTCATGTCTTGTCACGTGTTATTTCAATCATTAATGGTTCCAATGATCGGAGGCATCGGTGGAGAGATTAAACAAAAAAGCGGTTATTTATATGAAAATTAGAGTAAAGAATGAGTTCATAATTCAAAGATCTCGTCCTGAGTTTGCTCCAAACGTTTGAGAGAAGACTTGACTTTCCTCTTATGACTCATCATCACTAATGGTTGCGGAAAATCACTATGATTTGAATTGGCCGAAGAGTTGGCTGAATGTGGTCGTGAAGTACTGCTGTGATGTCGCCTTAAGGCAGACCTATCGGTGTTATGGTTGAACCGAAAAAGGTCATCATCCGAATGAGTACCAATCAGTCGGTTTTGTTGCATATCTTTCACTTTGTCTTTAGTTTTGGCAATTGAACTGTCAATACGTATCAAAAAATCTGCTGCACTTTCATCTGCGTTACCATTATTGCAATAACTATCCAAATCATGTGTCTGACCATCACTTGACACTAATGTTTTAAAACCATTTTTTAATTTATGATCGTTTTTCCGACTGTTTTGACTCATTTGATTTGCATCTAAACGTGAAGAGTTTGACTCATTGTCATCGAGAGGAATGTCGACACTATCGAGGCTCGAGTTGTTCGTAGTCATTGGTATACTGTTTGAAATAATCTCTTTAGGACTAGTCGTTAGTGAACTCGTATTACTCGATGAATATAGAGGTGACTCTATGTTGGTCTCAGTATTAATTACCACTGGTATTGATATGTGTGTCCGCGATCTCAACCATAAGTTATCATTTGACCACAAATTGTTGGCTCTTTTGATTTGTTCCACCTATTGATCCAAATAAATGATCAATTAATACAAACATCTTTATATTATATGATATGAATGTCTACACTTACAGTCACTTCATACTTGACGGCCAACCCCTGTAATGTATCTGTTGGTTGAATCAAATGAGTGATATAACGGTATCGATTTACACCCTTGTAATCGGTTCCAGTACTGCCATACTTCATATGAGACCTCATTGAGTGCTTTAAGGATTCCGTCTCCGATTCGGTCAAACTTTGGTCGCCGATTGGCGACGAGTTGGCCAATAAGTCGTAAGACATCTGTGACCACTTCGTTCAGTTAACAAACCATCAAATGAGTGACACTTTGAGTGACAATAATGACAACAATCAGATGATAATACAAATCATGACTGTCTTATCAAATGAAAACCAATTGAAAACCAATTAATAGTTTAGTGTTTAAGTGTTTAGTATTGAAGTTGTGATCAAAAGTCAATTCAATGCATTCAATGTAAACACAAATCAATGAAATAATTGTGTTGTTTGTGATGTTTGTGTTGTCACTAATGTTGTGCACTATTTTCGAGACCCACTTCTAGTCTAAAAGCAATACACAATTGATTGTGAAGTCAACTAATGTTTTAAAACGTTTGAATGCATCTAATTTTGGCTACAATTTTCATAAATCATTATAATTAATAAGCCTTTGAATTAATCAAACCATTTAATATAAAAAATTATATTTTTTAATAATATAATTTTATAATTATTATATCATATATTATATATAAATGGATTATTCATTGAAACAAAACTGTCGTTACATTTGACTATTTATCTAATCTCTATATTTCAATGTATACAATATAGCACAGTATAAAACAAATTTAACGGTAGAATTTATTTTATAAAATTTGTGATAAAATATATAATTATTGATATACTTATACTGTAGTATATTGTAGTATATATTATGTAGAAATAAAAATAAAAAAGTTTTCAAATAATGATAAAGGATTTTTTACTTATAAATATTTGTTAATTACTGAATATTTGATTAAAATAGTTAACATTTCCATTACTCGTTTAAATGATTGTTTATTGAAATATTAATATAAATATTTAAAAATATAAGAATTATATTTATAAAATAATTATATAAGTATTTATGCATTTTATAGATTAAATGACATATTATTTTATACAAGAATTTATTTATTTTTATTAAATTTTAATACTATATTAATTATATTTAAGTTATTAAACTGTATGCAAACATATATTTAATTTCTTGAATATGTTTTAAACTAAATTATAATCTTAATCTATTGAATAAAATTGTTATTAAAAATGTTCTAGTTTATTTATTAAATATTTTATTAAACTTTTATTAGTCTACTCTATTATACACATTTTGTATATCCATTTTCATTAAATTAAGTTTATTATAATAAACAAATTAAATATTATTAATATAATCTTTTAAAAAATCATATTATATACAGTGTATATAATGAATATAATTAAATATGTCATTATATTAATGTAAATTAATCTACAGTACAATAATTGTAATAAAATAAATCAAAATTATTCATAAAATTAAAATATTTTTATTAATACTGAACTCAACCGATAAAAGTCATGTTATATATGAATGAATGAATCAATAGTTGTATAAAACATTTGTAAATAAATGATATATTAATACAGGATTTGATAAGAAATAGTAAATTATTTATTAAATAACTGTTTAAATAGTGATTCAATTTATAGATTTAGTTATAATTTTGGTACAAATATTGTGATTATTTGTAAATATTTGGTTAAATTGATTGTCTTTTTTGATATAAAATGAATTATCAATTATACAGAAACACTACTTTAGGTCACACATTGCAGGAGACACTCGACGACTTCATTCAGGTATATATACCACAAACTATCACTATTTGACACCAATTTAAGACATTGTCATCTAATTTATTATTATTATCAAAAGTCTGGTCAAATTAGTCCACAACTGGCTATTAAAGTGATGCTTCAATTTGACAGATCTATCAATCAATCGCTGGCTAATAGAGTTAAGACAAGACTTACTTTTAAGGTATGGTAACCATTATCACCGATATATATGATATATATTACAATCTATACTATATTTGGTGATAATATCAATAGGCCGGACACCTCAAGACGTATCGGTTTTGTGATAATGTTTGGACATTTGTACTCAAAGACGTCGAGTTTCGCGAAGTGCAAGAGTTGGTCAAAGTGGACAAAGTGAAGATCGTTGCCTGTGATGGCAAAGGATCACAGGCTAAGGATGAAAGGGATTAATACATCTATGGATTCATTGTCACAACAACTCTCCATTCACTACATTATATAATGATATCATTAAATGTTTTTATTAATTGTCCGATCATTTGATGATTAATGTATCGTTTTTAATATTAATACATATAAATGGTTTATGTCTTGAATTTAATTGAATGAGTTATTTGATATATTTAAATGAAATGATATATTAGTGTAATTTTTTTTCAGTAAATATGGTCTGTAATTATACAATAATTATATAAACATTTACTATATTTTTAAAAAGGCTTTAAATAATTGAAACGATGTAAAAATCAATACCTTTTTAATTGTTAAATATTTTATTAAATAATTTTATTTAAGCATTTTATTGATTGTATTAATTGATTTCAATTGAAAGTATTATTTAAATATTGTTAGTATTGTTAGTATTGTTAGTATTGTTAATATAACTAATATTATGTTATTTATGGTAAACATAGAGTAAAGTCAAGACAATCAATGAGTCAATGAATGGCGACTATAATGGCTTAGCATTGACTGTGACTGTCTGTGAGTCACTGAAACACTGAACTTAACACTGCATTAGACTATGAATTGAGTAATAGTTGTATTATTGAGTGTTTTGTGACATTCATTATACGTATTATTGACTCAAATGCTAACTCAAGACATAAAAACCATTAATAAAGCGATTGTTGTTTTAAGACTTGATTTATAAATTGATCGACAATTTTGAATACAATAATGGATTTGTCGACCACAGGAAAGGCCGGATACGAGGCATCAGATGTTCTCGAAGATGCCCTACAGCTGGCCGTCGATGAAGAGCTCAAAGAGGTTAGTGTCAGACATGATATGTTTGACTGAATTGATTATTAATATCTTTGTTTGTTTGTTAGGACATAACCATCATTGATGAGTCCAGTAGTTCATCAAAGGGTAAGATATATGATATGACAAATTGATTGATAGCTTTTGTGTGTTTGCGCTGCGGTTTCTCATAACAAGACATACCTAAGCTCTCCAGCAATTGATCTCATATTTGAGTTTTGATTACCTAAATATCATACCATTTATTACATGATATGATATGAAGATAAAACATGAAATTGTTTTTTTAAAACGGGTTATCAAATGATTGTTTTATATAAAATGTGTTTATTATCGCAAATTGATTCATAAAGAGTTACTCATTAAAGATAATGCCTTTCGATGGATATAAAGATATTATAAGAGTAGAGAGTTATGATAATTGACTTAAAATATAAGTGAGATGTCGATGTCCCTGAAGATTATATGAGTCATAGCCATAGATGTCTTGATTAGCCATTAATATCGATATATCGATTAATTTTATGGATTTAAAACAGTTTAATGATTTATCGCTTTATATAAAGTATATGTCGATAATTGAAATCATCATTTGGTTCAACGCATGAATAGTTTCAAAAACTACACTATTATTGAAAATATCATACAATAAAATATTACTAAAAATATTTCAAGTAATAAAAATAAATACCGGATTAAGTTATAATCAATGAGCCATTGATGACATGAAACTGTATACCCATGAAGACAATATACAGTTGAAAAACTTTATGCTATTGATGTTAGATTTGTAATCAATCTTTTGCTTGAAATCCAATCAAATATCAAAACTTAGTGCTAATATTAATAGCGGAATAATTAATAAATTTACATAAATTTAAAAAACGGTATTTGGATTATAAACAATACAATAAGCAAACTAAAGTTGATTATAAAAGATAACAATTTAAGTTTTAATGATATAAATATCTATAAACAAACTTTTTTGCCAACACTTCCGTTAACAGTAAATATGAAAGCAACCAATAATGAGGTAAACTCTAAGAACTTTAATGAGGACTCGGCTCCCGAACAGACAGCATCAATGATGTCACCCCCGAGACCAGAGACGGCACCCGTTTTGATGCCGCTTACTATAGAGGACAAGATATCAATGGATACATCAAAATTAAAGACAACGGCCACCGATGATACTTCACTTATTGTCAATATTGATGACACACAAAGTGATCTAATGGACAATGATCTCGAAGACGATACATCATTGAGAAATACAAGCAAAGATAGCACTGATACTAAATCAGTCAGAAAATCGCTCAATGAGTCGACCAACAGTCAAGACTCATCTAAATCAGTCAATGATAAAGCATCGGGAGATGAATCCAAAGATAACACCAATAAGTTGGAGAAGGATTCATCTAAAAACAAGAGGTTTGTTATCATTGAAATGATCAATAAATTCGTTGGAAAGGTTAACATTGGCCACCAATTATTGGACAAACTATTAAAACAATACAATTGTTATGCGAATTAACAAATCGATAACTCCTTTATAATATTCTATACAAATGACAAAATTTTACTCAAATAACACAACTTTTTATTTATAGCTCAAATACTCAGAAGGATAACAAAATTAAAGCAAAAGGTATTAAAAGTGAGTTTATTTGTAACTCATTAGACAAATAGTTATAAAATTATATAAATCGTTAACTAAACTGCAATATGCAATGCAATGTTAGACGGAAATACACAGCAAAACGGTTGCAATATATGGGTGAATGGGTTACCACAAGAGGCCAAGGCCTGTGATCTACAGACCCTGTTCTCCAAACACGGCAAAGTTGTGAGCGCGAAGATCATTAAAAATACCCGCGTGTCCGGCAACCGATGCTATGGATTCATTACTATGGAAAACAGCGAACAGGTGTCCAAATGTATTCAACATTTAAACAAATCGGAATTGCATTCAAGTGTTATTAAACTTTCGAGAGTGAGTTTCACTAAAGTATTTAAAGACATAAATTGTATGATATTTTACTCAATAATTGCTAAACACGTGAACCATGTAATCGATTAGAGCCGACCAACAGAAATCACTTCTAAAGCAATGGCCACTCGAAAAATGACTGTTCCCATCAAAAAGGTTACCACAAAATCTTCATCTGCTAAGACTAACACATCCAAAGAGGCCGATAATAAGGATACGAAAAGCGATGAGAAGAATGATGAAAAAAATAAAAGTAAAACTTTAGACGATAAGACAGATAAGAAAACTGTATCTGAAGGTAGTTCCAGAAGAGACAGTGAAGCCAAGGACAATGAAACGAGAAGAATTATTCGTCCGCCATTTCACGAGCGTTTGATATCACTTCGTAGACCTACTGTACCATTTCGACGTCCCATACCTTTTCAGAGAGCTTTTCAACACAACGGTTCCAACATTCGTGGATTTCATAGGAATGGGTTTAATCGTGGCGGCACTTTTGGTCGCGGAGGGTTTACACGCGGAGCTATGTTTCGCGGAGGGTTTTCACGAGGAGTTATGCGACCTATGGTTGGAATCAGACCGGATGTTGAGAGACATATCAGAGAACGTGAAAGAGAGCGTCGAATCAGAGAAGAGCGCAGACATCGAGAGGAAGTTCTTAGAGTTGAACACATGAAAAGAGATATTGAGAGAGAAGAAAGGGTTAGATTTGAAAAAGAGAAGGAAAGACTTAAATTTGAAAGAATGAAACTCGAGAAAGAAAAGGCAGAATTCTTTAGAGTTGAACGCGAGAGGGCTCGACTCGAGAGGGAAAGAATTGAACGCGAAAGAGAAGAACTAAGGAGACGACAGCAAAGTCAGGTTGTAAATCAACATAGAGTTGATGACAGCCGTACGCGTCCATCAGTTGCTTCCACTTTGGCCACAAAACGTCCATTTGACTCACGAGGAAGTGATCCATTTTTTGAGGATCGCAAACGAGTTCAGCAAATGCAACGCTTAAATAGTAGTGTAATTCCCGGCAGACTATCTTTCCCTCAGTCGACTCCATTAAACAATCGGTAAGTCATTAATTGAATGGTAAACAAAATGCGATAAAATTTTGTTTGAAAAACAAATTCAAATGAATTGAATTTAATGCTCGAAACAGTCATTCCATTCCTCAATCGTATGTTAATCGAAGTGAACCATACAAACGAAATACAAGGATTGAGTCACCAATTTCGGGAAATTCGAGGCCAGTCTTTGACATTAGACGTCACGATTCTCGACATTCAATAAGTCATGATAGAGACGAAAGGAAAAGTGGAATTACGACCTCTACTTATAATAGAGAGACTTCCAGAAATGCACCGTTCAATCCAAGAGAACGGATCGGTAAATTTGGTGGACTTCGTGATGACTGGAAAAGCAATCAGTATCGACCATCTGAACGATATTCAGATAGAGGAGGAAACACAGGTAGAAATTCTGGTTATAACTCTCCCCGATTTAATTCAGATGCAAGAAGTGGTGGTTGGGGTGGAAAACCATCAAATAGTGGACATAACCACATGTCTGGAAGTCAACAATGGACACAATCATCTGGTACTCGATGGAGCTCTTCTAATGAGTCAAGAAATAGAAGTCATACAAACATTAATTCAGGAATGATATCATCGAGCAGTTCATCATTGGCTCACTTATATCCACCAAACCAACCAATGCAAGGCATTATGAATGCAATTCCGCATTCAATTGCTAATAACAATTCAAATATGGGATCTGGAGATAGATATCTCCATAATAATCGTCGATTTTAAATTAATTTAAATGATTTTCTACTTTTTAATGTTTGAATGATTTATTATTTAAACCATATATTATTAATTCTAGAAAAATAGTTGTAATGTTGTACGTAATTCAATTGCATATCGGATTTATTATTTAATCAACTATTGATGTTAATTATAATTATTATATATGGGTTTTCAAAAGATTTAATAAACCGCATGCATATGTTGTACCTATTTATCATTACTGCAATGCATAATCTCTTTAAAAGTGTAAAATTATTGGTCTAATAATTTCATAAATGAGAAAACTATGAAAATTGTCTAATTTATATGAAATAATGATTATTTTTTATCCTTATAGCCATTCGTTAACATTTGGACTTTAATTTTTCAATTGAATATAAAAGTTTTTTTTTCTTAATTTCAATTGTATTTTTTATTTATGACATCATTTTTACTTTCACTACCGGTATAGTAATAATATTGTTAAATACAATTATATTATGTATTATATTTCGTCAATTAAGTAAAGTCGTGCTAATAAATGGAAATATTATATAAAGTATTTTATAACTATATTTTATTCATTTTTCTTTTATTATAACAATTATTAATTTAATCTTAATATTTATTTGTTTAGATATAAATACAATATATAATATCATAAAATTGATGTAAAATAACTTTTAGCAACATTTTTAATAAACATGATTTAGAAAACTATTGACAACTATTTATTTAACAGTTACTTTATATAGTATTTACATTTGAAATTAATTAATGAAAATTTAAGGCACATATTGATTGTAAATTTTAATTGACGGGCGACTCCCGGAGCGCTTCTAATTCTCTGCGATGTAATTCCATACGACTTCTTCTACTTTTTCTTTGATGAAGTTTTTGTTTGAGTCCGTGACTCATTCTCGCCTGATTTAGTCTCTGAGTCTTCTGGAACTCTTGAGTGGCTCTCTTGTGTTGGTTTCTAATTTGCTCTATTTTGCCTACGGATCAGTTCAAAGTTGGTTAGTATATCTCAAAGTTACGGACAAATTTTGAAAAATACCGAAAATCTCGTTATCTGATGGCATGGGAGCCAAGTCGGCGGTCGGCAATGGAGTGGGCATTATTAATGGCATACGTGTGGGGTCGGGTGTCAATGATTTTGCGCCGCCTTTTCTCTCATTGTTTCCCTTTTCAAATATTTGTGCGATTTGTTCGTCAGCTGCGGCCGTTTCGTCCAATTCACTGTCAACACCACTGTCTATAAATTATGAAAAAAAGATTTGTTATTATATAAGTTTATCAATGATTTTCACAACTCGTATCTAACCTCTGAACTCAAAGGGCGCTTCTTCATCAAAGTTGACTTCATTTCCGGTCATCTCTTTGATACGATTCCTGATAAGTCGTATTCTTTCTGTGCGTAATTCCGATGCTCTGGCTTTACATTCTTCTGTCAATTCTTGTAAATCTTTAGCAATTGTTGAGTTGAGTACCTGTTCTAACCATTGCCGAAGAGCACCGGCTCTCTTATATGTGGTTTGATAGCAATTGAGTGCATGTTTGTGTCGGTCGGATGTTTGCATATCAGTAAATATATATGAAATTGCTTTATTGATTGTATCGATTTCGTCGGGCGCACAGTAAGGCAGACTTATATTTGGTAAATATCTTTGAGCGCCGATCAGGTTCTGAGTCGCAGACACTAAGTTGTCCCGCGTCTCAGCCACACAGTTATATCTTTGCTCGTTATCTCTGATATATAATTGATTTTATTTTATATTAATTATTACAAATTTGAAGTAACATTAATTTGATAACTAACTGGACAGGTATTTCAAGCAATTGTTTCCACTTTTGCAGTGCTCGACCTAACTGTGCATTGGATTGTTTGACAAGAGTGTTGGCCTGTTTCCATCTGAAGTGAGCCTGGTCTACGTGATGCTTCTGCTCTAAGAGCCAATCCAACTCCTTTTCCAATTGATTTTCCGTATCGCTAGCGTATTGGCCCTCAAATATGGCATCTGATAAATGGTGAGAAATTATTTGTTTATTCAAATAAACGACAAAAAATATTTTTTAATTGAAAACTACCTAAAAGTTCATCACGTTTTTGATACAAATGTTGAAGTTTTTCCCCCTCAATCACTGACTGTTGAACTTCTAATTTCATATTATTTTGTTGTTGAGTTGTTGTCTCTAACTCTTTCTCTACCACTTCCTATTTAAAAAAATAAATAATAAAATATTTAATTTCAATTCAAATTTTTAAATATAATTTGTTAAAATAAATATCTAATAACAAATCGATTTAATGAATCGACGAGTTTTTCTTCCTCTTGAGATAATGCTGTGTCCGATAAAGTCTTTTGCAGAATATAGTCTCTGACAGAATGTAAGTCAATAATTCCCATTTGATTCTGTATTTCATTTCTGAAAAACACAACAAATAATTAATTAATTAATAAGAGATGAAATGGATGTTCAATGAGTTTAATACGTCTGTTGTTGGAATAGCTTCTTATCCTTTTCCAGTTGTTTGACCGCTTCATCCAATTGTTCCAATTGTTCACTTTTTATCTGATAATTCTCTAACACGTGTTTCTTCTCGTAGTCATTAATTGAAGACTCTAACTGTAAATACTCGTTCAGGGCTTCCTCATTGATCTCAATCTAAAGAAAAATCAATTTTACAATTATTTTTTCTAATAGTAATCGCTATAATCAATAAAATACAAAATTATATTCAAATAAATTTGTTTTGTCACTAAAAATTACATGTCTGTCTGTGTTATGTCTATTAGAATAGAGTATTAAAAAAAAAAGATTTGAATTGAATTGTCTGAAAATTTTTACTAAATGAAAATATGATCATTGGGTTAGTAAGTGTGCGATTGATTTAGTAAATTTGGTGAATGGGTTACATATAAAATGTGTCAATTCATTCACAACTATTGAATAATTTTTGAAAAGTTAATTTTAATTTAATGTTATATAGAATTCTTAACTAAATTTAAGTCAATAGTATAGTAATATAAAATTATTATTACATTAAATTATTACATAACCCATAAAAGGATTTTTACATATAAAATAAACATATATAATTTTTAGTAATTAATTTGCAAACTATATTTTAATAGTTATTTATTATAAATATAGCAAATAAAAATTAATATTTTTAATGATTGAAATAAGATTAATGATAAATTGTAATATTTATAATTATAAATATACTGTTATAATATCATTAAAGTTATCATTAGTATGACTATTCAAAAAATATATCCTTTAAACAAAAATTAAATAATTTTACTCAATGATTACTCAAATGAGTTTTTAGAAAATCTTGATTTATATAATAATATTTGTTTACTAATACTATATTAATCATAATTATTAGTGTTTCTAATGAAATAAGTTATTGTCCAAACAAATAAAACATTATATTACAGTGTTTTGCATTTACTTCATAGTCTACTAATATGTTAATTTGCATAGAAATTGAAACTAAAATTAATTTATGTCATTATATAGTATTTAATAAATGGTTAACGAGTTATACAATAAAAGGTTGACAAAGTTGTGTTGAATGAGTGCAATGTAATAACAAATTCACAATAAATTGTTACACGTTTTGCCTATAATTCATAGAATTGTTAAGAATATTCTTTACATTGTATTAGTTATGCAAATTGTTAATCGATTGAATGTACAGTTATTTCAAGTGTTTTGAATACTTTTTTATATTGATTACATAAATATTACACCTATTGATTATTAAGAAAGTTTTTAGACTATATTTTGCATTTTATTATATAATTAAATTATTGATAGAATTAAATTCAATAAATACTATTATCTTTATAATTATCTAACTTATTGTATATACTATATACCCTGGACGGTTTAAATTAAAGTTTTATAATAATTGCTGTTAATGTCGTTGTAGTTTTTGCATAATTTACACCAAAAAAAATTTATCATAAACTGTCAATTTTTAATTAATATTAAATGATTAAAAATTAAAAGGAAATTATTTTAGAGTTGTATAAAAGTCAATATTAATTAATAACTAATAATATACTGTATTTGAAACCATATTATTAATAATAATTTTAAAAATGGTTAAAACTTACGGGTTTGCGGTTATTATTGGTATTTCTAGCGGTGTGTCGGATACGAGTGTGACTTTGATTATTGGGGAGAATAGTCGGAGAACTGCTTCCACAACCCATATATGTATGTATTGTGCGATCAATTGTTTGAATAAGTTTTATATAAATCAATAAAATGTAAGCTTTTCAACAAAATAATAGTTTACTAAATAATCGGATAATAATTAAATGGCAAACAAGTCATTGTCTGGCAATTGAATGACTCAACCGATGCTAAACTCAGGCATAGACTGTGGTCAGAGAGGCAGTGATGTGACGACCGGAACATAAAATTTGTTTTTAATAACTTAAGTGTTGTTTCTATGGAAATACCTTTTCAAACGATCGATCATTTGTTTTATACTTTTATTTCATATCTTAAGATATAATTGCAATGTTTGTCAATCATTGAACACAATATAAACCAATAGAAGGCATCGGGAGATGGGTTTAAGTAAACAAATATTGTTTTTTCTTTAGTTGCAATCATTTACTATACAATTGTATTGTGAAATATATTGTCACCGAAATTCACTTCTTATAAAAATAATAAATTAATTTAATAAATATTGTCTATATATTAATGTTTACAAAATATATACAATTAATTAGGTATTCATATAATACTCAGAGATTACTCGTGAGCTCTAATTTGACAATAATATTCAATCAATAGTTTCGCTCAATTGATAAACATTTAAATCAATTTCTATGCATTATATAACTCCTGAACTAATAATTATATAATTATTCTAATATCATATATAATAAATACATATAAATTATACAAACAATGTAATACTGTATATTAAATTAGAAAATTTATTTATTATCCATTTAAAACAATTTTGTTAATTTTGAAAATTATTTGCTAGAAATAATAAAAATTTTAAAAACAAATTATAGATAATGTTAAATTTAAATATAATAAAATCATTAAATTTAGTAATTAAATGCCAATTTATGGTGTAATCCGTTGGGGATCGCGTGGAAACAGTGAAGTCTTGCGGATATTATCGAGACCTAAGTATAGCATTGTTACCCTCTCTAAGCCAATACCTCCTCCAGCATGTGGTGGACAGCCGTATCGGAAAGAATCGATATATGATTTTATGGTTTGTAAGTCTAAACAACAATAAATACAATTACAGTAAAACTATTCCAAATAAATATATTACTAAAAATACCGATTCCGTGATGATTAGCTCTTTCAGTGAGAAACTGTGGTTCGTGTATACGTTGAGCTCCAGACATGATCTCCTCTCCTCTCATAAATAAATCGTAAGAATTCGAGTTTTTCTGGAAATAAAATTTTATAAATACAGTATAAATAAATGTATAAATAAAAAAATAGATAAATACCGCATTTGAAGGGTCGGGCATCGTATAAAAGGGTCGAACTGCAAGCGGGAATTTGTCGAGTATATAAAAATCGGTTTTATATTTTTCTCGGACTAATTTTCCCAAAACTTTCTCATTAGCAGTGGTCAAGTCATCTTCATCTCCCATTTCAATACCCGCCTCCCGAAGCATTCTTACGCCATCAGCGAACTCTAAACGGAGTGTTGGTTCCAAAAACTTGAACGGTTCGGCCGGATATTGTCGACCAACAGCTGCTATTTCATCGGTACATCGAGACTCCAAACCTTTAAAAATATCAACAAATAGTTCACCAATAATATCAAGTACTTCGTGGTAGTGATAATTGAAAGCCATCTCAAAGTCGAGACCAACAAATTCGGTCAAATGTCTGTGAGTATTGGAGTTTTCGGCTCGAAATACAGCACCAACTGTATAGACTCGTTGAAAGTCAGCCGCAATTGCCATTTGCTTATAAAGTTGTGGTGATTGCGCCAAATAAGCGTTTCCTTTAAAGTATGAGACCTCAAAAACATTAGATCCGCCCTCACTGGCGGCCGGAATAATCTTTGGCGTATGAATCTCAACGAAACCGCGTTTCTCCAGTGAATCCCTAAAGAGTTTGCCGACTGCGGCCTCAATACGAAAGATCGCTTGACTCGTAGGCGTTCGTAAATCAATGACACGATTATCAAGTCTTGTGTCTTGATTTACACGAATATTCAGTCCTTCGCTATCATTGGTTGCATCAGATTCTGTCTCTGGTCTCGAAGCGTCTTCTATTTGAAGAGGAAGTCTTGGTTCAGAACTGCTTACAACAAATAACTGATTGACATGTAGTTCAACATCGCGTTGGGAACAGCTTTCAATTGGATTGTCAACAGAACGTACGACTCCTTCGACATCAATAATTGACTCTTTGCTAACCGAAGCCACAAACTTAACCATTAATTTGGATACTTTTTCCGAAACGGCAGTTAAACATTGAACGCTATAATGTTGTTGTCGTAAAACAAAAAAACATTGCTTTCCTTTGGCACGACTCGTATGGAGACGTCCTCTGATCCAAATGGTCTGTCCGTCAATCGATTTGTCCAATTGTTTGATTGCAACTAATTTTCTATCAGGACTTTCGGTCGATTGTATCATTGCTAACAATCCGTACAATCCTTTAGAGACATCTTCTTCTTCATTTTCAGCTGTTTTCTGTTCGCCTCTGGTCTCCGCCCTCTCACTCTTTTTGGCCGCTTTTTCGGCTGCTTTTTGCTGTTTCTTTAGTGCATTTTTCGACAATTTATCGCCCGATGGTTGAGTGGATCTATTCATAAATAAAAATTATAAATATTGTAATTAAAAACATTAATTAATTATATATAAAATTAATTATAAAATTATATTAAATCTGTTTGTTTCACGACTTACTCATTGTTTTCTTTATTGTCCATATCTTTGTGGATCTTTGACAGCGGATGTCTTCACTTAATTATCAACTGACAGTATGACTGATGAAATCAATGGTAAGATTGCAAACAATAAAGTGATGAAAATTGATTGCAACTTATGGTTGAAAAATATCTAATGTTTTTCAACACATGTTATGCCAACACAAACACTGATTGCAAACATCACTGACTTTATAGTGACTAACAGTTACCACATCTAACGTCAAATGTATTCAAACATATAGTAAACCAATAGATATAGTCATGAATTGGCGCTAATGTTGTGTCAAACAAACAAAATCATTACAAATGTATTGAAGTGACGACAGTAGCGATACATTGACTATAGTGTCAAATATTTAACACATGTTTACAATACAATCGACAACAGGTGTCGACACACAAGTCATGTCTTAATTCATATAGTTTTCTATTGAATGTAAAAGTGTTGTGTGTTTTAGGAGTTTCAGTGAAAACATTGGACTTGAAGTTTGATTAGTGAAGAGAGAGAGAAAAAGAGATAAACATAACGACACTAACGATGACTTTATTTTGACAACAATTTTATGGTATTTTCGACAATTGTCTCGTCGGTCGTCAAAATAGTCATAAATCGTATCGTTTGTTGTCAACCAAACGGATCAGTTGTCATGTCGGCCACTAAGCCGTGGGTCGTGTTTGTGTTGGGCGGACCGGGAGCTGGAAAGGGGACACAATGTGACCTCATATGTAAGGTATAAATATGCAGACAATCTATGTTTTGTTAAGACTTTGTCTACCATTATATGTGATAATTTAAAAAGTGATTCAATAGTTAATCAAATGAAAGTTATATCATATATATCGCCGGTATTATTAACATACAGTATATTTGATATTATTTTTTTAATTATCAATTGTTTAGGAGTTTGGTTTCATTCATTTGAGTGCCGGTGACCTCTTGAGAACCGAAAGAAATACAGAGGGATCACAATATGGAGAACTGATTGAAACCCATATCCGAAACGGCTCTATAGTTCCCGTGGAGATCACGTGTAGGTTAATTGAAAACGCCATGAAAGCTACGGCCGTCCAAAACGGATGTGGAGACCAATTGATGGGTAAATTCTTGATCGATGGGTTTCCACGAAATCACAACAATTTGGAGGGTTGGCAGAAGGAAATGAGCCATAAAGTGGACCTCAAGTTTGTTCTGTTTTTTGATTGTCCCCGTGATGTTTGTGTTGACCGATGTCTCAAACGTGGTCAGGCGGGCAGTGGTCGCAGTGATGACAATATGGAGAGTCTACACAAACGAATTAACACCTATTTGGTCGATACAATGCCGATAATCAAGTACTACGATAGCGTCAATCTGGTCCGCAAAGTGGACTCTACCGATCCTCCGCTTGAAGTCTTTGAACAACTTCGCTACCATTTTGAGCAATTAAATTGATGTTAATATTAGATTAATTGGAAATTGTTTTGGATCCGTGTCCGACAATTGTTTTAAATTTTAATTTTGAATTCAGCTTAAAATATACACTTTGATTGTAACAATACTGATAACAACAACAAATTCGGACAGTAATTGTAAACCCATTTAAAGACGTTTTAAACGTAATTATATTATTATATTTACAAAATATAATTGTATTCATTTTTATACTGTTTATTATTATATATATATTTAGTCAATTTGACTAATTTAGTTATATGTTAATTTGATCCATTTGTTTCATAAACAATAGTTTCAATATAACCATACGTTAGTTCAACAAATACAATATATTTTAAGTCATTTTTAAAAAATATTATTATTTCTACTATTTTAGAATTTATTGCTTTTTTGAATTATTTGTTATTTTTTATTAACAATTATTTTGTCCAATAATTTATATTCCAATAATAATAGCTTTTATTTGTTAATTAATTATTTGTTTTTTATATAGTTATAAAATTATAAAGTTAAATTTATAATACTATAGTAATATTCAATTATGTCTTTTTTAAATTAAGTCAAATCCAAAAGAATTGTAATTATAATATTAATTTTTATTAATTTTAATTTATTTACTATTCATTTTCTAAAACAAAATGATTTGGGACTCAAAAGCGATAAATTATGTTATTAAATGTTATTAAATAATAAATTATTATTAATAATATAATAATATATTAAAAAATTATGTTATTGATAATTTATATTTGGGTTAATATTTGATGTTATTTATAAGCCAAACAAATAGATTTGATATATTATAATTGAACTTAAATAAAATATACGAAAATTGTTATTTTATTAATTATTATTAAGTAAAATAAATTAATTGTCATATGATTTGATAATTTTTAATAAAATTCAAAGTAATATCTGTTGAAAAATATTACACAAAACTAAACTAATATTACAGTACTGTATGTATAAAAACATTGAAATAGTTATTATTATAATATACGGTATTTAAAGAGTGTTGACATGTGATCATCAAATCATTACAAGTGATCGACAATTATTTCATTGAAAGACATGTCAATCAATAATCCGACGTTAGATGAGTTGCTATCGTCGCCAATCGGGTCCAAGTGGTCACCGGCTACCGCGTCCCGAACCAGTTATACTCAAGAGATTCAACAAATGATGTACAGCTTCGGTGACTACGAGCGGCCACTCTATGAATCGGCGCAACTCATTGAACAGATAGTCCACCAACAGATGACATCCGTTTTACTACAGGCCGTACCGATTGCTGAGAGTCGCGGATCTCGATTAATAGGTCTCGAAGAAATCTTATTCCTCATGAGAGGCGATCGCAATAAATTAAGTCGTTTTGTTAAACATTTGTCTGTTAAAGATGGTAAAAACACTTTCATCAGCACTGGTATTGTCGACGTCGACGATATCATCGACAACAACAACATCAATAATATCAATGACAATAACACAACTTCAAACTTGAATCAATTAGTGTCCACCGATGATATGCCGGCAAAACCACCGCAACAGACAAAACGTGTCAAATATTGTTATGATTTTTTGAAATCCATTGACAATACGGGAACTCTTCTTTCAATATTTGATAACAATTTTGTTGATAGCGTTCAACACGAAAGAAATTTGCGATCAAATAAGTTAACCGATTGTATGACAACTGAGGAGTACTTGAATTATTCTGAGTCGAGACAAACAGGTTTTGCCAATAAGTCGCGGCCATCGAAGTTCAGAGATTGGCTCTTAAAAGACTATTTTATTGATATGAAACCGAATCCATTAGCACTCGAAGTACTACAGTATTTGGCAAAAGAAACAGTCTCTCAGATCGTCGATCTATCACTTCTTGTAAAACAAGACTTGGAGCGCGACGTATGTGATCCCATGGCATCGCTTTTGCCACAAAAAATGATAAATAAAGATTTTCCTCCAAATCATCTCAATTCCTGTCCAAACAGTAATGAAAGTGAAGATTTATTGACAAACTTGTCGTCAAACACACCATTTTTCATGACTAACTCACAATCAGTTAGCTCTTGTAAAAGCACGATATCTGGTGGATCAGATGGCGGACCAAAGTCAAAGAAACGCAAGAGAGCTGATCCATCAAAAGTATCATTTGAAGCGCACTCGTATTGCATAACTCCGAACCATATCCGTGAAGCCATTCGCCGCTATTTTACGAATTCCGGTCCATTCACTAAAACCCATCACTCGACTAATCAGACAATGAATTATCAGAAAAAATTGTTGTGTCTATGAATCATAACATATACTATACTATGTTTATCATTAATTTTAAAGTTATTAAAACATTTCATTGTATTTTGGCATAACTTTATTGGCATTATTTTAAAAACATTAATTATAATAATCATTAATACAGTAATAAGAATAATAATAATACGAAAGAAAGCCAAAGCAATAATAATATAATGCGAGTAAATGTTTCAATTCGTGTGAATATATTCTTTATATTTAAAAAGTTTAACACAAAAACACAATTAATTTGTTTGACATAAAAGTTTAGTTAAATTCTTTGCGTTCATCTTTAACTCCATGAGAGCGTAGTCGTCGGGAACGGGCGTATTGTAGGCGAACTGTCCACCAGTTAGTTCTGAATATATAATGTCGACTCTTCTGGCCATTTCACTTTGACATAAGATCTGTGTCTTGCATTTGGTCCGCAACTGATGAATATTAAACGCTTTAATATCTTCTATATTAGAGTTTTTTAAACATTTAAGATAAGTGTCATAAATGTGTGCGCCATTTGATGACCAGTTAGATATAAGATGACAGTTAGGCTTCAGTTTTGATATTAAGTCTGCGATGACATCATTCTCTTCGTTGACAACCATTTGTGGAAATACAGATTCAATGAGTACTTCATGCGCTTCTGACCATTGTTTACAATCGATTAAATTTTCGGCCAAATTTGGGAAATCAAAGCATTTTTTCGCTTGTATTGCCTTTGCTTCGGCCAAAAATACTGTGGGAATCAATAGGTTATCCAAAAGCCATTTCTTTATTTCTTTATTTTGCATAAATTGTGATGACTTTCGTCCGATAATATCTTTAATAACCATTTGTCTAATATTATCGTTACTGATATGTATGGCCACAAAACATGACCATCTGATGTCATCAATTTGAGAGGCAATGAAAGTGTGAATGCAATCACTCATTGAAATTAAATCATTTTCGTCTTTCATTACGTGATAGCATTTAAGTGACTCGTGAAGAAACCATGAATCCAATGGACTTGAGGTCATACACATGGCTACCCATGGCGTATGTCCGGCCAATAAATGATACTCAACTTCTTCGGGATGTTCAGTAAGACTTGACATTGATGTCAACAAAATATCGAGATCTAAGTCATTATTGTCGACATCTAATTGAGTTTTATATAACAAAATAAGAGCCAATTGTTGTGTCCATTGAAAGCCATCAAGAACTTTGACAATCTTTTCATTACTAAGTTTCCATTCAATCAGTCCCGACAATAATACATAAATTTTTATCAAATCATAATCTATAAAATTATCAGCTTTTGAGCGCTTCCATGAATCTAATTGAGCAATAAGTTGCTCTTTGTTAACAGTTGGTCCACACGCGAGCAATGTTGCCAAACGAGGGTTATTACCATTAAGAGCTTCCTCAGCGGCCACTTCCAATTCATTGGTTGACAAAAAGTGAATTATCTTTGAATAATTGGTTTTAGGAATCGGCAACTTTTTGTTGACAGCAAAAAGCCATCCCTTAATTTTGTCTAATCTCTGTTGATAAGAGGCATAAGGAGTTGCTTCAGACAATGGACCATAAAGTGCTTCAATTAGCTGTTCCTGTTTTAACGAGTTGTGTGAATTGGAAGCAAACTCTCGGGTTTCAGCTACGGGTGCTTTTGACTCGTATTCTGGCTTTTGAATCATTGAATGTTTTTTCAGATGTTCTTCAAATCGATTATTAACCAAATCATTGAATTTAATTAAATTCAAACTACAGATTAAAACGGTTGATCCTTTAACTATTGTAAAATTTCGGGAACCATTGAAAAATGACAATTTCGGTGAATTAGACATACAAACAGAACCGATATCACAGATTATCTTATTTTTAGCGCTGAAAACGTCGGCTTCAAATGTGATTTCTCTTTTAATGATTGGATTCGGTCGCAAAATTTGTGGCGAAACATATTTGCTTTTAATTTCTTTTTGCGGTGAAATAACTGCAAATGTTTTGCTCTTTTTAGATAAAACTGATTCATAGTCTCGTTGATCAAATAGTGTCGACCGAATTTTGTCCACTTCGGTAAACTGTGGCACAATTGGTGGCAAATAACTGGCCGATTGATCGAGATCTTCATCAAAGAAGTCATCGTATTCATCATCAAATAAATTTACCATTTCGTTGTCCTTAGGTTTCATTAGATTATCAGACCATTCATAAGACATGTTATAATTATCATTTAGTTCTACATCTCTCGAAAATAACTTTCTCTTTGGTTCCAACACTTCTTTTGAAGGTATAGTTTGTTGTTGTTGTTGTTGAGATTGTTTTGGAAGTATTTGTTTTGTCGCTTCCATTACTTGTAGATCATCATCATCGTCGTCGTCATCCAATAAACCATATTTACTAAAGTGTTTAACAGTGAAAACCCAACTGCCGGTATCGGGTCTATATTCCTTGAAAGTGGCGCCCAATTTAATTGTTGCCATTTCTATCTTTTCTGAATACTTCATAGCTCTCAATCTATCCTTATCTTTAATAACTTCGTGAGTTGTTTTATCAATTGGCCAAACTTGATGTAATGTGATTTGAGCGGCACGATTGAGACCATCACCAACTTTGGGCGCCGCCTCTTCATCGGGATAAACAATAACTTCTTTACGTCGTATATGAACTGTTTCATCCAAATTCAATCCTTTAACGTCGATATGTCCGTCCCAATAGATTGATCCGTAGTCCTGTCGGACAACAGTAAAAGTGGGAATAACACATGTGTCAGTACACGGATCGTAATACGCATCCAATTCATCGATTGATGGGATGGTATAATAATCAGTTCGGGTCAATATAACACCACATTTGGGAATAATAGGAGCAATCGATTCTGAATCGCTGTCATCTTTCAAACTTTGTTGTGTTGAACCAATTGATGCATTCAATGTCTGACTTTCATCTCCTTTGGCCGGAGATATAGTTAATCGCTCTTTTTGTTTGGAGTTATTGTCTTTCAGAATGAATTCATTAACAGTAATGTCAACAACAGAAGAATCTTCAAACTTATGACCTGTTTGTGGTTCAGTATGAATCATAAATGAAGATGTGTTCGATGTATTTTGAGTAGTATTTAAGTCTGCCATCGATGATGTACTCTTAGGCTTAAAAACTAATTTCTTGACGTTTTTTCGCGGAACAAATATATCTTTAGCTGTTTTAAAATCATCAGTATTTTCATCTTCGAGACCATCAAATAACATAGTATTAACTTTTGAGGAATTTGTGACAATACGTTGAGGTTTATTGTCAATTGTTTTAGCACTCATTTTGTATTGATTTAGAGTCTTCGGGTCAGTCGTGAACTTTGTTCGCAGTCGACTATCAGGAGATATCGTGACATCAATTTGAAGTTGTGGTGAGTTTCCGTATGGGAATGTTTGAAAACGGGTAACCAATTGGTCAGTATTAACTCCTTGAACTGTCGTCTGGAGTGGTAATTGAGTTGTTGCGCCCATATTTGGCTGTAGACTTGACTGAAAGGTTGGGTTTGTCGAACCAAAGTTAAAGCTGGGAGCAGAGGAATTGAACAATGAAGTACCAGTGTTACCAAATTGGTTGGTATTAGTTCCAAATAGACTGGTCGTCGATGTCAAACCAGTTCCTCCAAGTGATGAATTAAATGGGTTAGCAGGTGTGGTATTGAAATTGATAAGTGGTTTGTTTAAAGTATTGTTAAAATTAGATGGTGTGCTAAATAGTGATGGCTGTGAAGTACTGCCAAAAAGGGTTGAACCAGCGTTTCCTGTATTAAATAAAGTGTTTCCAGTATTGGCCCCAAATGGAGTGGCAGAACTGGTAGGTGTGGTACCGAATAGTGGTTTTGGAGCTAAACTATTATTTTGCGTATTACCGAAAAGTGTTGGTTGTGTTGGTGTAGCGGTAGTGCCAAATGTTGGCTTTACGGCGGCAGTATTACTGGTCGAACCAAAAAATGAATTGTTTTGCAATGGATTTGCTGTAGATGTCGGACCAAATATAGATGTGGTCGATGATGGAGTTACGGCACTGGGAAATGTAGAACTTCCGCCAAACATTGGTTTGTTTTGTCCAAAAGTGTTTTGACCAAATAGACCGGCGCTAGAAGTAGTGGTTGGTTGGGTTAGCCCACCAAATGCCGTCTTATTTGGACCAAATAATCCTGTATTTTGTGTGGTCGCACCAAAAGTATTTTGAGTGGTCGGTGTAGAGCCAAACAAACCACCTGAGCTGACACTACTGGCTGCTGTGCCAAACATTCCCGGATTTTGCGGCCCTTTCCTGTTCGCTATATAGTCTTCGAGACGAAGTTCTTCCAATGATTTAGTTTCATACTCTCTCATACAAGTTATACATTGATGTCTTGTGTTAATATTTTGCGAAACGCCATTCTTCATCATTGTATCAGTTCCCGCGGGAGCATTGAATTTAATTGTTGTCCCATTGGGCGCACTCATAGGTTGAGTTAAAGAAGTATTACCGAATGGTGAGGTAGTTGAGGTCGTACCGAATCGGTTGCCGCCAAACAATGAATTATTTTGTTGGGTTGTACCAAATATAGATGAAGTGGTTCCACCAAAAGCACTGGGAGCCGACTGAGAGCCAAATGTATTGGTAGTTACAGTGTTTGGAGTCGTCCCGAAAATAGAAGTTTGCGTCGAACCGAAAGGCTGTGTTGCGGTCGACCCGAACAATCCGGTTTGTTGTGGTGTTTGTGTGGCCGTCATTGAACCAAACAGTCCACCGCCGGGAGTCGGCTGTACTCCAAAAGTGGCTAAAAAAGATGTCAAATATTGAAACAATTCATCAAAATTATGGTTAAAAAACTATATAAAGTAATACTGACATGTGTTGGGCTGACCGAAGGCACTGGAAGTACCCGACGAACCAAACAATGGCTTATTATTGGACGACCCGAACATCACGAGTGACTCTATGTCTTAATTGTCAACAATTGGATCAATTTGTCGATTATTTCAAATCCTTAACAAAACAATTGATTCAATCAAACGATCGTTTATTTAGCGTTTGTGTCGTATTTTTGGAGTAAAACAATGTTTACTAAAATATTTCAATTATTATTCAGTCATTAATAACGTCATCGATAGACAAAAAAAGATTAAAATTTTGGTTTTAATTTGAGATCAAATGTTATGTTAATTACATTTAAAACAAATTCAAACATTTATTATTTAAATTAAATATAATTATAAAACTAAATCATTAAATAATTTAATTAAACAAAACAATTAAATTTAAACGTAATTTACGATCAATTTTGGCAAACATTTTGAATGTATTTGAAACGTAAGAATTACATCAAAATTAATACAACAAAGACTTGATTGGGAAGTGTTTGAGTGATAATCAGTGATATTGAAGATGAAGTTCAGAGGTGTTATCACCGATAGTTCACAGATCTCAGCAATGGTTCGCGTATTACAAAGTATGTCCAAGTTTTGGGACACATTCTTCGTGCGACTAACTGACCAACAAATGCAAATGATTGCCGATCGTACCAACAGTTTGGCGCCGTTTGTGGTCAAGTGTGACCTCAATGTTACCGAATATTTTGATGAATACGAGTTCAACGGTTTTAATGATGAAAATAATGTCATCGTCTTTGAGATGCGTTCACAATGTGTATCTCAAGTGATGACCTCTTTGTTGGCCAACATTAAGTCAATGAAATTAAAGCTAATCATGAAATCGGGTCTCAAAATGTTGGTCATTGCGGTTGAATATCCGACACATGACGCCGACCGGTCAGTTCGTCACGATATTCGTGTCGATATTCCGCCGCTTCAATACTGGGATCAAATTTATGGCTTAAATGTTGATACATATGATGTAATGTATTTATGATATTATTTTAGTATTTTATTAATTATTGATTGAATGATAAATTAAAAAACTTAAATAATATTTTAGTTGTCTATTAAATTGCCCGAAACGCGAGCCATTATATCAACCATTGAAAGACTCAACGAAATGTGTAGTTATTTGACTATTAAAGTAAAACCGACTGAAAATAATAAAGCCGTTCTTACGATTGGAGTTGAAAGCGATTCAATTGCTTTGAAAACAACTTTTACTGATTTAGAGATCAATTCAAGTGATGATAACGAAGAAATTGATGGCAGACATTGGGTTTCTATCCGTATTTCAGTTAAAAAGTTTAATATTATTTTTAATACATTGAAGACACTGAAACCAAACTTTATAACATGCAATGTTAAAGACAAAAACAAAATTTATTTTCAATTTTTTCACAATTTTGCAAATTTTCAGGCAATTCTTCCCAATATTGAAGCCTAATATATAAGCCATTTAAGTATTTATTAATCATTTATTTATAATATATTGTAAACTACTTTCATTTTATCATTAAAGTTCATTTTAACTCTATATACTGTATATTAATTTACAGTAAATAAATTTTTAGATTTAATAATTTATTAATCTATTATTAATTAATCTATTAATAATTTAAGATAAAAAAATAATACATTAATAATCATTTAAGTTTTAATGTCACTTAAAATAATTTATTTTCAAAAATAATTTATAATAAATAACTTATAAAAGTATTAAATATAAATGTATGATAATATTGATTGAATTAAATATTATTTATTGAATGTTAAAAACAAATTTAAAGTGAGTTTCATGTAATGCCATCTATTGAAGTGTTGACAGTAATAGAGACACAAAAGTTATATATTTATTGAATACAATACTTAAGACAAGTTGTCAAACAATGACATGATTTGACACTCAAAGACAAAATCAAATGATGACTGAAATGGTTGTGAAGCCAATCGTGAAGAATAGTTTCAATGTATTCAATACGATTGAAACGAAGACCGCCGGTCGTCGGTCACAAAACACTATTGTTTTGCCTCAAAGACACTTGTCTTTGATGGCACTCTCGTTAGGATTTCTTACGATATGGATATTAGTGATGGCATCAGTGTTGGTGTCCAACTCATACAAAGACAATGTATCGGCTAAACAAACACTTCAAGTGTTGCGGACACACAAAGAAATGGCCAGAATTGTGTTCGCCATCGGACACGAAATGGGTTAGAATTTATTGATCTGACATTTGGTACTAAAAACTAAATTAATATCATCTGATATTTGGTTTTTTATAATTAGTATCAACTGTTGATTGGTTGGTATCGATTGAGCCCAAGAGTCACACATCATTGACTATTGAAGAAGCCATTGGTATCACTTGGAAAATGACTGATTTGGTGATCACAGAGATTAGAAAAGAGCTTAGAGGTCGTGATTTGACCGAAATGTTAAAATTATTGTCTTTAATTGAGTTACGTTTATCACAATTACGGGCCAATAATGTGTTTGTCGGACAAAATCCGATAAAAATAATCAAATTTTATGACATAATGTTTGAAATGATTGAAAGAAAAAGTTTTTCATTGGATTCTGAGTCCAATCCATCGTCTATTAAGTCAGACATCCAGACATCGATAACTTATCCTCTATTTATTAAAGGAATGGCTAAACGTTTTGTTGAGTTGTCATTTGGTACTGTTTTTATTAGGTTTGTCCTACAAATGATTGATTTCTTTACTAAACATTTATCTAACAATAATCTATTGGAACTTATTTATAGGTCTGACATTACAATCAATAAATCGGATTATTATTATTATCACTTTATTAGTAAACAACTTATAGACAGTGCTTTTCAGTTGAATCCGAAAGTACAGAACCGATATCTCGAGCTTCATGATAGTGACAGTTCATCCGATGTTTTGATTACTCTATTAGACGAAAGTATTGACCGAAAAGACAATCATTTAGCGAATCTTTACTTGAATTCAGTCAAGAATGAGATCGCAATACTTCTTCGCGCTAAAGATTTTCTCGTGACTTCTGTGTCCTCACACGCAACTCAATCACTGGTTGTCATCGAAAAAGTTCTGGCATTTCATCTTACAGTTGCTATCATTGCTATCTTCACTGTCTTTTTATGCCTTACTTTATTGTGCTCAGCATTTGGTCGAAAACATGACAATAAAACAATGTCTGATATGAATGTTGACCGAAACGATCCGATCTATAGTCTTGAATTTGATGACAAAATCAAAATCTTTGCCACAAATACTGCCAAATAACATGCATTTTAATGTCTCATACAATGAGATGATCTCATTTTATAAGTTAGTATTATACTTTATAATCGTAATATTTTTATAAACCAATTTTAACATTTTATTTATTTTTTATACAATTATTTACTAATATAATCAAAATATTGCATCCATTGTAACATTATTTTATAAATGATAAAAATCACACTATAAATTGCACCGGTAATACTGAAACTGAGGGTTTAATTATAAGTATAATTTAGGTTACCATTAATAACTTATTAATTATATAATAGAATAAATTTGTTTATTTTTTATACTTAAAATAAATATTATATAAACAACCTTATAATTTGTGGTACAATAAAATTAATTAAACTAAATAAATGCTATTTTATTTTATTTAATTTAAAAACAAACTATGGTTTGTCGGTATCTGAAACACGATCGACAATCATAGTGTTATCGATGACTGTATCATCTAAAGTGTCTGTCGTAGTCATACTTTCGGTGTCATCTCTATCACTATTTGTCTCACTTTTGGCATTCCTTTTAGTAAACCATTCACTCTTAAGCGTCAACATCTGTGAGAGGTCTTCTGTTTCGAGACTTAATTTGCGGAATGATTTCCTAAGTTTAGGTGAGACGGCATCAGATGATTCAGCGCCGGCGCCAATACCCCTGTCCTCGTGAAGCAACAAATTGTCGACTTTTCTCCTCTGATTCATCTCATTGTTGATTTCTTCCAGTCTTTGCAATGCCTTCGAGTAATTGAGTTTGGCTTTTGACACTCTCTCCTCTAATGATCGCATTTTACTAATTTGATCCTAATATTTAAAATAACAATAAAATATAATTACTGATAATACAATTTATAATTTTTATTTAACACTCACGTCCATCATTTGATTGAACTGTCCTTTCATTTCAAAGTATGGCCTAAAATAATTAGATAAAATTACAGATCTATTAATATATTAGCGGTAATTAATAAATTATACAAATCAACAAAACTAATTTTACAATTTAATTTAATTGATATATTAATATTATAATAATATTGTAATAGAAAGTACATTAATAAGATACAGTGCATTGCATTAAATGTGTAAACTTTAACTCTAAAGTCATACCCGAAGCGCAAGTGTTATGTGTTTTTAGTATAGCAATAGACAGCCAATAAATATAATGGTTTATAAATTAGTGAGTCTTTAATTATTCATATAATTATTATTAAAAACGTGTGAAAACTTACAACAATTGTAATTCGTGTTGATTCGTAATATTATTTAATTGTAATAAATGTCTTCGAGACTCCAAACTATTGTCCAAAATAAAGTTGTTTATTATAAAAAATAAACCTTAAAATTTGGTTTAAAAACTTAATTATTACTAATGTTGTGTCCTTTAAATTTTATATACATTTAATATATATTAATTATCTAATAATATTTAAATATATTATAGTTTTAAGTTCATAATCTAAAATATGATATTTGTTCAATACCATATAATTTATAAGCTATAATTATCTATGATATACAGTAAATTACAATATATCATATACAGTATCATATTACTGTATATTATGTGATTTTTACATATTACGATACACTCTAAAATTGAATGTCACAACAAAATTTAATTTTGAATAAATCTAAAAAATAATTATTTTTATATACATATACCGGTATATATATATAATATAAACAAATTAAGCCGATTAAAGACTATTAATATAGATATTATGGATTTGTATAAATAAAATGTATTATAAATTATAAACAATAATAATAATTATGAAATCCAATGCATACCTGGTTTTATTGATTGAATGTTTAAGTTGTTTATGCAATTGTAAGGCCAGTTGTTGGGCATTATTATAATCTTGAGATATCCTTTGATGGTTTGTTTGTTCCAAAGTTCGTTGTCTTTCCCATTGATTAACTTTAATGGTTGAATGATTGAGCATTTGCTGCCACGAAGTATTCATCACATTATTCTCCTTCTGGAGACTTTCTTCTGCCAATTTGACCATTTCTTTTGCCATCGCAAGAGAAGTGATGGACTTATCGTATCTGATGACCGCTCTCTCGACATCTGATTTAAGGTCTTTAGCTCTAACTTTTGCCTCATAGTAGGGTCTAATCATTAAATGATTTATAAATTAGTTTGTATTAATAAAATTATTGGTAATAAATTAATAAACGGTAAATATTTATACTTGACTTTATCGACACAATTGCCTAACTTTTTGGCCAAATCTGAGATTTTATTTGAAGACTCGCTAAGCATTACATGAAAATGATTACGCGATTCCTTAAAACATTTGAATATAAAATTAATATAATTTAACACAATATTTATCATAATATTTATCATAATATTTATCAATTTAATGCATCAAAACATATATAACTAAATAAATCATTAGTTTATAACACACGTTGAGCTCGACATCCAATTTGGTGATCAATTGAGTTGATGTCTTGAGATCTTCTAGTTCTAGCTGTTGGTAAACAATGTGTTAATCAAATCAATTGTTTTAATGATAACTCACATTAACTCTGGGATCAGAAATCCATTCAAATTCATGTCCATTAGTGTCGACAATGCATTCTTCGGTGGTCTCATTTGAACCATTCATATATCTTAAATGGTCTGATAATACGGGTTGTGAGCCATTCATAGCAAATATATTATAGAATTAATATTTATATCATATATAATATAATATTAATTGTAAATACACTATAATTAGCGTATTATAAATGCTATTTATAAATAATTATAATTATATTATTATGCAATCTGTAGTATCACAACATTTTTCAATAATTAAATCAACATTTTTATGATCAATGAGTTTGCATTAAATTATGCTTCAAGTAATTTATAATAAAATTAAAAAAAATAATTAGTAATTACTATATATTAATCATAATGTATTAATATTAATATTAATAATATTATTATTATTACTGTATTATACAGTGTTTGTACTTATAATAAGGTTTCTATAAGAGTGTATCCAATGATTTGTCCTTATATTACATAACATTTGTGATGTACAGTACAGTAGTATTACTATTACTACAAAGTTATTTAACAATAATAATGTAAAAGTAATGCTTAACCATTGATGTATTTAAACTAATTTATTAATTTTGGATTCATTATTAAATGTATATTTAATATATAGTATATACTGTATCAATAATACTTTAACAATTTGTTTTAATTTACATTGATAGATTAAATTACTTGAATAACAAATAAAATTATAATAATTTTAATAACTAATTTCTACTAAAATATCATTTCAAATATCATAATAATTTTATTTAGCATCAATTGATATGTAATACACTGTAATAATTTTTCATATTGTTAATTTTGATAATTATTTTATTATTCTTTTAATTTTTAAAATTTTAAATTTTTACATAATTTTTAATAGTTGTCGATAAAAAATTTCATTTTTAATTAGCGTAATTTAAAATTATAGGTGCAAGTTAAATTCTTTAATTAATTTTTAAAAAAGTTTTCAAACAAATTATATGAATAAATTGAATTAATCATTTGAAATTATTATATAATGTATTTTTCATTAAAAAATTATGCTCACAAATAATTAAAATATGTAATTGTTTTTCATAAAAGTTTAAATGTTTAAATTCTTATTTTTAAATGATAATAATTTGAACAAAATTAACTATTTAATTATCAATTTTATGTATTAGATGTAATAAAACAATAATAATAATTACAAATATTATAGAATTCATAAATAATAAAAATACTTATTTGTTATAATAGTATTATACAGTATATCGTAATTTAATTGTCAAAAAATTAAAAAAAAAATTTAAAGAGCATTTAATTTGATGTAAAATTTGTGTCATCAAAGATCATATTATAATACTAATGATGTTATATAATATAAATTATATAATATTGTAAAAGTTTATTTAAATACAATTTCAAACTTTGATTTATAATTATTAAAACATACAAATATAAATGTAATTGTTTTATAATTACACGTAATTATCGAATTTTACATTTTAAAAATCTTACAATTAATATTAATTAAAATTACATTTCAAATGTTTGAATGATAATTCAATTATATATATATATATATATAAGCTTATAAAAAACAATTATTGATTTCTCTTTTATCACAAATTATTGCATATACTTTTTTAGCAATTTAAATATATTTTCAAAATATCAAAAGTTCTGATGTTTGAAATTAAAATATAAATGATATGTAGTTTTACAAACATATACTGGTATTATATAATATAATATAATAAATGAACTAAATTTAATTAATTTAATTAAAATTTAATAATTTATAATAAGCTAATTAATTAGTTGCTATTTTACAGTATATTAATGTCTTATTTGTAATTTATGCAAACTTATCATTAAGTTTACTACAAATTAAATTATGTGACATATGTTATAAAATTAATGCAATACTATAATTGAATTGACATTAAGATATGATTATAATAATAACTTATAAATAAAATTAGGGTCACATTAATGTGATATACTGTATACTACAGTACAGTACTAATGTATTGTGATTTACAATATTGTGTCAAATACTGTATTAATTTAATCTAATGTATTATAAAGTACTGTATTATTGTAGCAAATAAATAGTTGGTATTAGTGGTAATTGTCACGCATAGCTAACTACCGGTGCCATTACAATAATAATATATCTGTCCTCAACATAATACTGTATTAATAGGTTAACTTAACTTAACATAACATACACTACAATATAATACTAGAGGTTGAGCTAATTCAGTGATCATAACAATCATTGTTTTTAATGAGTTAGCGATGAAAAGCTAACTCCAAATAAGTTATGCCAACAATACAAATGATAATAACATTAAAAGAGTCAATCAATTGTTATGTAAAAAAAATTTGATGTCAATTGTGGCTAAAGTTATATATCAATGACTGTAATCATAGGCAATGAACTAAAGTTTGAAATAACTTTTTTTTGATGATATGTTTTGGCAGTCAATTGAGTTCCGCATTGAAATCAAGTGCACAAACATTACAGTATATGTAATGCAATACATATACAGTACTATTAATACTAGTTATACGTAAAGCTTTATGTTATGTAATGCAATACTATTCACATTTACGTTACAATTAAATGCATTATTTTTGTCCCCAATTAGTGTGCATTACATTCAATGTTTGGCTCAATCTGTGCACTAAATGTCTGTAAAACAAGACATCCAAAAACATACGCCTCAAGTGATTACGTCATCGATGGACGAGTTGTGCACTGCTTTGCAAAATTGCAATACAACTCAAAAAGTGATTACAGTTTGCAATTGACTGCCAATCCATTAGTTATGTGTTTATACATTAGGTATGTGTTGTATGTGTTGACTGTTTTGTTGTGACAATCATTTAGTGTAACATTTGGTCCACAAAACAACTCATTGCTATTCAATACAAACAAACAAACATTTTTTGATTACAATTTTGACACAACTATACAACTATTCATATATGATATGTGTTAACCCATTGATTGATAAATGCATTGATTTAGTATTACTACACTATTATTATTATTAATTTATATTATTATTAGTATTATTAATAAGTATTTTCTGATTGTATTCATGTTATGTAATGTTTAGCTTAACATTACTTTATAAATAAATAAATTATATATTTAATTGTTTGCTTATGACATCTGCATTCATATTAACGACAATTAAAAGGTATTTATAAATCAATTATATATTATATTATTTGATTTAAAAAAAGGATTATTAATATTATTGTTAAAACAATTTGTATTGATTTGAATGATATGACATTTATATTAATCTATACAAACATTTAATGCAATTTTGCGGTCATTTATTATTTTTATTATTTATTTGATTATAATTATGGTATTAGATATTTTTTGATGAGTTACTAAAATTTTAAAAATTAGTTAATCTTGCTTATAAATAATATTAAAATTAATTGTTAATGATTTATGATTTATATTTAATTTAATAATGTTTTAGTATTTATTTTGTGAAAACATGATACACTGTATTATACTGTAGTAAATGTATACGATTTTACTTATATTATATTACTATTAATAAATACAATTATGTAATAATTATATATTTATTTATATATTTAGTTAGTTATATATCATATAACATGAGTTACAATACTTTGTGGTATTTCTAAAAATAATTGTTATTATTATAAGAGTTGATAACCTGAAGATCAGTTGGTATGCAATGAGTTAGTGATCTATTTAAAGTCGAGCTCTATCTCAAAGTCGTGATCCCTGAGCTATGATGTGTTTCATTGATGTTGTGTCCCATTTCTGATGTTTCTGTGAGACAAACCACCACTGGAACAGACAAGTCATGCCCTACCAGTGCCTCAGTTAAAGTTACCATTGTTTTTGTTACTCGAGATATCATTAAAAAATATTATTGTCCGGTCATTGTTCTCTCAAATTGTCACTAATTTTGTTAGCATTACATTACCCGTACGTTATTTAATCCATTCAAACAAATGAATTAATATCAATGAAAATATTACACAATTTTTGTTTATTGCAGCGATGATTGTATATATTAATTAAATTAAATATTTATTGTATGCGGAAAAATATAAAACTCATAGAAAATAACATTTTAATAAATTGCTAAATAATGGCCTGAATTTTGAAGACTTATTCATGAAGTAATACAACACTTCATAAATATATAAACATTGGTTCACTTTCTGTGTCTAATAACTTAAGTTATATTCATTATTTGCTTTTGTGTCCCAATATTTTTAGTTGAATGCATAAATCAATTAATTTATTATCTTTAAAACATGTTAACAAATGGTTGTCTACATAACACATAACTGTTGTAAAAACTTTATTATTTTCAACATTTTTCTGATGAAAAACTATTTCCAAACAATAAGTAGTGTTTCAGGAATTTAGTTATAAAAGTAAAAATAAAGAAAAAATAATTTTTGTTCAAAACAAATATAATAACAATTTTGTTAGTCTATTAGTGTATTTATGATTACCTGTATTTTTCAATTGTGAATTTCCTGTACTTAACATAGATTTTTATCAATTGTTTTGTGAATGTTGTGTTATATACTTACAACAGTACAGTACATGTGAACACCACTGTGCTTAAAGAAAGTTTGAAAGTTATGTTTTTTTTTGTTAATAATACTAATTGTTAATTTTGTTAATAATTTCAAATATTATGTTATTTTTTGTTTAACTGTTTGTGATCTAATGTCTGTCAATTAGTTATACTAAATGCAAACCAATTATATTTTAATATGACATTCTTTCCATAGTTTAACTCATACAACATTATTATTATTAAAATATTTTTGCATCAATTAGTTGTCTAAAATATTTAAGATTTGTATCATGCATTTTACATTAGCATACATTATATTGTTTGTGAACCATATTATGTACTGTAGATCTACTTTATTATAATATTTTTGTATTTCTATAGTTTGTAAGTGAGGTTAGGGTCTAATTGCCCGCATATAAGATCTATTAAAAGGCTATTTATCATTGATTTGGCAAATCATAGGCCGAGACTCAAGTATTTTCAAATAATATTCATGTCTTCGCTATTGTAGTATCAGATAAAGCAGTGAAATGATTCAAATGAAATGCAATATCTTTCATAACTTTAATAATATTTAGAAATATACAGGCATTATATAAAATAGGTGAAACTGGTTTTTCTAATGAATGTCATTAGAAAATTATAGTTTTTAAGAACATTTACATTTCTATGTTATTTATTATATCTTAAAACTATATGAATTATAAATTCTGTAAATTCCGTAATATTAGAATAACTAATATTAGTTTAATAATAATTCATTTACATTTGTATAATTTGATTTACAGAATTTTAATTTCTTATTAAGTTTTTGAGATAAAATATATTTTTCTATGTTAATATACCGGTCCATTATACACTAAAGTATATTTTATTGAAAGTTTAGAATAGTTAGTCAAACTAGTAGTCATATTTGAAAAATATTTTTGCAAATAAAATAGTGCATTCATTTCCATTACAGATAATTTATTCTCGAAAAACCATTGCTTTCTATTTTGTCACTGATTTGCCACTCTATAGGTTTGCCTTATAATGACATTTCATGGTCTCTGTCTTTCTTTCTTTTTTTCTTTCGTTTTATTTTAACTAAAGAATGTGTCTTTTAGTGCAAATATGTTATGCCATTGTATTTATAAAATACTTTATTTGATTGATTTTTTCATAATTTTATAATTAAATGACTCCTGTAATGGGAAATCATTTTAGTATTATACAGTATATTTCATCAGTGTATGTGAAATTCATAAGGTTTGACAGTTTATTTTATTTGTTATTTATTATACAGTATTATATAGCTTTACAATTAAATCATTTTTAGACAAAAAGTGATATATATAAACAAGTTATTTATACTGTATATGTATACCTATTTAATAACATTAGAAATAGTAAAAATAAACTAACATTAAATTTGAAAATTGCAATATATTGATGACAGTGAACTCAATGTAAAGTTTTTTATATAAAAATTTCCAGGAATTGTAAGTTATTACTGTTTATATAATAATACATAATATATATGTAAAACATAGTCAATGCAAATATACCAAACCTATAGGTGCTGTTCATCCTTAGAAATGGACTTTGAATGGTAATAGTTGTAACACAAACTGACTATAAATGTGATGTTCATTGAATAGTGACGTTAGTATAAGCCATCCGCCTCTTTGATGGCATTGCATATCATCGCAGGACTAGTTAGTCAATTGAATGTTTGCAGTCTTGTAGTACCAGTTACTGACTGGTCCTCACTTGAAGGCAAACCAATCAATTTTAAATGTAATCTCTTTACCAATTGTGACAAATGACTTGAAACCATCTAAACCTATGATTTCCTCATGTTTTCACACTTTCTCTAAGCTATTAAACAAATAATTTTTTATTTATAATTGAATTAATATTTTATATTATCTCTTAAACAATGTATTCTTAAATAGAGAATTAAAAGTGCTTTAATTGAACTAATAATTGTTTTGTAATAATGAATAAATCGATAATTATTTATTTATCATAACATTATTGATTAAACAATAAGGAATACAGTAAAATATAATTTATTGAATTACAAAACAATATTTTGCAATATTGTGATGATGTTTGTGTGAATTAATGTTATAATACAACTACAGTACTGTATATAACTTATACAATATATGGGTTGTAAAACATGAATTTACTGGTAGAGTAATATTAAACTCATTTTTGTTGTTTTAAAGTGATGTTATGCTTAATAGTTAGTTAATATTATGAATAGTTAAACAAACAGTTAATGTCTTCAATTTCAAGTATTGTTAACTCATTTGGTATACATTTAAAAGCATTTTAATGATATCATCCGATTATTTCTATGAATGCTGTTTCACAAGAAATATGATGTTTGTGTAAACTATAAAATATTAACAATTAGTTTCATATATAAACTATTTTAATTGAATTTTATTAATCATTAATATTTTTTATAATAAACTTATATTTCATTTTATAGATAAATAGAAAAAGATATTAATTTTTTTATAGTTATTTAGTAAATAAATAAATATAAAAAATAATTTATTTAAAAATAGTTTTTCTAGTTATTCGTTGAATGATTTATAATACAATACAATAATAATTATTTTTATTCTATAATTGATTCAATTGACAGAACAAAAGCAAAAAAATGATAAAACAAAGTTCACTATTGAAATGGACTCAAAACGGCAATAAAAATATGAAAAGTTTGCATAAAAACAATTGGATTCATCCGTCGGAAGCTTTAACCAGAGGTCACGTCGCATACTTAGTAAAGGTTTGATTCAGTAATATATAATTATTATTATTTTGTGGCACTATTTATAGGTCAATAATTTTATGACAAATACTTAAATTATTTTTGTTTCAAACAGTTTTTAGGCAATACTGATGTCGATCAGCCAAAGGGTATTGAAATAGTTAAGGAAGGCATTAGAAAACTGAAGTTTAATCAACACATCAAAAGAGCCGAAGGTATGTATCATTTGAATAATAATTATTTTTGAAATCTTATTTAATTTAAATTTGCTTTCAGTTTTTTTTAAATATAAAATAATAACGAATACTAATTGAAAAATTTTATTATACTTAAAAATATATGTTAGGCTCTAAAATACCGAAAGTAGAGTTAACGATATCGATTGATGGGGTGGCCGTTCAAGAGCCCAAATCTAAAAGAATATACCATCAGTTCCCTCTTCACCGCATATCCTATTGCGCTGATGACAAGTCAGAGAAAAAATTTTTCAGTTTCATTGCTAAAGAGTCGGAAACTGAAAAACACAACTGTTTTGTATTCATCAGCGATAAGTTGGCCGAAGAGATAACTTTAACCATTGGACAAGCATTTGATTTGGCGTACCGTAGATTTTTGGAGACATCGGGAAGGGATATGGAAATGAGGAAACAACTTATGATTTTACAAAAAAGAGTTCGAGAACTGGAACAACAAAATCAAGACTTGAAAACAAGACTTTGCAAATATGAACAAAATGGTACCAATAATGGTATCAACAATGGTATTAATAATGGCACCAATTCTGAGCATAACTCACAGCAAAACAAACAAATTAAAACAAATTTCAGTGCGGATACCACTCATGCAGTTAATGGCAATGTAAATCATAAGAGTAACTGTCATACACCACCGCAAGTACTTCCACCACTACAACCACCTCCCAGTGCTCTTCCGCGAACACTTAACCGCAGTTTTTCGGAGAATCAATCGGTAAATCTGCTAGATTTAGACATGAGTCATACAAAGCCTACTGTGGGCCGGAAATTAGAAAATTTAAATATTATCGATAAGGATACCGAAGATGAGGACTTCAATCCGCGCGCAAATGACTTAAACAACGGTTGCAATGGTTCCACATTAGAGTCCGTACCAAATGGTCATTCATTAAATAAATCGGCTAAAGATATATTTGGAAGCGAACCGTTCAACAGTGGTAATGATGCCAAAGATCCCTTCGGAATGGGAGAGTTCGCTGCACACGAACTCGAGACAGCTATCGGTGCTATAGACAGAAAATTGGCTGAAATGAGGGTATATTTCATATTGTAGTCGATTGTGACATATATTTAAACACATCTAATATCTGTTTCTTATATTAGGACGGATTTAGTCGCGGCCTATCATTCGGTAACGACGAGTTCACTATTGAAAGTATGGATCCTTTAAACCATAAAACATGAAAATTTGAAACACAATTACATATTTATGATATACAGTATATATATATATATTTCGTTTTTAAAATGTTAATTTTTGTATAAAATTATGACTAATAAAATATATTACCACAGGTAAAATAATTTTATTGATTTAGATAAATCGATGAGTGAATTATTTTTATTAAAAACAAATTTTTCAAATGATTGCAGTGTAAAATATGCATCATTTTACCACAAATATAAAATTTTTTATTTAAAATAATATCACATTTTAGATATTGGGAAAAAAATATTTACAATTAAAAATATTATTTAAAACTATGTTTTAGTTTATAAATGTAATGCAGTTTTTATGAGTGATATAATGCAAAATTATAAATATGAGTGATACGATTATTTTAAATTTAACAAACTTAATATAATTAACGGGTCTCAATGTTATAATAAATCAAATTAAGAAAATAACATTACCGTAACTATATTAATATAAATTAAAATAACGATAAAATACTATTATATATACAGATTAACACACAATATTTGTCGATAAAAAAATTAAAATGATTTACCGGTATAAAAAAATCTAAATTAAATCAAACAATTTTATATTTGTCGGTAAAAACCTAACCGAAGAGTCGATTTAGAGTCCAAAAGTTGTTGTACATAGTCTTCATTAACTTCAATCACATCTTCATCGCTCACTTTAATCCAAGAGGAATCTGAAAGGACATTCTCATCACATAAACAATTATCAGATGGTTTAGTCGCCAAAACATCTTGTGATGAATTTATTACAGCGTAATAGTGACCGTTATTATGCAAACCCGAGTGCATTATAATGCCGTACAACGAGTACTGTATTTCTTCATTAATTGTCGAGTATTTTAAATGAAACGGAAGAGTAAATAACTTCTTTGATGTATTAGATTTTCTCTTCGATTTGTGTCCAAAGTCTGGTAGTGTTTCTAAAAACATAATCAACACATTTGGGGCCACTTTTATGGAGTTCATGGTTGAGAAAGTAGTCATCGTTAGACACTTTTTACAAAAACTTTTAATTTTCTGAACATATTTGCGATGAACGACATCACTAAATGTTGGCATTTGTCGGCCACAAGATATTCGCCGATAGTCATCACTTGTCACATAAGTTGGTATTTTAATATCGGCGAACAATTCATCGGGAAGTGCGACACTTATTTGGCATTTAGAGCACATCCTATTCGTGGCCAGAGTTCCGTCGAAGCGATCGAACCGAATGGATGCGTATCTGTTAAGCTGTTCGTTGACCAACCAATCGATAAACTCATGACAATCGTGTTGTAGTTCCGGTTCAAAGCGATTGCTGTAATAATTTTAAAAATTTAATTAATTAAAAAAACATGACTTTAAGTCTTACGTCAACGACTGACAGATATTAATAAATGATTTCATCAGTTCTTTATTATCACTTGGAATCACTTTCTTACAACAGTTTACTTCATTTTGTCTGAACTTTACAAATATCTGAAAATTAATTAATAATTATTTTCATTATATTTTAAACATTTAATTATAAAAAATACCTGATGTAAACATGAGGTCAGTTTCATCTGATTTGTGTCGTCTAATTTGTGTCCAAATTGTTTGTTTAATTTACAAACAAATTGTCTGAATCCCGGAGTGACTCGCAATACTGTAGTCATATAAATAAAATAAAATAAAATAAAATAAAATAAAATAAAATAAAATAAAATAAAATAAAATAAAATAAAAATAAAATAAATTGATTGTCAATCAGTCAAACCCTGTATAATAACATTAATAAAACAAGTATTTCCTAGATTTGGAAGACCAAGGATTTCGGACATCACATCTTCGCTATCGTCATCTTCGTCTTCATTATCTTTAACTCTGGTCAGTAAAACACGCGGACAAGTGTCCAGTTGTTTCAGTTGTGCATCAGATATAACTTCGGTGTCGATATAGACGCAGCCGTCGGGAGTCATAATCTTTTTGAAAGTGTTTGGACACACATATGGTTTGCTATGATGTTTGACATTACGGTTAACACGTGACGAGTAAAGCATTACAACTCGTATTATATAAAATCCAATTTATTTGACAATCAAAACACTTAATATCAATAAATAACTAAAAAAAGTATTTAAAAATTAAGTTTACAATAAAAACAATTTCATCAAAATTTGTTTAAAAATTATATCAATTAATTGAAATACTGATTAAAATAGCGATTCAAACGGTTTGATTTGAATGAAAGCTTTGATGTCATCAATAGTTTTTTGAATTAACACTCAATGCGTTTAATGTCACATGAATTACAACTAACCAATCAAATTGTGATCAACTAATGTGTATTGTAATCATAAATAACGTTTACAAACAATTCATATGATTGTACCCCTAATACAACACTAAGTATTACATAACAGTATTATCAATAAATATATTCAATTACTATTCAATTAATTATTATTAATAACTTTAGATATATGTGACTAAAATTCTGGTTTTATTCAATAAAATATTTGCTTTAAAACATAAAAATATGTGACTATATTTGCTTAAAATTGTAAAAATAGGTGCTTATAATTGTTTTGAAAAGTCTAAATATGTGATTATATTTAAAATTACAATTAAGTAATTTTGTGTTACAATTAATGATAAAACAATATTTTATATTTTTCTTATTTAAACTTAAAAAACATAATATAAAAATATTTAGCTTTTAAAATTTTGGTATAAATTTTAATTAATGCAAATAATGCTTTCACTCCTATTGTCTTTTAGTAGACATTAGGAAATTGTTGAAAATATATCATAAATATTATGTTATTAATCTACAAAAATAACAAATAAATTTGCATTCATATAAAATACTATTTTTTTAAATTTCAACACAAATAATACATAATAAAAATGTAATTCAACTATTATTTTACAGTTATATGCGAAATATGTGCTAATAATTGATAATATATAACTACCTTTAAAAATATGTTGTTATAAGTGTTTATGTGACTAAAACTTTTGATATAATTATTAGTTTTCAATCAATTGCTTTTATATCTAATTATTTGTTAATATCTTTAATCACTAAAAATATAAGTTATATGTGAAATAAATGCTCTAATTATTATATTAAGTATTTACAAAATTAAGTATAAGTTATTTTTTGACTATTTTTGTGATAATTTTAATATTAAATTTATATAAAACAAAAAACTAGTTGACAGTGAAAATTACATCAAACTATAAAATATAGTACATGTAGTTAATGACAATTGAGTTAACTGGTCTCTGAAGACATACCATTTGTTGGTCAACAACAACACTGTTAGGAGAAGTCATACTCGAGATTAGGATCACTCCTAAGCCTATCCTTCGGACCACAACTGCATTTCGGTTATCACTTTAGGACTCATAACGACTGGACAAGTGATCTCTTGGTTGTCAACCAAACACATTAACAACATTTGTGACAACAGAATCATCACTTGATCCCTGTCCTCAAGTCATAACATAATATAATTATTATACATTATTATTATAAACTTTTCAAACAAACTCATTTGAGACCTCAAAGGGTAGCTTTTATTCTAATATTTTGTTTTGCCATATATTTTACAAACAATTATTTAATAAAGTTTTGCGATTACTGTATATTAACATAAATTTAAAAAATTAATTTATAAATAAAAGTTATAATCAATAACTTGTTTGTTCAGTAAATTTAAACTCAAATGGCATCCATTGGTCTTTTCATTATAATATATAATATATTGATTCAAATATTTAAGTTTACGATAAATTAAAATAAGTATTTTATTTATATATTTATAATATAAAACCTTTTAATTTCTATAAATATATTTTTATATACAGTAAAAGTTATAGTACGCTACAAAAGAATTTTATTTTATAAATTATTATCAATAAATGTGATTACAATTTAAATTATTTAAAAAACTACATATTTTTTATATAAAACTTTAATTACTCACAATTTGTGACATATATTTAGCCGATTATTGTCTTCGGCCTTAATTACATATAAAAATACATATTTTTTGTTTTATAATATATATTGCGATATATTCAATATATATACATATATAATATTATCTATATATAGTATATATTAAATATCTCACACCAGTCTCATAAAAAAATTTATTTTTATATTCTCTAATAATATAAAATATTATCGACTAAACTAAAGTCCTAAATATATATATTTTTTATTTACTTATTTATATTAATAATATATCTATCAATAATTAATTTAATATAAATTACAATATCAGAGTTAAGCAATGGGTAGGGGGTTAGCCAAAATGATCCCACCCTAAGATAGATATTTTGAGATTTTAATCCAATTTTTCAAGTTTATAAAAATTATAATTTTAATTGATAATATTTTATCAAGTCTTATTATGTTTTTATATTTTTAAATTTTAAATACAGAATTATTTTATTTTTTTAATTATAATTAAAATTTGTTTTTATTAATTAAAAAAAATATTTAGATAAATAATGTAATTTATTGGGAATATTTACTTATTTTACTGGGGATTTACACGGGAATATTCGGGAATTTAAGGAATTTTTAGGGAATTTTATCTTGACCATTTATTGACATTTTTTGCTCTAAGGTTAGGATAGTAGACATTGTAAATAAAATTTATAATTGAAAATGTATTTTATTTAATGTCTCAATCCATGAATGTATGAATCAATAATACTGTTTCAATGTATGATTTATTCTCGATTATAACTATAATTTAATGAATTCATCTAGACACTTTTATTATATTTAGTTTTAAACTTTTCATGTTTATAATAAAATTACTGGTCATTTAAGTAATTTAATAAAAAAACAAACATTTTCATCTAGTTTATTTTAGTATTAATAGAAATTGGATAACTATTATAATTTTTGAGACATTCCCAATCAATTTTGATAATTTCATAAAATATTTATATATCATTGTATCCGTCATTTAAATGCAAAGTTGCAAAAAAAAATAATTTTGTTTTATGTCAATTCCTTTATATAGTTTTACTTGAAAAACCTCTGTCACTACTTTTGTCTCCTATTTTATATTAGAAGTTATACCTAACATAACATAATTAGTTTGATTAATACTAATTTGTATTCAAAACATTGATAATGATTATCAAACTTATTCATAATTATTTCCTATTTTCTCTTGTATTAAATTACAACTAGTAGTAGTAGTAGTAGTCATGTGACGAAAAATTTGTTTTTAAATATTAAAAAAAATTATTTTTACTATTAATTACAATTTATATAACTATTTATACATTATATCAAATGTTAACTCATTTATTTGATCTAAACATTATTAAATCAATCAATCAATAAGTTATTAACCTATAGTTTATTGAATGAGAAATTTTTTCAATGTTAAGCTTTATATTAAATAAAAACTATTTTTAAGTGTGAGATTTCAGTTGCTATTATATGCTATTAATATTATATACAGTACTGTATTATTATTGTTGATTATGTGTGTGCTTTAAATTGTGTACAGTATTTACTTTATTATACTGTATTGAAATTTGTCGACATGTGATTGGCTTATAATTTAAATGTCCCAGTGTCAACTATTAAAGTAAAAGCAACAAAATTGCATCTAGCTAAAAGTTGTTCTACAGTATATACAGTATATTAAAATGTCATAATAATAATAAAAATAAAATTGATCTAGCAGAATCTATTTAATATTATTTTATTTAAATGTCAAAACTATGTTTAAAACAATGTTTGTATTATAGTTTGATTTTTTAGTGGAAAAGTTGGTCTCAATAGTTGTAAACACATTACAGTACTTTCCATAAGCTTTGTTAAGATTTGACAACAAATAGCAATATATTTAGTGATTTTGATGATAACATATGTTAAGTAAATGTAGTTTTTGTGGTCACAAATGATGTCATTAATAATAGGTGTCAGTAATGGTATGTGTATTGCATGTAATGGCAGTGTTTTGGGCCATAAACTGGTATTTTATTGAGTGATTTGATTGCTTCTCATTCAGTGATTCAGTGATGACATTGTGTTTAATGTAAATATTTGTAGTGTTTATGGCATTGACTGCAAACAACAACATATCAATTGGCTATTTATAGACCTATTGGGCGCAGTTGTCTTGTGTGGACAGTTCACCCAAATTGTGGTCAAATGACTGCAGCTGTTCACTGGTCGAGTGTTGATGACATCGATGATGCCTTGGCTGCTGACTTTGATGGCAGTCTGTCGGGTCTGGGCATGGAGTTGGGGACCGGGTCTTTCAATATGAGGTCAGTCATCATTAATAGACTTGAATGACATGATTGTCATGCGATAAGACTTTTTTGTTTATCTAATATATAAATCGTTTTGTTTACGTCTTCCTCAGCGAGGCTCTGATGGCTTTGCCTAATCTGAGTGCTCTCAAACAGGAACATCACAGCCATCATAATCACCACAATCACAGTCATCATCTGCACAACAATGTTAACCATTCATCAGCTAATCACCAAAACTCTCGTAATTCCCATCACTCAGAAGGAACCACAACTCATAGGAACAGCAGTGTCTCACCTCTTCTACATTCAAACGCTGAAGAGGCCAACTGTCCCATAGCTGTAGTCCACGGAAAGAAAAACCGTTTGACTTATGGAACTGAAGACGAGTTGGTCACCACTGCTATCAAGAGGTTCTGCTTAAGTAACGAATGGGAATCCAATCTAAATGAACACAACAATCGGTTTCTTATATCAAACAATTATCTCAACGATGATGAATGCAATGATGAATGCGCTAATGATATTCGGTGCCAACACAGGCATTCCTCATCAGTCCCAGATCTACGCACAACAGTTACCGGAGCTGTCAATCAATCGCATTCAACAGCTTCATCGCCATCGTCCTCATCGACTCCCACTCCGACCACAAATTCAGTTTTGGCCCAAATATTATCAGTTCCACAATATGTGACGGGCTCTCCCTCTCCTACTCGCGAAGTCGTTGCAAACAACTCATTGAGTACCAGAAGTACTGCCAAATTTCAATATGTTTTGGGAGCGGCCACCAGTATGGCCATGAAGTTACACGAAGAGACTATGACGTACTTGAATCAGGGTTTGTATTAATTTATAATTAATATATAATATTATAAATTACTTAGTATTGTATACAATATTTATAACTATTATTGATGTGATTTAAAGGACAATCTTATGAAATAAAACTTAAAAAAGTTGGGGATCTCAGAGAAATCAGAGGAAAAATGCTTAAAACCATAGTTAAGGTTGGATTTCAAGAAAGACGATTACAATATATGGAAAAGGAATTGATATCTCAATGGAAACAACAGAGACCTTCCGATAGGATTCTTGAGATTGATGTTCCCCTCACTTATGGAGTACACGACATATTTGATGATCCAAAACATGTCAATAGATGTGAATTTTTTTGGGATCCAACAAAAGAAACGGGAGTTTTCGTTAAGGTATTTGTGCCACGGGTTCACTCAAAATGTTATTAATGTATTGTTTTATTTAAATTTAAGGTTAATTGTATAAGTACTGAGTTCACACCTAAAAAACACGGGGGCGAAAAAGGAGTGCCATTCAGGATTGTTATTGAAACCTATCCGCATAACGGCACGAGTCCATCATCATGTCTTCACGCAGCTTCATGTCAGGTCAAAGTGTTTAAACCCAAAGGTGCCGATAGAAAGCATAAGACAGATCGCGAGAAAATGGGTAAAAAACCGCACTCAGAACAAGAAAAATTCCAGCCATCCTATGACTGTACCGTTTTTACCGACTGTTCTCTCGACTCATTGTTCTCATTTAGTGCACCCGCATCTCAATCTACCTCTAATACCATTTCAAGCACTGATGCAAATCCTAAATCCATTGAATCAAACAAATGTTTATCACCAGAACATTCATCAACTCCTAAACCCATTTCAATTAGCAGTTTTTATGAAAGTGATTCTTCTCATGATTTGATATCCAATTGTTTGCCGACCACTCCTTCAATCAATAGTACTTTTAAGCCATTAGCTGTTGACTCAGACGCCGATCAGACAACCAAATGGCTTCAATTGAATCGATTCAATTCATATATCCGTACATTTTCCAACTTTGCCGGATCTGATATCCTAAGGTTATCCCGTGAAGATCTCATACAAATTTGCGGACTGACTGATGGCATTCGGCTTTACAATGCACTTCATGCCAGAAACATAAGACCACGACTTACTATTTATGTCTGTTTGCAAAACGATGAAGTGTTTAGAGCCGTCTATTTGGAAAACTTATCGGTCAAAGAGTTGACTACAAAATTAAGTGCAATATTGGTGTCGAACAACAAAATGAGTTTAACCCGAATCTGTATGTGGGGTCCATCAGGTATTCGCATTTTAGTCACCGACGATGTCGTACGTAATCTTTCAGAAGAGTCTATGTTTTTAGTTGAACTTAACAAAGGTTTGTTAAAAAAACAGATATAACTTATTACGACAATTCAAAATTATTCAGTTTTAAATTTAAAGTTTTAAAAAATATATTTTTATGTTATTATATTTTAATTGAAATTTTTAAAATTATTAGCCATTAAATGAAAAAGAAATTGTCTTAATAAGTTTATAGTCAATGGCTAGCATTGAATTTTATATATTATTTGATATACTTAATTTATACAATTTTTTAATTATAGATCAAAGTGGTGACAAACTTCAGGCACTACTTAAACCTTACAACAATTAAAAATGTTGGAAATCATTATTGACTGTAATTTTTAAGTTAAAATATGTTATGACAACTATACTTATTTTTAACAAATTTTCATTTAAACATTAACAAACATAATTAATAAAATTATTATAAGTTTTATTATGAAAACAACTTGAATGACAAAATTGCACATTTCGGACATATCATTGATTTTAAAGTGTTAAAAATAATGAAAATGAGAGATTCATTAGATTTGTTTAATGAAAATGCAACTTATTTTGAATTATAAAAATATAATATTTCATTTCTTATATAATTTTTTTTGTATTTAAAATAAGTATTTTATTTCATACAAATAAGAAACAATTTGATATTATTAATCGTTTTAAAAATAATAATTTGTCTTTTGTTTTTTTATGTTTGAATAGTATTTATAACATAATTTACAAATTACATGTAGTTATTATCATGTTTATACTGTATTAGACTATAATATATAGTATTTTAGATATCTGTTACAACATACATACACACACACACACACACATATATATATATATACTGTATATATATATAATTTACACACTAGTTATTTATTTTTTTAAAGCAAATGAAATTTATAATAAATAAAAATTAATTAATTAAAATCACAGATAATGCCTAATTACCAGTTAAAGTTTAAAAAAATAAAATATATTTTCATAAACAAAAACAAACTTTATCTAAAGTTTTGATTCAAAACAAATATTTAAAAAATATTACTATCTTAGATCATGTTTATAATTTATAATATATTTATAGAGATACCGTACATACGTATATTAAAACTGTATAAAACGCATTAAACATTACATTATTAATTACTTTTAAATTGTAGATAATTTGTTGTTTTTAAAAGTTTATTTTCCTGATTTTTATAATTATTATAAATGTATACATATTTGCTAACGATTTGTGTGTAAAACACAGAGAAACCGATTTTTACTTATATTAATGAGTATTTAATTTTAGACTAAAATTCTGTTGTAAAAAACAGTGCCATAAATATGGGAACCAATCATTCATTTGTCTAATTGTTTTGTGATTGTTTTAATCGATAAAACATTTTTGTATCTATTTGTTATTATATTAAATTAAAATGCTTTTATATCAATACATTTATTTATTTATTAAACGAAACACATATTACATTTACAGTAATGTACTGTATTAATGACTCATTATTAAAGTAAACTACTAAGTTTTTAATTAGTTAAATAATTTAACTATATCTATATATATACCGTATATACTTTATTTTAATTTATAAATATATAAGTAATTATAAAACAAAATAATATAAATCAAAGATAATTAAAATATGTTAAATTATCATTTGTATAAATCAGCTGACATTACATACAGCATAAAAAATTATATTGAAATATATAAAATGTGTTATAAGTTATAACTAATTAAACAACAAAACTATAATTTTTACGATAAGTTTTCCGTTTGTCATATGAAATGTATATATATATATTTTTATCGCAATTTTTCGGATGTCTCCAAACTAATGAATTAAAAGGCGTTTTTTAATCAGTTTTTTTATAATTATATTTGTTTTTTTATTATTTTATTATTAATTATTATTTTCAACACTGATTGTAATAATTGCAAATGAATATAACTTATAATACAGTACAGTATAAACAGTTATGGAAAGTATTTCTTTAAAAATTGTGAATAAATATATTTTTTTAATTATTTAGTTTTAATAGTAAATTGACATTTGATTAACTATGGAAGTGAATGATCAGCAAAAGTATCGATTTCTTATTTTGGGAGGTATTTGACTGCAATTATTTAATTACTATTTGTGTTATTTAAATACTTAATAAATAATTTAGGAAATGGTTTTATCGGTCGAAACTTTGTTGAGTTCTTAATCAATGAAAATATTGCTTCAAAGATCAGAGTTGTCGACAAAGTTGTGCCACAAATGAATTATTTTAATGAAAGACATAAGGTTTGGATAAATTGTTTATTATATAAAAATATGTTAACTCTTAACAACTTAAATATTATTTTTATGATAAACAGGTATAAAGTTATCAATTTTCCTGTTTTTTATAAAAGTTGACACAAATTCCTAGACTTAACACATAAATATACTGTACATGAATTTAAATCAATTTGCTTTAAAATAATGATTTTTTATTCATAGAATATATTCTCTAATAAAGTGGTTGAATATAAATCAGCGAATCTAATAAACAAAAGTTAGTATCAATTTATCAAGTTTTTAATAAATTTTTTATCACTGAAATCAATACCTTATATTAATTTGATTGAATATAACAAAAGTTATGTCATGCGATACTCAAATAGGAGTTTACATCAAATGTGAAAAACAATAAATCTAATTAATGATTATTTTTCAAATTGATATCTAGTTTCGTGTCAAAAGGCATTTGAAGACGAGTTGGCATTTGATTTTGTTGTAAACTTTGCCGCAGAGACCCGATTGGGACACTCGGAACCAGTCTATGAGGAAGGCGTTTATAATCTTTCCATTAACTGTGCAAAAGAATCGGCAAAACAAAATGTTAGGCTATATGTGGAGCTATCGAGTCATCAATTTCAAGACAAACTAATTAATCATTCATTAGACTCCACTTGCGATTCATTACTGCCATTCACACCATTAGCCAAATACAAGTTGAAAGTTGAAAAAGATTTAAAAAATATTGAAAATTTAGATTATATTATCATTAGACCCGCACTGGTCTATGGATTGGGAGATCGTATGTCTTTAATGCCTCGGATTGTAATTTCATCGGTTTATAAGCATTTAAATGAAACGATGAAACTCTTATGGAATAAGGATTTAAAGCTAAATACAGTTCACGTCCAAGACTTATGCGATGCCATTTGGTTTTGTTGTCTTAACGGCAAAATTGCAAACATCTATAATGTGGTAGATATGGGAAACACCACTCAAGGCATTATCGACCAAATTTTATCTGATATATTCAGTATTCAATTTGATTACTGGGGAAACAATATGTCTAAAGTTATACTAAAAACAAAAGGTTTGGATGAATTAATTGAAGAAATCAATGACAAACATATGAAAAGTTGGTGTGATTTGTGTGTAAATCATAAAATATTAAATACTCCAATCAATCCTTATTTATATAAAGAAATGCTTCAAAACACCAATTTATCACTAAATGGTCAAAAAATCTTGAGTTTAGGATTTTCATATAAAAAGCCAATTATTACTAAAGAATTAATTTTGGAGATAATAACGGATCAAATAAAATTGGGATTATTTCCAGATATTTTATAGCAAATTATTAAATGTATTAAACAATTTAAGCACAAACATTTACTTTAGGTATCACATGAATTGTTATTGTGGTAAATAAGATAAATCATTAAAAAAAACTTCATTTTGTTTAAAATTAAATATTTATATTTCAAAAATTTGTAATAAAACATTTTTGCTTAAAAAACTGCATTAAATTATATAACTGTAGGGAAGGATCCATTGGCTTATGAATCAATAAGCTATTGTTTTAACTACAAAACCATAGCTTATGTTTGTTTAGTGAACGCCGATAAAATAATCACAAAAATATCATATATTATACAATATAATCAAAATTGACAGCAAAATGTTATAAATTGATATATAATTGAATGCCTAAAACAATCGGTTATTTCTCTCTATATTATTATTAATCAAAATTTTCAATATTAAAACAATTCAATGATGTTTTTTGTTAACAGTGTATTAATATTAATAATATTATCTAAATGTATGTCTAAAGTCGTGTTTATGTCTGACAACACGGCTTCTTATTTCTGTCCGAATTATCGGTCGGCGGAATGCTTATGGGCCTAATGTTCTCGGCTGATGGCGACGGATCATCACCGCCAACATTAGTGATCTGTTTCTGTGAGACAATCCGATAAATTTCAGTCAATATCTGTTGAAACGCTGCCTCAACATTGGTTGAGTCCAGAGCTGATGTCTCGATAAATGACAGACTATTCTTCTCTGTAAACAAACAAAACAATAAATAAGATAATGTCGGGTGTGGTCATTGGTCATCATAAGTGTCAAATTACCGGCAAAAGCACGGGCTTCATCAGTAGGCACAGCTCTTAAATGTCTTAAATCAGATTTATTCCCGACTAACATAATCACTATATTCTGGTCCGCGTGATCTCTCAACTCCTTCAGCCAACGCTCAACATTCTCGTACGTCAAGTGTTTGGCGATATCGTAGACCAACAGTGCACCGACTGCTCCCCTATAGTAGGCCGACGTAATGGCCCGATAACGTTCCTGACCAGCCGTATCCCATATCTGAGCCTTTATAGTCTTGCCGTCCACTTGTATGCTTCGGGTGGCAAACTCCACACCGATTGTCGACTTTGACTCTAAATTAAACTCATTTCGTGTGAAACGAGACAACAGATTACTTTTGCCGACACCCGAGTCGCCGATGAGGACAACTGTTTCAATGATAACATGTTATTAAACCATTGAATGTTATAATTATTGTCAGATATTTTTTGAAAGATACCTTTGAAAAGATAATCGTATTCATCGTCTTTGGAGACCATTGTGTCAGAAAAAAATGTTTTATAAAATTTCAATTAAAAAATAAATTATTTTTTTTTTTGACAAATGCTTTCAATCAGTTTTAAAGTATTTATAAAAAACACAATTATTTATGACTTAATTTTGTCGCACAAAACACTTAATAGTTGTTTAGTTGTAAAAAATAAGTGCTTTTCGGCTCAAAAATTGGTTATTAAATTATAATTAAAATTGTGATAAAATATTATATAACTGTTCACTAAATTGGTTGCAATTTAAGTGTTTTTGTCACTTAACGAGTCTATTGTTAACTGATTTCCACTAATAGTGTTAATAATAATAATAATCACAATATTAGCCGACATTTAATTCATTGAATCATCGCTTCAATCATTGACTGCTTATTAGACACTCATTTGACATACAATTGAATACAACATTCAGTGCAATGTTATGCCAATGCCTTACACACTGTCACTACTATTATAGTATAATATGTATAATATGTATAATATGGCTGTTATTGTAGTCTATGATAGAGTCAAACATACTATTAATGTATAAACCATTGAAAATATGAATATTTATTGAGACAATCATAGAATACTATTCAACCAAATGAGTCCCCAATAATGTATGACTCACTCAACTCAATGATAACATATACACAGTGTGTATGAAATTACTATCAATTGATTGCAAACTCAGCCCTCAATTGTTTGATCACATAATCAGTGAATTGTATTCAATATAGCATTTACTCTAAAAACGCCCCAAAAGTCATTAACAACTCAATAGATGGCATTAAATGCCAATAAATGATGTATTTGTCAATCAATTGAATAAAAATGTTTTGCCATTGATTTCAGTAATTAATTTGATTAATAAAAATCTATAGTTTTTAATACATTTATGTCTGTTATTTGAGACATGAATTTGTTATTTAAGTTTTTCTGTGACTTTTCAATACAATTACATTAAAATATTAAATTATTATGTGTTTTGTGTCTCAACATTACATTATTATATGATATATTAATATGAATATAACGGTATCACACGTTTGACACCAAAAACTCATTAAATTAAATAATTAATATTTAAAGGTATTATTTAATAGAAATAATTAGTCGATAATATCATTGAAATCGATATAATTGGTGCCAAACCTGTTAGTACTGTCAATCAAATTATATTTTTAACTTTTTTTAAATCACAAATATTATTGTGCGGTAAAGGCGTGTAAATTGATTACAAAGTTTCAATTTTGATGTTTGCATAAAATTTTAAGTGATTTTACATCAAATAATTAAATTGATTTGTAAATAAAAGATAAAATTTGAATGTTTTGATAAGCATTTCAATAATTGATTGACCATTAAATGTATTTTTTATTATCATTTATTTATAATCATTTTGTATACAAGTGTTAATTAATTATAAACAAATCAATCATTTATAATAAATTATAAAAAGTTTATTTAAAAGTGAAATAATATATCGTAAATAGCGATGATTTAATAATGTAAACTAACTCAAAAAGTAAGCGAATTAATTATTTTTCAATGATTTAACTTTTTTTTAATGAATAACTTGAAAATTACATGAATTGTAAATTTTTATAATTTATTATAATATTAGATAATTAGCTCTCATAGTTATTTTAGTCAAAATAAATTGAGTTAAATTATTTATATTAATATAATAATATAATATTAAAACACTACTTTAATATATTTTTACTATCTTTGCTTAATAATTAATTTTATTTAACATAATATTAATTCCTTAAATATATTAATACACAACAATTTAAATAAAAATACCGTATTTGTATACTATTAGTATATGATGTACACATTGTACAGTATATTGAAATAGATTAAAATTATTAATTTTTAAAATATGCAAAAATTATTAAATATTTTCGTGTTGTACTAATTAAATATTACTGTACACTACATTAACTATTTATCATAAGTTTGTTTTTTATTTGTAAATAAATTGTATATATGCAGTGAAATATTTAAAAAAAAACTTTCCTTGACTATTTAAAAATAAATTTAAATTGTTATAAAAATATTCATTCAAAGTATACGCTAATATATAAGTTGAAAATAACGGAAGTTATTGAATACTTTATTAGTTGAATAGTTGGCTTAAATGAATATACTGTATACATAACTTTTAGTATATATATAATTTAGTATATGTAATATTTATATTAATTAAATATAATAAATAACATCTAATATTTATTACTATTTAGAAAACAAAATCAATTATAATGAAATGTAATGCCTTTTAATTGGCTTGATTTACATTTAGTTATTACTATAATATTTATCAGTTTTCTAACTATACATTTGGTATTTTTATACTGTATTATACAGTCTGTATATAAGTAGTATATATCATAAAAATATAATTTGATATCAACTTTATATTTTATAAATACAATATCATAAATGTATAATTTAAAAATTACTAACATTTAATAAACTTAATACGATTAAATATGGTAAAAATTTTATATTAATAAATTGTTTTGTTTGTAATATTTTAATACTAATAATAAAATTAATATTAAGCAAACTTAAGTTTTTTTTATTGTGTGTTATTAATATTTATGTTAACGTATAATATATTGTACTATTTATTCAATGTTTTAGAGAAAAATTAAACCCTCATTAATTGATTATAATTGTAAACAATTACATTTGACAATATATTTTAGTTATTATTTGAGTTATAGTCTATAGGTTTAGATGATGTATACATTGTATAGTACAGTATTAACTATTGTAAATACCATTATATAATTTAGTAAAATGTTTGTTATTTTGACTCAAATGAAATCACAAGTAAATTATTTTTTTAATGAAAATTGTTTGCAGATTGAAAAATATCTGTAAGTTTAAAATTATTATTATTTTTGAGTCTATGATTATCGGTAAACAAAACTTTTACTGAACTTTTAGGATAGTCTATACAAAACATGTATTTGTCTTGTTTTTGAAGATTTTCAAAAAAATAACTGATCGACCAATGAATGAATTGTTTGTTATATAATATAACAGTAAACAACAATTTAAGTCATATATAATAATAATAGGTATTTGAATGTATGTAATACTTTGTATGAACCGGTCGTCCCATTAGGTGTTGTGCTCTCTGTATGTGAAAAGTCTTTGCCCTTTAAAAACCTTGAATTTCAATCTAATGTTTGTGTTTGACATCACTTTAAGCTTCATTTGACTTAAACTATAGACACTTTAAAGTTTAAACTTTGTTTTGCTAACTATTACTGTAATATATGTTATATTAATTATTATCTGTAAATATTGTGGTTATTAATTGCAAATAATATTAAATATTTTTAAAAATAGTTATGATTTAATGATTATTGAGAAAAACACTGTTTTTGATGGGAAACTCATAGGAGATGTCAGTTATGTCAGTGTTATATAATGTCATATAAGTGTTACACATATGTTATACCTTATTGTCTGTGTGTTTATGCACTGAATGCTATTGTATTGAATATACAACTAATGCATGCATTTGTTGAACTCATTTAACAACAAAACTGTTTAACTGTAGTCTCATTGACACCAAAATTGTTGTCAAATGTGTTCACAATTTAATTGATATTAATATCGTTTATATGATTGACTATAATTGAAATACTGTTGTATTGGTTCATCATTTTGTTAAGACATGTCTTCTGTTATATATTTATAGTGAAAATGAGTCTTCAGTTATTATTATTTGTGGTGATTAGCCTCTTGTTGTGGTCAAACACAGGCTATGCCTTAGAGGGTCCAAACATTTGCTTCAAAGAAGAAACGTATGATTAGTTTCAACGATACTTATTAATTGAATTAAATGTTAAGTAATATAATTATTGAATATAATAGTTACCCTAAAGAAGTCCAGGTGTCCATACAGATCCCATATGAGGTCAAAACAATGGGCTGGTGTCTGGCGGTTCCTCCGCGATGTCGCAAAACCAAGTAATGACAAATAAGACAATATGTTTAGTCACTAAAACTGTTTATTAATTGATAACCAGTTTGTAAAGTCTTTAATATCATAAGTAATAATCTAATAATAAAATGTTTACAGAATTGCATACAAAAAGGGATTCAAGAATGAAACCAAACTATCGACACGAAAGATAGAGACCTGTTGTAAGGGTTATGCAGAGACAGAGGACAGTAGTCAATGTATACGTATGTCAAACCAATGATACCATTGATGAGTATATTTTGATTAATTCATATTGTTGTCAATCAGCCATATGTGCCAACTCTTGCATTTTCGGCGTCTGTATTGCACCGGGAGTTTGTGAATGTCAACCGGGGTATGAAATCAATTTAAGACATTAATTGTATAATTATAAGTAAAAATGTTTTTATCTAAACTGTTAGGTGGGGCGGACAGACATGTAATGTTTGTAAGTTATTATAAATTATGTTTAAAATATAAGTAGAAATAATAAAATATTTCTGTAAATGTTTCTTAAACCTAAATACTATTTTTAGATTTTTATTTTATAATATAATTGTTTATTAATACTCACTAATAATTGCTTGTTATGCTTGTTATTTAATTTATTGCTGCTTTAAACAAATTAGGGTTAACCCGTAAGTTATGCATTTGTCAATGATTTGAGACATTTAATTAATTATTGAATTAAAATTCATGTATATATATATAAAGCGTGTCCAAAGGATAAATGGGGAAACAATTGTGAAAATGATTGCAAATGTGAGCACAACTCGAAATGTGATGCCGTGACAGGTGTGTGTACCTGTGCTCCCGGTTGGTATGGAGCTAATTGTGATAAGCCCTGTCCACTTGGATATTATGGTTACCATTGCATACAAAACTGTCGTTGCGATCATGGAGTGTGCGATCATATCACGTAATATTCAATATTAACAATAATTGATAATTTTAATGTTTATAATGATTTTATTATTAGTGGCGCCTGTACTTGTGACCCGGGATTTCAAGGACCACTGTATGTCTAATTAACAATATTAGTGATTATTTGATTTTTAAATATATTAATATTTTGTTATTATTTAGTTGTAAAAATAAATGTCCTGCCGGTACACATGGACCACAATGTATGAGTCAATGCATGTGTCAAAATGATGGTCAATGTCATCATATAACAGGCAATTGCCAGTGTACTCCTGGATGGATGGTTAGTATATGTGAATATACCGTATTTATAATTTAGTTGTTCAAATTAACAGTAATTAATTATTTATCCAGGGAGAATTTTGTACAACAAATTGTGCACTTTTGGGTAAATGGGGTAATAATTGTAGCCAATCTTGTGACTGTTATAATGGTGGGATGTGTGATCCTATCGATGGCTCATGTATTTGGTATGTGATTATATCATAATACTGAATCCTATGATTAATTTACAGGTATTTAAATGTTATTAAATTGCAGTAAATTTGGATATAAGGGAAATAAATGTGAAGAGGAATGTCCTACTGGAACATATGGATTAAACTGTGAAAATAAGTGTCAGTGTCTCAATGATGCCACTTGTGATGCCGAAACTGGTCGGTGTATATGTTTGCCCGGTTGGAAAGGACCACATTGTGAATACCGTTTTTGCGATGACAACAATGTGTTTGGTCCAGAATGTAATAATATCTGTCAGTGCTCTGTAAACAACACTATTTTGTGTCATTCGTGGACAGGAGAGTGCAGTTGCAAACCGGTCTGAAATTGACTTTCATTATCTTAAGTTCTTAACACTCAAGTTATTCAAATTGTTTCTTTCATAGGGTTATACAGGAGAGCTATGTCAACGACAATGTCCTCCACCCACATATGGTGATCACTGCAATGAAGTATGCGATTGTCAAAATGAGGCTCTATGTCATCACATTACTGGTATATTATATATTTTATTATATTAAATGATTGGTTAATCTGATATTTATTTATTTAATTATGAAATAAAAAGGCGAATGTCTTTGTAATGCCGGATGGATTGGAACCAAATGTGAAAAGTCATGTATGTCCGGCACTTTCGGTATTGGCTGTACTCAAAACTGTTCGTGTTTTGGTAATACTAAGTGTTTGCCACAAACTGGAATGGTATTACAATTGATGATTTGTTCAATGTTTTCAACTATCAATGTTAATAATTTTTTTTTTAATTATAATTGTAGTGTCTATGTCCGGCAGGTTTTACTGGATTAAGATGTGAACGTCCCTGTCCTCCAACTAAATGGGGACAGTCGTGTCAAAATAATTGTATTTGCCAGAACAATGCTGCATGCGATCCAGTCGATGGTTTGTTTTAATTAATTGTTTAAAAATTATTTTAGTATTTCTATTGTATTACAATATTTACTACTCGACAGGATTCTGTACCTGTGCTGCTGGCTATTCAGGAACTGATTGCAGGTATAGTTATATACTCTATATTATAAAATACTGTATTTTACTAATATTTTAATTTTTTTACTTTTCAGCCAAAAATGTTTAAATGGTAATTTTTAGTTTTTTTCAATGTAATTATTTGCTAATAACTATTTAAATCGTATTAAGCTTATTATGGAATCGATTGTAAGAATCGCTGCAATTGTAATGAATCCAATACCAGATTCTGTGATCACGTGACCGGTTAGTGAATTTGATTTATTAATAGTTGTCTGAAAATAGATTGATTTTTTAGGTGAGTGTGTCTGCAAAAAGGACTATTCTGGGCTCCGGTGCGAGTTTGACGGAAATCACTGTCTTAAAGGCAAATGGGGTATTAATTGTGACAAACAATGCAATTGTTTTGATGATACAGCGTGTGAAACAAATAATGGAGATATTTGTATTTGCAATCGAGGCTGGACTGGAACTAAATGCACGGAAAAAGTATGTTCTCTTATAATATTTTTATGTATCGGTAATTAATATTTATATTTAACATATAATAATTATAGTGTATATCCGGTAAATTTGGTAAAGATTGCTCGGAAACATGTCCTCAATGTCATAATACTGAACAATCGTGTCATCATATCAATGGTCACTGTATTTGTTCGCCCGGTATTTAATTTTTAATAATAAATAGAGATATATTTAATTAATTGAATAATTTTTTAGGATATGCTGGAATCAATTGTGGAGAGGTATCGTATTTGTTTAATTTATTAATAAAATTATTAAATAATTATTTTATTTAATAGATATGTCCGGCCGGTAGGTATGGAGATGATTGCAGTCAAGAATGTGAGTGCTCTCCCAAAGGCGGTGAATGCAATCATATAACTGGAGAATGCATTTGTTTACCCGGTTTGTCGATTAATATTTTATAAATTGTGTTTTATTTTAATTGTAATTTAATTTAAAAGGTTGGAAAGGAAGGACTTGTTCAGATCAATGTGAACCGGGATATTTTGGAATGGGATGTAAACAAAAATGCAATTGTTTGAATGGTGGCACCTGTAGAGCGGTTGATGGCGCTTGTATTTGTGCTGATGGTTAGAATAATTATTAAGCATTTTTTTACTATTAATGTATTTTTTAAATGTTTAAATTTATTTTAGGTTATATGGGTACCCGTTGTTCAGAAACCTGTAAGAGAAACATATATTTAATTTTTAATGATTTCATTGAGTTTATTGATATTAATATATCTGAAAATTTAGGTCCCGAAGGATTTTATGGTAATCACTGTTTGAATAGTTGTAAATGTGATACTTCGGATCACGTGTGCGATCCCATCAAAGGCTGTGTTTGCAAATATGGTTTCACTGGTGATAAGTGTGACGTAAGGATGCCATTGGAAAGCCGTTATATGTTGACTGAAGCACCCGAATCATCCAACGGAGGATTAATAGCTGGAATTATAATTTCAATTATATTACTGATCAGTGCATTGGCTCTTGTTTTTTACTACAAAAGACGATTATTAGATCTTAAAACCCAGTTATATGTGACTTACAGAGCTAATGATGGGGACAGTATAGAACAAAATCATTTTGATAATCCTATATATTCACAATCACTACCATCGCCGCCAAATAATGTTAAAAATATTCACAACAATCTAAATAATAACAAAAATATTGTCTCACAAAAAGCCAAATTCTTGTATTCACCCGACGATAATTGCTGTACTCGTGTTGTGGACAGTTGTGGTGGCGCTGAAGCATCCAATTCTAATGTTTCCAATATTTATTCAGAAGTCGATGAAAAGCCAAACAATAAATTAAGAGACAGTAATATGAATCCAAATATCTATCACAGTATAGAAGATCTCAAGAGATTAGTCGACAAAAAGGAACCATTTTATGATGAAATCAAACGAAAAAGTGTTGAAGTGTTAGGCGAAGGAAGCAGTGGTTACGATCACTTGCATTATGATAGACCCCGAAGTGATATTAAACCAAATTATCAAACACTCGATACGACAACAAACACTAATTTATTAAACAATGAAATACCAAATAATTTAACGGAACCGTCAACGAGTTGTTCACAAAATGATACATAACTTCCAATTAATACATAATACATAATATCATAATTTTTACAATTTTTTATTATACAATATTTAAATATAATTTTTATATAGATTTATAATATTTTTATGATTAATATTCTTTTATTATTCATTTTATTACAATTTATTTAAAATTTAAGTTCAAACAAGTTTAGAGTCAGAGTTAAGTTATTTTTATTTTATTATATCTAATGTGATATTATTTTCATTTAAAAGTATGGTTTAATTCTATAGTAAATTATTCTTATATTATTTAATTATAATATATATATATATATATATATATATATATATATATATATATATATATATATATTTATATATATAATTATTTATACTTTATAACTTTATATTTTGTATATTTTATTTAGTTTTTAATTTAGAGTAATAATGTATTTATCGCAAACGGGCAGCACTTAGTGATTGTCCAAAAATAGCTCAAATACCATAATCATATATATGGATGTATTTAATTAATAATTACTAAAATTATTAATATATTTTTTATACACAAAATAATAATAATAATGAAATACTCTCAATTGTTAATTAACTTCAAATATTTAAGAAATTTAAACTATAGATATGTTAAACTAGATATACATAATCAATAGATAATCGTTATATAAAAAACATGTTAAACACAATAATGAAACTAAACTACAGTTTAAATTTGTTTAAATGATTATGAAAGCCAAAAATTATTGCTTAAAATAAAAAATTTATTTAAATTCTAAGTGACTTTACATTTAGATTAAAACATTAAAATTTATGGTCACAATTGATATGAAAGATTAATAATTTGTATAAACAATGATTAGATGAGACAAACAATAAATAAATAAAATTTATTTAATCTTATCATTTGTGGCAATTCGTTTCGTTACTCGACCGCAGAGGAGACCGCCGGCGAATATGACGGACACACAACACATCAACACAAATATAAAATAGTTCTTTGATGGCGAAGAGGCCACAACTTTATAGACATCGGCCACACTCTCTGCGGGCGCCAATTGGGCCGCATATTCAAACATCTCAACTCTTTTTGTTAACATAGTCTTACATTCAGGACTCAAATGTGATGTCGACTCGTGTTCGGCCAACAAACATGAGAGTTGTCTCCCGTGTCCGACGGGAATATCGGAACAAAATCGTTTCAAATCTTGTACACAAACTTTATAGAGAAGTGGATCCGAGTGAATGTCAGCTTTAGTTTGAGTGATAAGTCGGGCCACTTCTCGACGACACAAGTCATTTGTTATCTCTTTATTTTGAAACTTCATTTTCAGACATTCTGTTATGTCATTAACATCTTGTGAACATTTGATCTTAATTTCATATTTACAAGAATTATATAAAATTGGATCCAATTCTATATTATCAGAAACTTCTTGAATTATAGAAACAATTTGTGTTTCACAAGTTTGTGTCAATTTGTTTAATACATATTGTTTTTTAAGACAAGCAATCACTTTGCCCTCTAATTGTTCATCATTTGGATGTTCGTCGAGAACTTTGGCACAGAATTTCGGGACATCCTTTTCGCACGCAGTCTTCAATTGTGGATTTAACCGATAGTCGCTATTTTGTTGAGCTAAACGCTTAATAACAATTGTTCGGCACCTGTCGTCCATACCTATGCTGTGCCGGTGATCGCGCAAACATAACAGTATGTCTTTGTAATCATCATTTGGACAAAATTTAACAATAGCTGCCTTACAATTAGTGACCAATGGATAGTCTACTGAATTATCATCCATTTCTATCCGTTGTCTTTCAAAAAGCAAGCGCTGACAAGCTTTGGTCAGTCGATGCATATTTGATTTCAAACACTCAACCACCCGTCCCTCTCCGGGTTCATTATTAGGACACAAGGAGTTCCTATCGTGAGCACAAGCTCTGTCTAGAATAGGATCTAATTGTATATTTTCATTTCTTTCCAATAACTCGACTTTAAGCTGATTTTGACAATTAGATGAAATTCTTTGTCGACGTCGACTACTCATAGTATCATTGAATACAATACCACTCAAACATTTAATGACTTCATATTTGGTTGTAACTGAAGGACAATATTGGAGGACATCCGGACGACACAACTCTTTAAATCGGTGCGAAAATCTATAATTCTTTAATTGCAAAACTTGGAAATGATTGATAGCGACAACACATTTAGGATATCGTTTGACTTCTTTCTTATTCTTGTTTAGAATCAAACACTCCATGACATCACTTTCATCTATATCTCTGTCTAATATTCCGGTACAAACATCTTTAATGGCAACGGCACAGACTTTAATTATTGGATAATTAAGTTCAACATAAGCGGCTAAATCTTCAGTAAAGTTACCGATAGCCTGTTGACATTTGGGCTCTAAATTCTCGTAATTTTGTTGAAGACATTCAGTTTCGTAACCATTTTTAAGAACATCATCTTCTTGTTGTCCATCAAACTGACCGCTACAATAGTGGGATAAATCTTGAATACACGGCTCCTCTATATCTGGCATAAGATCCACGGATTGGGCTCTCTGTCTCATAACACGTCTGATATCAAAAACACATTGTGGAGTCAGACGTGTTTTGTCATTTGGATGATAAGCATATCTATACAGACACGACAAAACACTTGGTCCCCGTTCTAAGTCCATAGCACTCGGCTTAATAATCCAATCTCTTTTTGCGTGACAATATTTAACAGCATCGGTATGACATGACTTATAAATAGGTGCATCCAATTCAAACTGACGAACCATAAAATACTGAATTTGATGTAAATTTTGTCGACAATCATCACTAATATCTTTAGAATTCATGTGATCTAATAGACAAGCCATGACTCTTCCCTCTCCAGGTTCAATATCCTTGCAAACCAATTCAACTGATGCTTGACAAGACTCTTGTAAGACTGGATCCACTCTCCAGTCTTCAGCTACGTTGGTTTCCTTAAGTAGATCCTCAAGAGATCTTCGACATTGAGAGGTAATTTGCCCCCTTTTCATGCCTTTACCTCTACTTCTTTTCGTATGTTTCATCAAACAATGTAAAGTTTTGCCACCTTTTTCAAGACCAGAACAAAATTCTTGAATATCACTAAATAACAAATTTTGTAAATTAATAGTAAAATAATTTTGATTAACTTTAAGCAACTCATACTTATCACAAGCAGATACTAAATCTGGGGTTAGATTATAATTATCCATAAGATTTCTGCGATGAGACAACATCTCAACTCTGCATTGAGAATCAATTTTCTGGTTTTGATTTAAGGCGTTCTCCAAACAGAGCAAAATCTGTGCCAAACGTATCTCTTTGTGATCAGAAGTGTCTTCACGACACTCATACTTCTTGATATCCTGTTTGCATGTTTTGGCCAATCCATGGGCCACTTTGTAGTCGCGAATGGCCAACATTTCTCTCTGAAATAACTTTTCTCTACAATTATGACTCAAATCTTTTTCGAGTTTATGCTTCATAAGACACCGATAGACGCGTCCGTCTCCCGATTCAATGCGATGACAAAACTTTTCCCGATCGTCACGACAGGCAAAGTACAGTCCTCTGTCCAGATGGAAGTCATCGCTTTGAAGTTCAGCAATCCTTAAGATTTGATGTTTACATTTAGTCGACAACTTATCGGTAGACTTCTCAAGACATTCAATGGTCTCTCCCTGAGTGTGGAAAGAGTCGACATTCATATCGATTCGTCCGCACTTCAAGTCATCAATATCTTTGGCACAAAAATCTGTAAACTTATGAATGAGTCGATAGTCGCTGAATATAATTAACTCAATTTTGGTCAAAAAGTTTTTGCACTCGACGTCAGTCTCGGGAACGAGTCTTTCAATGAGACACGACATGAGATTAGCGCTCGGACTCATCACTTGTTCGTCTTCAGCCTTCAAGCACTCGGCGTTTTCGGTGATCAGTCTATTGCACACATTTTTGGCATAACCGGCAAAACTATTATCATCGGTCAGATTGCGTTTGAATGACCACAACAAGTGATGACACACTTCAGACAAATAAGTATCCTTTTCTTTGTTTTGAATACACGTCAGTACCGATAAATTGTTGTCCAAATCAGTGCCCATTCGGCCGCATATCCTTTCGATATCCTCTTTACAGTCGGGATGTGCTGACAGTTTGCCCACCGGTATCGAGTCCGGTGTCCTGTGATGACCACTCTTACCAATTGTGTCCACACTGTTAATGGACTTGTCGTCAAAGTATTGGCCATTTTTGGGCAATCTTTGGATCAAATGTTGGTCATCGGCTGCAATACCGATGCAAATACTTGTTGACAAAATCAACACTAAATTAAAAACTAAATTCATTGTTGAGTTAAGTATTGATATTACTATTCAATGCATTTCTAATGTTTTTATTATGAATTGAATGTCATTAACATGTGATTCAAATGATAAGCAAATTGTTTAACATTTGAAACATTGATTGACTTTTGTTATCTCAAAACAAACAAATGTATGACTGCTTTGAAAAACATTCAATAATAACAAAACCAAATGTTTGTTAAATTGAAATAAATTCAAGTATTGATCACTATTTGGCAGCACTGCTGACAATATATTATATGCTATTATTAATAGTCAATTAAATTAATTATGTATTATATCAGTAATCAAAAACATAGTTTTGTTACAATTGCATCCAAAATATCCAAAATAAAAATATATAAAATAATAATATCAAAATACATTTGATTCAACTGAATTAATTTAAATAAAAATATCCAAAATTAGTGTAATTACAATTTACAGTAATAATTTTACCTATTATTATAAATCATTTATTGAAAATAAATAAATTTGGATATTTTGATTTATATAAAATAATTTTGGATATTTTTATTAGAATTATTTAAATTGGATTAATTGATTTAAATCAAACACTTTTTGATATTATAAGTTTAGATATTATTATTTTGGAGATTTTAAATTTGGATATTTTGAACGAAACCCGTTTTGTTATACTTTAAGCAAACTTTAAAAACTTTCTCATTTAACTATAATTAATAAATATAATAATTGCATATTATTTTCAATTATTGATCAATAATTTTGTTGTTAAATAATTTTGTTTACAATATTTTACTTATTAATACATACGTAAATTTAATAATATATTTAAGATATAAGTTAATAAATTAGGACATTTATTATTTATAGATATAGTTAAAAATGTAAAAATATTTTATAAAAATTACCAATATATCAAAAATTAGATAATATTGATCACAAAGTAATTAATAATAAAAATTACTAATCTTTAATTAAATCCATATTAAATAATTGCTATTATTGGTCATCAAAAATAGAAATATGTGTTTAATAAAGATAAAAAATTGTAATTAAAAGTCCGGATATAAAATCTTAAAAAATAAAAATAATTTATTAAACATACAATAATAATAATTTTTGTTATTAAGATAAATCCAAACTATGATAAAAACATATATAATTTGTTTATGTCGTGTCCGATGAGCACAGGTATCAATTTCAATGGATAAATACTTTGAACTTATTTATCGATAATAAAGTAAAGTATTTGGCGGATAATAACGTATTTCAAGGATATAATTGAAATTTAATTTATAATTAATTATAAATAATATTAAAAAACGAATGAAAGAGAAAACAACAAAAACTTTTTTAATTCACGTTATTTGCAAATATTTGTGAATAATGAGGTAAAATGCAAATAAAAATAACAAATTTATAGTTAATATCAATGAAAAAGTGGAGTAAAAGTTTGCTCTCAATTAGATTAAATGACTTATCAAATATAGACAGCTTTCTGTACAAATCATTTCAAAATACAGTTTATTTGATTTATAAATCATATATTAGTTTTTTAATGATTGTTTGTGAAACAAAATGAATCATTTATATAATTTAAACTTAATTTATATATTGGTAATTAAGATGAAATTTAATACTTAATTGTTAATATTATTTATAAATTAAATAACACTTTTTATTGTTTTTATCTAATAGTTAAATCTATTGATATTTAATAATGTATTTACTGAATATGTGTTTGAACCGAAAACTGCAGCACAAAGATTACATGGATTTTCTGGAAACTATGGACTGGGAGGCAATTTAGGTGGTCTAACACTGGCTAATATTGGTTATGTTGGTTACACTTCATTTACAAAAGCTTGTCATGACGTGGGTCTCAATTTAGGTTTACCTATAAATGTATTGCCATCTAATAGACTATACGCTGATAATTGGCTTCAAAGTCGACCTTTATATAAGAAATCTACTTTTGATGACACTCTTGAGCTGATAGCTCATCCAAATTCAAGACTTGATGACAATGATAAAGATGTCTTATGGAGATCAAGCAGTTTTGAAGTACCAAATAGTAAGCAATATTTTGAATTTCCTTCAAAAACTATACCAATGTATGTGACACCACATCATGAAGATGTGGCACAAGTGGAGAGTGAAGTCATAACAAAATTGAATGCATTTTCCAACAAAAATGCCAATTATGACCCATTATATACTGTGGCGCATGAGATCACACCAATAGCATCACTACAAAAGCCAATATTATTGCAAAGTGATGGACTCAGCTATAAACCACTGATTATTGAATCAACTGAACCATTAGTAGTGGATAATGTTGGACATGGATTAACATCTGTATCTGATGTTCTGCATAAACCAGAATCCATAGTTAGTGTCTCCCATGAGGTCAAACCAATTGAAGGTGTGGTCGCACATGAGTTCAGTCCAGTTCAAGGTGTTGTCGTATCAGAAGCCGTGCATAAGTATATACCACCAAAACAAACAATATCAGGTTATTCAACACATATCGTACATACAGACAAATTTGGCAAATCTAGTGGTCAATCGACAGTTTCATTTACCAAATTACATACAGAAGCAGCTAAAATAGTGGTCGCACCTGAACTAAAAACCCGAACCATTGTTGATCAGTCAATAATTCAAAGTCATAGTCAATTAAGTCCATATATTTATGAATATCCACAAAGTTATAAATCAGTAATAACTAAAAAATATGGCACACAATTAACTGGTGGTTATGGATCACAAGTGACGGGTAGTTACGGATATTTGTTAAATAATGGTTACAAACGTATTGGTCTGGTCTCTGACGGCGGACTTAAAGGTCTACACGACTCATATCTTAAGGCCTAATATTTTACAATCAAATTAATTTTAATTATATATTTGAATATCAAATATATAGCAATAAACTTTAAAAATATTTAATAAATTAATAATATATATTTTTTAAATTATTCTAATTTAAATTTAATTATTTATAAGCAGTAATTTCCCAATAATAATAATATTATTATTTTAATGTCAATTTGTAATTTAATCTACTTTAGGATAACTTAATATAATTATCATTTAAAAATTTTAATTTCATTATAAGTTATGGCACAAAAATGTTAAACTATTATATAGTCAATTATTATTTTGATTTAAAAAAATAAATATTTGTAATATAATTGCAAAATCATTTTGAATTTTAATTAATCGCAACTATTTCTAATGACTAATAGCTTTAATAAGTATTTTAATTGTAGTTATATTAATTTATGTTTTCAAAAAATTAATAATTATTTAATTTATAATTATTGTCAATTTATTATATTAATACAGAATAAACAAAATTTTATTATAGTAAACAATAAAATATTAATTTTTTAAAGCAATGGTCCAGAAATTAATATCCGTTTATTGTATTAATGGATAATATTGCATAACACGTGAGCCAATGGGTGTTCCGACCCATTGGTCAAATACCCGTCTAACAAAATAGCTTTGTATTGGTATAGATTAGGTTATCATAACCACCGTTTGGTCCCAAATGGTTAAGATTGCTGTAAAAGGAGAGATTTTGCCACATTTTTCCTTAACGTTTCCTTTTTCACCCAATTGTTAGTCAGTCTGATCTGTCTATTACCCGGTTGTCTGTGACATTGGGTCTGTACGAGTGCAGCACATTGTTGATTGCGACCCAACATAACCGGACACATCAGCGCACGGAACAAGTGCTTCACTTCAGGCAAATAATATGCAAATAAAACTAAAAAACATTTTTGAAATCATATTTTTATAAAAAAATTAAATTTTAATATATTTATAAGTTTTAATATTTATTATAATTATTAACTAAAATCTAACATATATTATTTATACTAATTTATCTGCATCAATTTAACCATTAGACTAATGATAAACAAATAAAGAAATGAAATTATTATTAAAATCAATTATAAATGTTATTTAAAATAATTTTTAAAACTAATTATTAAGTAATCTCTATTATGAAATATAATAAAATTGTTTGCCAACATTTGAAATGTTGTTTCATGTTTAACTAAAAATAAAAATTAATAAATTGATATAATTATTACAGTATATTAATACCATATTAATAAAAATAATGTATAGAAATGTACTGTAGAATTATTTTAAAATTAAGTTATTAATTTATACAACAGCATAGACAGTATAATTATATTTTATAAATTTACTATTATTATAAAACTTTATACAATAGTAAATATAAGATATAAAAATAAGAATTTTATTAAATATACTCTAAAACAATATTAATAATTGAATATTTGTGATATTATAATCAAAGTATGCGATGAGATAGTGAGGGAATCACGTACTGAATGGGCGCACGAACACCAAAAGAACCGGTAAAGTCAATGGTAGAACCCGTATGTCACGTACCATACATTCAGCATACATATGATCCACCAAAATGTCAAAACCAAAGCTCATGTATCGATGCAGTCAAATGGGTTCAAGACTTTCATATGGATACACGCGGTTGGGATGACATCGGATATAATTATTTGCTCGGAGGAGACGGACGTATATATGTAGGCAGAGGTTGGTATGCATGCGGTCGACACACACTCGGAATGAATGATAAATCTTATGCTCTGTCGTTGATCGGTAACTATAAAAGTGATGCTAGATTTGGCTCAAAAGAGGGTTAAGTGTGCCATCGAAATGGGTGTTATCACACATGACTACAATTGCACGGACATAGAGACCAAACATGTACTACATATCCCGGCCAACGATTATATGATATAATCACAAAATGGCATAATTTTAAAAGAGGAAAGTTAGATACATACAGATATATGCAAATAAAGTTGAGGATTTTGATTTTTAAAAGTATATAATTCTATAAAAATTGTTAATGTATTACAATGTCATAAAATTATTATTATATTAATTTAACAAAAATAAAAAATGCATTTATTTCAAAATATATTTTAATATATTTTTTAAATATAAACTAATCGCAAATATTTTAAATAAAGAATAGTCTTTTTTAATGTAATGATAGTAAATATTATAATTTCTTTATTAATATTTTCAAACAGTATAAACAATAATTTTATTATAATATACAATAAAAGTTTTAAGGTTTTTAAGCAATAGTCCAGAAATTAATACCCGTATATTGTGGCGATGAACCACTGGTCCATCTGATAATACGAGAGCCAATAGGTGTACCGGCCCACTGGTCCCACACTCTGATACCCGCCTCCTCGCACTTAACAAAGATAGCTGTATGTTGATGGAGATGAGGTTCATCGTAATGATCGTTTGGTCCCAAAAATGTAGCGATAGCTGTAAGGGCAGGAATTTTGCCGCAATTGTCTTTAACGTGAACACCTTTCCTCCAAGTGCTGGTCAGTCCGATCTGTTTACTGCCCGGTTGGCGGTGACATTGGGATTGTACGAGGGCTGCACATTGTTGGTCACGACCCAACCAATGGCCCTTATGACCCGACACATCAACGCACGGGACAAATGCCTCACTTGTGGCAAATGCTATCAATAAAACTAAAAGGGATTTTGAAATCATATTTTAAAAATAAAGTAAAATTTTATTAATTTATAAGTTTTATAATTTAATAAAAAACAAATCTAACATACAGTATTTATACCAATTTACCTGTATCACTTTAACCATTGCACTCATTGATAAACTAATAATATTGATAAAACTTTATAAATGAATCCGTTTTTAAATCACATGAATTTATTATTATTAATACAAACAATTATAAATGATATGATAAATAACTGTGAAAAACAATTATTTCATAATACTCTTAATAAAATATAGTACAATGTTTTAAAAGATAATGTTTCGATGTTATACCTAAAATACGATTTATATGTACTGTAATCAAGAGTTTAATATATATTGTAAAAATTAATTTAATTATAAAAATTATAATATTAAATATAGTTAATAATAAATTTATAAAATGTTATAAAATAAACAATTAGTTAAGTTAATACTATATATAAAATTTTATAACTAAAGATAATTTATTAATTTTAAAATACTAAAAATTAATTTGTTATTTAATTTATAAGATTTACTTACTATGTTTTTCTACCAAAAGTTAGTTAATAGTTAATAGCAATGCCTATTGTAGAGATATTTATATATTAATCTATAAAACATTTTCTAGAAATTACATTTTTTAGTGTCCATAATACAAATATTAAATATTATTTATTTATTATCATTAGTGAGAAATATAAGTATTATACTTTACTTCAACTGATAAAAAACTAAATGATAATACTTTTAAATAATTAGAAATATTATCAATGTCTTTTTGGAAATTTTTGGAAAAATTTAATTTTAAATATGTAATTTTAAGATAATAACATAACCTTGCTTAAATTAATAAACAACACATTAATTGCTTAAATACTCGAGAATATTAACAAATGTTCATTAATTTATATGTTGATTATTTTATTAATTATTGATTAATTTATTTATATAATTGTTTTAATGAACACTTTTAATAGAAATTTGTTAATCAATAAAACACAATAAATATGTGGCTATTTTTATTTGTTTTAACTTTATTAAAAAGTTACACATTAGCATCAAGTAAGTATTAATTTTAATTTATTTAAATAAATATAAAAATAATTTTATTATCATTATTATATATAACTAATCTAAAACAATATTAATAATTGAATATTTGTAATATTATAATCAAAGTATGCGATGAGATAACGTGGGTATCACGTGCTGAATGGGGCGCCCGAACACCAAAAGAACCGGCAAAACCAATGGTGACACCAGTTCTTCACGCATTCATTCATCATACGGACGATCCACCAAAATGTCAAAACCAAAGCTCATGTATCGATGCAGTCAAATGGGTTCAAGACTTTCATATGGATACACGCGGTTGGGATGACATCGGATATAATTATTTGCTCGGAGGAGACGGACGTATATATGTAGGCAGAGGTTGGTATGCATGCGGTCGACATACACTCGGAATGAATGATAAGGCAATTGCTCTGTCATTGATCGGTAACTATGAAAGTGATGCGCCGTCACAACTGATTCTAGATTTGGCTCAAAAATGGGTTAAATGTGCCCTCGAAAAGGGTGTTATCACACATGACTACCAATTGCACGGACATAGAGACCAAACATGCACTACATGTCCCGGTCAACGATTGTATGACATAATCAAGAAATGGCATAATTTTAAAGGAGGAAAGTTAGATACATATGTATGCAATAAAACATTAACTACTATTAGTCCTTCTTTAGATATTGATTATGATATTGAATTTTAATATTTAATATAATATTTAGTTATATGAAAAGTGTTAATGTATTGGTGTATAAAAGTTAATGTAATATATAATATTACTTTAATTTTTTTTAAAAATATGTACAGTTATTTACTAATTTTTTATTTAGTACATCACATTTTTTTCTATATCAATACATTTTTATGCTAATAATAGAAAGGTATTGTATTTTTAAATAAAAAACAATCAATCAAAAAAAATAGTAATAAAAAACAATAGCATAAATGAATACACTATATTGCAATTTGTTAAAAAGTAAATATATTTATAGATCAAAGTTGAGACTAAAAATAAAACTAAAACTAATTGATTTAATAATGACATATTGTTTAAAGTTCTGAATATTTCCATTATTTTATATTTACTGTTTGCTATATCAAACTAATATGTAATTTTGTTCTACAAATACAATTTAAATATAAGTGGTAAAATAAAAATTTTATATAAAAATGATATTATTTATATATATAAAAATATTTTTAATAATTTTTATATTAACTAATTGTGAATATCAACATAAAGTTGTAAAACAAGAGCCAAACTTTATTGAATTAATGGATAATATTAACAATAATCACGAAAAACCATTTATATTGCCATTTAATGGTAAGTTAGCTATTAATTAATATTCAAAACTTTAATCATTAATTAATTTAAATTAGTATAAATTAAACAAAATTGTTATTTATTTATTGTGATATATATTATTAAGCAAATATGAAATTATCGGGAGAAGTGACACAAGTGTGTGAAACCTATAGAGATTGTCCTCACTGTCCATATAATCCTCGGTGTTGTAGAAAAGTATGGATATTTAGATTTAATTACTATCGTTGGTGTAGTTGTGGTACTGAATATCATCGAAATTTATTTAGTTTTGCATGTGTTTGAAATTAACTGTTATTTTAATTAAATACTCAATTTGTTTTATAAAATTATTAATATATTAAAAAAATAATTAATAAATATTTTATAAATTATTATTAGTATAATTTATTTATGTGAATTGTTTTTTATCTTATATAATAACAACAAAAAAATACTATTAATATATAACTTTGTTATAATAAACTATTTGATATCATAAAAATAAAATTTTATATTATGTCAAAATTACTGTTTGTTCATATAATAAATATTGTACTAAACTAAACATTTTGCTAAAAAAATTAAGCATATTATATAATATTGATATTATGTAAGATATATTTAAATAAAGTACAATAATATAAAAAACAAAATTTGCTAATTTAGTCATTTATAATAATGTACAGAAATTCAATAATAATTTTTACTTGTATTTCTTATACCGTATTTTATTTTATATTTTATATGTGATAATACCGGTATAGTACTGTACTGTACATAACAAAGATGTTTTTTAAACTAATTAGTATTACATAAAATTTAAAAAATTATCAAATGTTCAAAATATTAAAAACAATTTAATTGCTAAAGATTTGTGCAAATATTCTAATTTATATGAATTGTTAGCTATTATATTGTGATTGTCCTTCAACTACTGTATAACTTACAGTATAGTCAAATAAAAACCAAACAAAATACAATACATTTTTTATTGCCATTATTACATTACTATTGATTTGAAATAAAGAAACTTTCAAAATAATATAATTACCGGTTTGTAATTTCAATATAATTAAAATGTAATTATTACTGATCTATATAAATGCAATAAAATTATTAAAATTAATGTTACATAATTTTAAACGATTATATTTTATTACAAAAAACAGTATTAAAACATTATGTTAAAACTATTAAAATTAATAGTTATTCTACTATTTGGATGTCAATATTCAAATGGCCAAAATTGTTCAGGTATTTGTAGATTTATATATATTTATAGATTTTATTTATTGTCTATATATTAATTAAAATAAAAAAAATGTAAAAACAGGACAATTGGCGCCTAAATTGAGATTCACTGATGGTATGAGAATACCAATTATAGGTTTAGGGACTTACGATATCAGAGACCAAAAACTTATGGATCAAGTTATTGAAGACGCCGTGGATGTGGGCTATAGACACATAGACACTGCTTATGAATATCAAAACGAAAATCTTATCGGAAATACACTGAAAAAGCTGTTCAATAAAAATAAGATCAAAAGAGATGACATATTTGTGACGAGCAAAGTGTGGAATACTTTTCATAGAAGACATAAAGTTATTGAAGGCATTAAACTGTCTCTTAATAGCTTAGGTCTCGACTATTTAGATCTGGCATTAGTTCATTGGCCGATGGCATACAAAGAGGGCCCTGAAAATCATCCAAAACATCCAAATGGTTCGGCCATTAATATGGATATAAGTGTTGTGGAAACCTGGAGGGGAATGGAAGACACATACAAACTGGGATTAGTTAAGAGTATCGGTGTCTCTAATTTCAATTCAGAACAGTTATCTCGTCTTCTTAGAGAAACTCATATCAAACCAATTGTCAATCAGGTATTAACTAATTAAATATTTTCTTTTAAATAAAATTGATAAATTAATTATTATTATTATTAGATTGAATGTAATCCCTACTTAAGTCAAGAAAAATTAGTTAACTTTTGCAAAGCTCAAGGTATTCAAGTAGTGGCCTGGAGTCCAATTGGACGGGGAAATAGCCAACTGCTCAATGAACCGGTACTTAAACAAATTGCCAATAAATATAATAAAACTGTGGCTCAAGTTATCATGAGATGGTTAATACAGAGATATATTGTTGTTATTCCCAAAACAACCAAAAAAGAGAGACTCATTGAAAATAAGTGTTTATTTGACTTTAAATTAACAAAACAAGAGATGGAAAAAGTATATCAATTAAATCAAAATCAAAGAAGTATTACACTATCGGAAGCAATTGATAACAAAGAATTTCCGTTTCATCGAGAGTTTTGATTTATTATTGAATCCAAAAATATTATAAATTATGTCAATTATATTTTTTTAATTATTTTTATGTTTTTAATTTTATAGACTTTGTTTTAATTTAAAAATTAAAGATTTAGTAAAATAGAAATTAATTTATATAATTATCATTGACATTTTATGATGACCTTAATTGATTTGTTGTTCATAAATGCATTTTATTCAATTTTTTATTCAACTTTTTATTTAATTTTTTATTCAATTATTTTATTATAAAATTTTATTAAATGATTTTCCTTACGATTTTTTGATATTCTATTGTAGATCTATAAGTATTTATATTTGATTTAATTTAAAATAATATACATTATACTTAAAGTTATAAAAATTACATGTTAAATATATCATTAATTACCATTTATTATTAAATAAACTGTTTTCAAAATAAATTTGACTGAATATTGTATGAATTTTAATTAAGTTAATCGTTTCAAATGAAGTCAACCTTAACCTCATTCAAAACGACAATAACTCTAAAATATTTACAAAAACTAATCATTTAATTAATTGTAAAAATTGTATTTATTGAAAAAAAATAATTACTTAACATTGCTATTTGAGTACTGATACGATTTAAAATATTTATTTAGTTTTATTTATAACTATTTAAATAACTACTGTATATTACTATCTTAATAAATTAAAAACATTAATAACATAAAATGCAACAAATAATTATTGTTATATTATTATTATTTTATCTTGCTCAAAGTAAAGCAGGTAAGTCCAGACAAATTGTAAATTAAGTTAATAATAATCAATGCAACTCTTGTACTGAAATTATTATAAAACAGTATCAGCAAAGACACCATCGATTCACTTTGTAAATGGATTTCAAATACCAATTATTGGTTTGGGAACCTATGATATGCCTACTAATCAGTCAGTGATGGACAACATAATCAATGTGGCCATTGATATCGGTTATAGACATATAGATACGGCTTATATTTATCAAAATGAAGAAATGATTGGCAAAACTTTAAGAGATATATTTGCAAACAATAAGACAAAAAGAGAGGATCTGTTCATCACTAGCAAAGTGTGGAGCACTTATCATAAGCGGTCGGCAGTTGCCGAGGCATTGAAACTATCGCTCAATAACTTAGGACTCGATTATCTCGATTTGGCATTAATTCATTGGCCAATAGCTGTCAGGTCGGGAACTGGATATTTGTGGCCATTGGATGAAAATAACCAGACATTGGACGATGATATCAGTGTTGTCGAGACGTGGAAAGGTATGGAAGACGCCTATAGATTGGGTTTAGCTAAGAGTATCGGTGTTTCCAACTTTAACTCCGAACAATTGAGTCGTGTTTTGAAACACACTTTCATCAAACCTGTCGTCAATCAGGTATTTATATGTTTTAGTGTTTGTATTTTTTAATACATAGGATATATACTGTATTTAATTTATTAAATGTTTTAAATAATAAAACAGTTTGAAATACATCCATATCTGTCACAAGAAAAGTTGGTTGAATTTTGTCACAACAATAGCATACAAGTGATAGCTTACTGTCCCATAGGAAAGGCTCATAAAGGGCTACTAAATGAACCAATTTTGACAACAATTGCGTCCAACAATAACAAGACTGTACCGCAAGTTATGTTGCGATGGCTTATTCAGAGAGATATCATTATAATACCAAAAACATCAAAAACTTATCGTTTGAGTGAAAACTTCAATATATTTGACTTTCAATTGACTGACGAAGAGATGACTGAAATATTTAAATTAAATAAAAACATGAGATTTATTAATCCAATTGAAGCAATCAATAACAAGGAATATCCCTTTAATAGAGAATTTTAATTGTTTTTAGTCTAATTTTATAATAAGTTTGTATTTTTGTTGACTATTATTAAAATAAATATTAAAGTATTATAATTATAGTCTCTTATTATGTGAGGGTTTGGCTTTAAGAAAGCCTAACGTGTTAGCCAACTGTTTCCTATTAATCATTCGGTGTTTTCACGGCAATCATCAGTAAAGTTAGACAAAGATATAGACCTCTCAGACTTTAGTGTTGTAACAGTTTTTAATATAAGAATTAACACTAATTTCAACATAATAATCTGATTTTTAAATAATTGTTTTTAAAAATAGATATTTGTTATGACTTTACAAAAATTATATATTATATACTACAATACTAGTAACTAAATAATAATTATTTTAATCATCAATGTATTAATATTGCAGTATATTGTCTGAAATTCGTATAAGTTAATGATCACAATAGTCATAATATACACTGTATATTATACAGTACTGTATAATTTATACAGTATATGATATTTTTTGGTGGATAGCCTTCAAAATCTATTAATAGTCTATTCATTCAAAACAAGTTATCCTTTTAACTATACTTGTATTATAGAGTATATAAAATGATTAAAAAAGCGATACTTATGATGATTGTATGATACAATTTTTATGAGACCAACATTATAATCAAACTTTACTTACAGTCGCATAACTAATATTTCAATTATAAGCAGTATTTCTATTAAGACTACAAGAGAAATGTATCAAATTGTCATCACTTTAATTGCTGTGTTATATCAAACATGTGACGGTTTGTTTAGAAGTTATTTATAAAATATTTATATATTTATATTTATATTACATATTATATTAGCAACAAATTACATACCGTCGGTAAATCTGGTGAACGGCAAAAAAATACCAATCATTGGTTTGGGTACATACGCTCTGACCAGTGATCAAAATGTTATGACAAAAGTGATCAATGAAGCCATTGATTTTGGTTATAGACATATAGATACGGCTTATATATATGAAAATGAAGAATTAATAGGAAGAGCTCTGAACGAGATCTTCCAAAACAATAAGACTAAAAGGGATGACTTGTTTATCACAAGCAAAGTGTGGAACACTTACCATAAGAGAGAACAAGTTGTCGAAGCCATGAAATTATCAATGAATATGTTAGGAGTCGACTATTTAGATCTGGCATTAGTTCACTGGCCACTGGCCTACAGATCAGGAACCGGATCTTTGAGACCATTAAACGCTAACAATATGACTGATGATATCAACATCAGTGTTGTCGAAACGTGGAAAGGTATGGAAGACGCCTATAAACTGGGTTTGGCTAAGAGTATTGGAGTTTCCAATTTTAATTCACAACAATTAACACTTATATTAAAAGAAGCATTTCTTAAGCCAGTTATAAATCAGGTATTGTTTTTAGTTAATTAATTTTTTATTACAATTTATTATTAATTAAACTTTAAACAGATGCCAATCGTGAAAATTAATTTATTAAATTTTTAGTGTAAAATATTAAAGATTAATACATTAAAAAATAATAAATACTGATATTGTATATTATTAAGCGTATAATTTAGAAAAAATTGTACTAATTTTATAGAAATAACTTATATTTTATCAATAGATTGAAGTGCATCCATATCTATCTCAAGAAAAATTAGTCGAGTTTTGCAAAAGTAACAGCATTTCAGTGACTGCTTACTGTCCATTAGGAAAGGCAACTAAAGAAATACTTAATGATCCGGTGCTGACTGACATCGCAACAAACAATAACAAAACAGTGGCTCAGGTGATGCTTAGATGGCTTATACAGAGAGACATTGTGGTCATACCTAAGACTTCAAAAACCAATAGACTTTCTGAAAATATCAATATTTTTGATTTTCAATTGACTGACGAAGAGATGAAAAGCATATTTTCATTAAACAAGAATCAGAGGATCATTACTTCAACACTTTCTGCTAACAATCCTAACTATCCATTTGCTATACCTTACAGACGATAAATAGGATTATTTGTAATTCAATATTATAATTGAATTTATTTTAAATTACGAATTTATGAATTTAAACGTTTTACCAATTATTATATAATTAACAAATGCAATTTGAAAATAAAATGTTTGTTTAACTAATACAATTTATTTGAATGCCCTAAAATATATTTTTACAATAATAAATCTAATATTTAATTACTAATAAAAAAAAATTAATTTAGATGTATATAAAATTCTATAAATTTAATGATTAATACAGTAATAATAAAATATGACAATAATTATAAAACATTATACAGTATGTACTTTTGCTTGAAATCCTTGAACTTTTAAAAAAAACTATTTTTATTATTTTTAAACGATATTAAACAGGTATATAACCTTTGGTAATTTTGTCAATTTTAATACTTGTTTAAATGGCAAAAAAATATTTTAATTACATCAAATTTATCTAGATAACTAATTTATTTTAAAGCATACTATTTAAAAAGTAAAATAGAATTTTTAAATATTATTACATATCTTATAAAATATAACTAACAATTTGCATTTATTTGTAATTATATTTCAATGATTTTACATAATTTTAATTGTATAAATGTGGTGTTGAGAGTGTCTTCAATTAGTAAAAAATATTATTAATTATAACTTACTATAACATCAAATCATTGAACTTTTTTTCAAATTTTAAATTATGCTATTTTTAAGATATTAAACTTGTAATTGAAACAAAATTTCAAGTTAACCTTGGCAATGTTGGCAATTTTAGTATTTGTTAAGTTACAAACCTATAGTATTTTAGCTGCAGTAAAGTAGTCTATTTGGCAAATCTATCTAAATATTCAATATATTCAATAAATTTACTATTTTAGAATTTAAATAAAATTATATTATAATTTATTTATTATTAAAATATTTTTGAAATGTCATTAATATTTTATATTAATTTGATATTATTGCTAAATATTAATAATGTTTTTGGAGGTTTGTATTGTATTGTAATTGTATTTATAGTTAACTATTTTTAATTTGTAAATTTAGTATCAAAAATACCAAATATCCATTTGGTTGACGGAAATCCAATGCCTCAGATAGGAATGGGAACCTTTCAAATGACTGACCGCCCTGTCCTCGAACAACGTATCAAAGATGCCATAAATATCGGCTATAGATCCATAGATACAGCTTATGTCTATCAAAATGAACGACTTATCGGAAATGCATTGAAAGAGTTGTTCTCCGAAAATATAACCAAAAGGGAAGACCTATTTATCACAAGCAAAGTCTGGAGTAATTTTCATAAAAGAAATAGTGTTATGAATGCCGTAAAACTATCGCTAAATAATTTAGGACTAAATTATTTGGATTTAGTTTTAGTTCACTGGCCTATGGCTTATAGGGAGGGAACGGGCACTACAAGACCTAACTATACAATGGACTCTAATATAGATACCGATACCACTGTTGTAGAGACCTGGAGGGGAATGGAGGACATATACAAAAAGGGTTTGGCCCGTAGTATAGGGCTCTCTAACTTTAACTCCGAACAAATAACACGTATATTAAGGGAAACACAATTAAAGCCAACTGTCAATCAGGTATTAAAATTTTTATAGAATATAGTGTTTAATAATTAATTGATAATAAAAATAGACAAACACTAATATATAATTCATAAACATATTATTAAACGCAATTAATATTGTTTTTTATATTTAAAGTCTAGACATTGATTTAATGTCTACTAATTAATTTTGTAAACTAAAAATAAGTTTCAATAATATTTTCTTTTTGTATTTTACAGATAGAGATTCATCCTTATCTATCACAGGAAAAGTTAGTTAATTTTTGTAAATCAAATAATATAGCGATTACAGCATACAGTCCTCTGGGAAGAGCCGATACCGAACTTTTTAATGAGACGGTTCTCAATGATATCGCCATTAATCACAATAAGACTGTTCCACAAGTACTGCTTCGATGGCTTATTCAAAGAGATATTATTATAATACCAAAGACCACAAAACAGGAAAGACTTATTGAAAACTTTAATGTATTTGACTTTCAATTGACTGACGACGAGATGAAAGCTATATTTAAATTAAATAAAAATAAAAGGATTTTTGCAAAATCTGAGTCCTCTAACAATAGAGAGTATCCGTTCAATATTGAGTTCAAGTAAATTATATTATTATTAATTGATTAATTTGTTAAACATATGTGTCTCTAATTAATTGAGCATAATATTAAACTATTGTAATATTGTAAAAATATTGTCTTTTAATTTTTAAATAAAATAAATATGTTTAATTGACTTACAAATAATAATAATATAAAGTATATTCAGTAAATAATTATTTTTAATTAAAAAATTAGTTATAAATTTTATTAGATATTTTTATTAGAACAAAAATATTTGAAAATTATTATAATATTATTTTTTTATAATTAAGTTTTTATTATTTATTTTTAAATTATTATATTAAGTAATTATATTGCAATCTAAAAATTATTTCATGCAATTTTGTTTAAATTTTTAAAAACAAAGAAAAAATAATACAATAACAAAAACATTGGCCTTCTTTTAAAATTTGAAAAATAAAACATTTTGATGATAACAGTATTTATTTGGATAATTATTTTTGATTATTTTTATTGATTAGACTTAGTAATAATTTAAATGTTTTAAAATTAAAACAAAAAAGTAAAATTATAAATGAAAATTAAATTAAACAAAAAAGACATAATTTTGTGTATAATTGAAATGAATGTCCTTCACTCAAAATTTAAATAACTATATAAGTTATATAATATAACATTGAAACTGTTATATCAAATATGATCAAGCTTAATTAGGTTAAATTTTGAAAACATCCTACATTACTATTATAAATTATAATATCGAGTATTGCTTTAGTTTTTAGTTTTAATTAACTAACAAAATGTCAATTAAATTTATAAATATAAAAATTCAATAATTATTAATATAAGTAAATAAAATATTAATAAGTTAATAGTTTAAGTATAAATATCAAACCTATATATATATATACTATAGAATATTTTTTTAAATTTTAGAATTTAAAAAATAAAATTTATCAAATATTAAACAATAAATAAATGCATATAAAGCTGATGACTGGACATCCTTGATATAAGACTGGGTTTAGAGTCAACACTTACATATTAATACATTACAACCAGTTTTTATGGTATGATTGCTTCATTCAATTACAATCCCACTGTCACTGTATGTATTGTGAGTGACTGTTGGTTGTCAACAGATTTTTTGATAGATATATGCGATAAATAAATAAATGAATAGAAATTTTTTGGGGATTTTTTCGTATCTTTATATTAAATAACAATATTTTATTTGCGGAATATTTAATTAAAAATATTTAGTTTTAATTTGAATGTTATCGACAACTGTTCGTATTGTAATCATTATTGCAATGTTGGCCATTGTATCGGTTGTATTGATTGTATGGTTAGTCAACACCAGTTCGGGTTTGTGTCATATTTTATAATTATATATTTAACAATTGATTATTTCCAGATTAAATTAAATATATTTTATGTTAATTATTTTTAATCTACTATAAAATATTTATCAACATTTAAATAATATTACACAGAATATTCTTGAGTCTTCAAAGCTTATCAATTAACTGATAAGCATATATTTTAAACAATAGATATAATATTAAATATTCATCATATTGTATAATACAATTACATTAAAAAGATATTTTTAAATATAAAAATATGCAAATTAAATTAATGTTATATAATTTATAACAATAAATATGTTGTCTGATGTGTGAATATAGGATTACAAATCCCAAACATTGAGTTAGTAAATGGCGTTATCATACCTCAGATAGGTTTAGGCACTTACCAGATCCAGGATGAGGCCACTGCTAAACGCATTATTGGAGAGGCCATTGATGTCGGTTACAGACATATAGACACTGCATATCACTATCAAAATGAGAAATTCATTGGAGATAAACTCAAAGATCTATTTGACAGAAATGTCATCAATAGAGATGATGTCTTTGTGACGACCAAAGTGTGGAATACATTCCATCGCAAAGATTCAGTCATCAGGGGTTTAAATGAGTCGTTACAGGCATTGGGTCTAAAACAAGTAGATTTGGCACTCATTCACTTTCCAATGGCTTTTAAAGAAGACACCGGAGAGTATATACCAGTTGATAGTAATGGTCTGACACTAGATCTCAATGTTGACATTTATGAGACCTGGCAGGGGATGGAACAGGCATATCATCGGGGAATGGCTCGTAGTATTGGTGTTTCAAACTTTAATATAAGTCAATTACAACATATTATCAAAAATGGATTTGTGAAGCCATTGGTTAATCAGGTTATAAATATTGATAATATGCTGTATATAAAAAATTAATTCACTAATGCTGTAAATATATACATTTATATTAGGTTGAAATCCATCCCTATCTAACTCAAGAGCCGTTAGTAGACTTTTGTCATCAGCACAACATAGTTGTAGTGGCCTACAGTCCCATTGCCAAAGCCAACCAAACACTGTTCAATGAACCGGTGCTTAAAGAGATTGCCGCCAAACACGAGAAGACTGTGGCGCAGGTTATCATGAAATGGTTAGTGCAGAGGAATATTGTGGTCATTCCGAAGACAACCAAAAAAGAGAGACTCATTGAAAACTTTAATATATTTGACTTTCAATTAACTGATACTGAAATGAGACAAATATCGGGACTCAATAAAGATTACAGAATTACAAGATTTACAAACGCAAGAAATAATCCAAACTATCCGTATGAATGGCCCTTAGCTTCAAAATAATTAGTTTGTAAATAAGTCGTGTTATTATTATTGATAAAATTATTAGACATCTCTAGTTGTTATATATAAACATTAAAATTTATATAATTAAAAAATAAATAAATAATAATTTTAATGTAACAAAAAAATAAAGATTGTAGAAAAGAATATTTTTCAACATTTTATTTTAATTGATTAACTGAAAATGTTATTGAAGAGTATGTCAAACAAATTTTGAATTTTAAATAACTTTTTTCATTAATTATTTGACTCGACTATTGTAAATGGTTTGCACTGAGAGGCGGGTGAAGGTATAGATTGATAGGACGTATTGTCTATTAAACATACTGTATAAACACTTTATATTTCATAATTGTTGAGTAGATCCCATTCCTACCAATTCATATGTCTACTCACACCTCATTTGCAAACCATTTATAATAATTGATTCAAAAAACAACTAAAGAATTGATTTAAAGTTAAAAAAAATGTTGTTTTAGTTATTTTCAATCACATGTTTATCGGCAAACAAATCATCAGATTTTTATGTGAATAAGTACTTAGATATATGTCAACAGATTTTTTGTCGCAGCGTTTAAACTAAATGTCTTCGTTTGTGTTTATAGACCAATCAATCCATAAATTCATTACAATTGTGTCGTAAATTTGCTTCAAAACAATAATAAAACATTAAATCTGTGATATAATAATATATTTTATAAATTATAAATTTATGCAACAATTTATTTAAAAACAAAATTCAGTTTTTATATATGTTAAGTACTGTATATAATTTATTATAAACATTTAGTATATTAATTTATAAAATTGTGATACATAAATTATTAATAATAAACAAAAATAATTAATTAGATAACATCGGTAACTGTTTTAACAATAAGTTTATCTTTAATTTGATGTTCATTTATGTTTGAATTTGTCTTCAAAATAATTGATTTTTGTCCGTCAAATATAAAAAATCCATTTTCCATAAATTGTCCGCTTATTTCTGAATTTGGTTTAAAGTCTAACAAAACAAACGGTGCGATTGATTCCGATGACAGACTTATAATAAATGTTTTATCATTGATTCCCTTCTTGACGTCCAATACTTTGATATTAGGTTTAATTAATTTTGAATTTTTTGGTTCCGTTAATAACATAAAGTTATTAGACTAAAAAAATAAAGAAAAAATTAATATATACTGTAAATAAATTATATAAAGATTGATATACTTTACCTGTAATTTATGCTCCAAATTGTTTGCTTCAAAACTTAGTATACATTCATTTCTATTCAAACATTTCGATTCAGTCAACAACTCGACAATAGGTTTACTGTAAACAACTTTTGCTGAAAAACTATCGCTTTTGACAATTTCGTGTAATTCATAAATTGGTTTATTTTGCGACCATTTATAGACTTTAATTGAAAAATTACAATCAATTTTATGATGATAATCATTAACTAATGAAACCTAAAAATTATTTGTTAATAATATTATAATATATAAAGCAATTTTTGTAATTTATATAATTGTAATATTACTTTGAGTTGATTGTTGTCTTCAAAGGGCACTACCAATAGATTGTCGAAAAATTGTTTGGCGTATGAATGCAATACTTTCCATTTGCCAGTGCTTTCAATTGAAGCCCAGGTGGGTGCCTGCCATATGTCGTTCAACTGCCAATACAGGGCACCCATAGTATATCCATTGCCAGTTTGATTATCAATATCGCGATTTCGGCGATAAAATTCAGTTTCACTTTTAATAGCCATGGCTTGAGTTATTTGCGATAAATACACAAAATCATTGAATCGATCGATGTTTCCATTGGATGGCATTTTAAAGTATCGGCCTTTAATTGTAAATAAATATCACAATTAATAACTGCTATATATTTATAAATACTATTAATACTAAACTAACCGCTCATCTTCTCAATCGATTCCTTTCCAAATACATTTCGTTGACGGCGTTCAACGGCTTTACTTAAAGGGTATGTAAAGTCATTGGCAGAAAAAGCTTGAGATAACGTTTCCAATGATGGATACGATTGGAAACCATATTCAGAGACGAATTTACTGCTGGGAAACACTTTCCAGTCCCACAATGGACTGTTATAATCATAAAAATGTATATCACCGTAACGGTAGTCATTGGGTGACCCAGACGTGTAATTTTCTTTAATTGCTTGCAAACCATTCGATGGACTCGAACTTACAAACGGTCGTACATTGTCTTCAGTGTCGACAATATTTTTAATATGATTTATAAATAGTTTATAATAATCATTCTTATAATTAGTATTATTTCGATAGAGTATTGCTTCGACAATCTCAATCTCATTGTTTCCTTAAAAAACAAAATCACCTTGTTAGTTAATTGACTATATTAACTGGTAGAAAATTACACCTACCCGACCAAATGGCAATAGACGGATGATTTTGGATACGCCTTATTTGTTGGCGTACTTCAACGTCAACTGTTTCCAGAAATTCTGGGTTTGAAGGATAGGGAGCGCAGGCAAACATGATGTCCTGCCAAATCATAATTCCCAGTTCATCGGCCAAATCATAAAAATAGTCTGTCTCGTAAACACCTCCGCCCCAGACTCGCATCATATTCATGTTGGCCTCCTTTGTCGACACCAATAAGTGTCTGATATAGTCATCAGTGACAGCATCGAGTAGATTGTGAGCCGGTATCCAATTGGTTCCCTTTGCGTAAAACGGTAATCCGTTTACTTCGAAATAAAATGTCAAACCTTTCGGTTGAATCGGTGTTTGTATTAAACGAATGGTTCGGAAACCTATTTTCTTTGTTTGTGACGATATCTCTTTGTTGTCCACAAGAGATACATTAACTTTCAATTTATACAATTTTTGTGTATCATTTGCAACACCGTTGGGATACCAAACAGTTATGGGAATATTATCGGGAATTGCTATTTCAATCTTTACACTAACCTCTCCTTTACTATTAGTTTTAAAAATGTGTTTTTGTTTAGTGATTAAAATAGTTTTATCTAAACTAATATCAAATAATGCATTCAACTCTTGATCTGCTATTGACTCAAGAAATACATTCAAATTTAATTTCCAGTTAGACATAGATTTGGTGAGGGGTTTGGTTTCCACTACTATATCCCTTATAATTACCGTATCGTATAATTCAAGACCAATATCTTTCCAAATACCTTGAGTCGGGAAAGAAGGGCCCTATTCATCAAAATTGTAATAAATGTTTACTAAAAAAAACTAAAATGAAATTTGTATGAATACAAACCCAATCCCAACCAAAAGATGCGGCCATTTTGCGAATAAAATCATATTTATTTTCTAATATTATAAACATATTTAAAAATCAATTAAAAAAATTATATTAATTAATAATATTGACAAACACCTGAAGGAATGGTATAATTATATTTTCTTTGATGATCTGTGTATTGTTGTAAAGCATAGGCCGGAGCCGATTGAAAAGCCAATCGTATAGTATTTAGTCCTACTTTTAGCACATCTTTAACATTAAACTTATATCTAACAAATTGATTGTTTGTTTTGCCAATTAGTTTATCATTTATAAAAACACTGCTAATAGTGTCAATGCCTTTGGCCAATAAGTTAACAGTTTTCTTGTTTAATATATTTGAATCCACTTTTATTGTCAATAATAAATTTTAAAAATGTTAATTAATTATTATGTATATTTATATCATATAATACTATGAAATACCAGTAAATGTCTTCACAAAAGTCCAATTATCTAATGAAACCCATTGATAGTCGATATCATTATATTGTACGTAAATATCCTGTTTGAGTACACCCTCTCTTCTCAGGTCTGAGTGTATACTTCCCGGTACTTTGGCTTTCACTTTGATTGCTTTAATAAAAAAATAATATAATTATAATGTTTTAAACAATTAATTAACATTACATTTATTTTGACTAATTGCTTGCCAATCATTGCCATTAAGTGAAATAAATTCACCACAAGTTATAGTGATAACTTTTATTATAAATAACAAAAATAATATTTTAAAATCCATTTTATCAAATTTATATATATATATAATTAAATAAACTAGTCTTTTAGGTTAACCTACAAGTTTTATAGTATTATTTGTTATAGCATATCTACCACTTAACCATGATTATAATTAATATTATCTTGTTATGTTAAAAATAAATACAGTACTTTAAGTACAATAAACCTTTAAAATTATTATAGACTATTAATACAGTATATGAATAGGGTTTTTCATATATTTAGCACATGCGGTTTTTGCTATAATTCTTAAACGGAGTGAGATATATTAATTTTGTAAAAAGTGTATTAATATATGATTTACGCGTGATATTATTAAATATTAAATTTTTAATTTTGATCACGTGATCATATTTATTTTGGGATGCTTGCAAACCACTATGTCAGAACCTAATCTATAAATGATAGAATAAAATTTCAATTATATTTTTGTAAAGCTAACATTGAAAATTTACGGAAAGAAAAAATTTTTAATATTGGTCGAAGAATAAAATTTTTATGGTTTTTCAAACTTGTGGAATAACACATTATATAAAATAGTCAAAAATAAAATGACGTAATTTATGGATAGTAGACACTAATTAGATAAAGATTTTTATACTATTACTTATTCTAAAAACAAAATTTTTTTATGTCGAATATTTTTTAAAATAATAAAATTTAATTACAAATTACATTATCGAATTACTATGTTGTGCTTTTTATTGTAATTTGAATATCTAAAAAAATATTCGACATAAAAAAATTTTGTTTTTAGAATAAGTAATAGTATTAAAATCTTTATCTAATTAGTGTCTACTATCCATAAATAACGTCATTTTATTTTTGACTATTTTATATAATGTGTTATTCCACAAGTTTGAAAAACCATAAAAATTTTATTCTTCGACCAATTTTAAAAATTCTTTCTTTCCATAAATTTTCAATGTAAGCTTTACAAAAATATAATTGAAATTTTATTCTATCATTTATAGATTAGGTTCTGACATAGTGGTTTGCAAACATCCCAAAATAAATATGATCACGTGATCAAAATTAAAAATTTAATGTTTTATAATATCACGCGTAAATCATATTTTAATACATTTTTTACAAAATTAATATATCTCACACCATTTAAGAATTATAGCAAAAACCGCATGTGCTAAATATATGAAAACCCCTTTTATATTATCAATTAATACTGTACTTGAATTATATATCAATTTTATTAATTTTTTAAAGATTAACTATTAACACACTCACACACACACACATATACATATTATACATACATACATACATACATACATACATACATACATACATACATACATACATACATACATACATACATACATACATATATACATACATACATACATACATACATACATACATACATACATACATACATACATACATACATACATAACTTTACATACATACATACATACATACATACATACATACATACATACATACATACATACATTGTTAAATGAATTGTACTAAATAATTGTTAAATATGTTATTCTATGGCAGCTATAGAGTAAGTTACAGTTTAGTATAGTTAAGTTAATAATTGTTATTCAGAAAACATTTGTTGGTATTAATAAAATTAGTACTAAAATACAATAACTTATATTCAGAACATTATATTACTATAAATTATAGTCTATAATGTTCACAGTATATAATCAATTACTATCATCGAAAAAATAGTATCTAATTGTTGTTTTATGTTATTGTTGAGTGTGAGTGTGTTTGAGATAGATAGATAGATAGATAGATAGATAGATAGATAGATAGAGAGAGAGAGAGAGAGAGAGAGAGAGAGAGAGAGAGAGAGAGAGAGAACTAATCTATGATTTGAATGACACATTTTTACATACCGGTACTATTATATGCATTCACGGAGTTTTGAGAGCCCTAACAACAGCTCGGAATAAAATCAATGTAAAGATACCTTTTAGACAATATTTTATAAAATAAAACATCACACAATAGATCATAAACTTTAGTTTCTTAAATATAAGTATAATATTTAGAAAAAGCTGCAAAAATTTACAAATTATTAAATTTTATACAACAATATAAATATACTATTAGTCACATGATATTGTATTAAAATTTTATTTTGATTTGTGTAGTGAAAAATTAATGAGATTATCTATTTGTGTCTTATTTTAAGGATTATAACTAAATATAATTTATTTAGCAATATATATGTAAAAAACGATTTGGTTCTGAGGTCTGGCCCTAACTGTTATCTCTATAATTATTGGTTAAACTGTGTAAACAGCAGGGTTGGAAAAATACAAGGTTTTCAATTTTGGCTTTGTAAAATACAGTAAAATACAATGTATTTTACAACTATAGAAAAATTACATTAACAAATGATAAAATATTTATTTTTTTTATTAAAATTATTATTATTTATAATTTCAATATCGTTATTAGAATCGTTGTTTTATAAAACTACTAAAAATTAATATTAATTATTTATAATATATAATAATATATTTCAATACCAGAATTAAATTGAATAGCTAATTTCAAATTTTTTTATTTAAAAAAAATTATTATTATTACAAAACATGTGTTTGTTTGTTAATCTTAGTATTTTTGTTACTAGGTGGCGCTAAAAATTTTTTGTAAGCCAAAATTGTCATGTAATTTACATTGTATTATACTGTAAAATACGCTTTGTATTATACATACACTATGTCTCTGCCAACACTGGTGTACAGCACTCATAACCGTCGATGTAGTGTAAAGTTTGGAGGAATACCTATTAACGATAGGATAGCATTATATACAATATGTGGAGTCTATTGTTGACAGTTCTGAGTACACATATTATCTGTTTCCTGGTCTTACAAATCTAAATATTATATAATATAATAATTTTTCGGTCAGTTATCATAGCATCAGATTATAGATGTTGTTAATTGTAAAATATATAATTTATTATCAATAAATAAATATATGATCTTATTATTTATTTATTAGTAATCTATATTTGATAGACGTAAAAACATTTATTAGATTTATAATTAAAAAACTAAATTGAATAATAAAAATCAATAAAAGAAAATAATGTTTATTATTGAAACGTTTTTTTTAATTAACTTAATTATTTATTTTAGTTAATATGTTTATTATTTTTATTTATATAGTCCTTCAAATTTAATTTTTATTTCATTTACAAAGTAATGAGATAACACTGATTATTTTTAATATGAAAAAAATTTAAATATATATTATAATATAAGTAAAATAATATTTAAATATTTCCAAATGAGTGCACACAATGTTTAGCCTTAAAATGTCAATGAAATTATTGAAACTTGTTTTACGGCAATTTCTAAATTATTTTTATAATAATGAATGTTAACAACAATTCTATTTTAATCTAATATTTTAATTAATCAAAAATATTTAATTTCAATTTATTAGTTTATAAAATGTCTAAAACATGTAGATTAATAATTTTAGGAGCATTTATGGTATTTATGATAACTTGTCTTATAGGTTTCATGTTATTTAAGGCATCACCAAGGTCGGGTATGTTCACATTATTTTGTACTACTTAATTATTTAAAAATTTTTGTTAATATTTTAACACCAAAGGCATTGTTAAATTGGTTCAACTTAATAATGGCCATTACATACCAGCAATTGGTTTGGGCACCTGGACTATGGATGACAAAGAGGCCAGAGAAGCAATAAAAATGGCTGTCAAAATTGGATACAGACATGTGGACACTGCCTGGAGATATCATAATGAGAAAGGAGTGGGACAGGCATTGAAAGATCTGATATTAGACAAAGTGATCGCAAGAAATGATATTTTTATAACAACTAAAGTGTGGAATACTTTTCACGGCAGAGAACTGGCAGTTCAAGCAATCAAAGAATCGTTAGCCAATCTGGGCTTAGATTACTTGGATTTAGCACTTATACATTGGCCAACAGGTTTTAAAGCGGGAACTGATGATATATATCCGCGAAAGTCAGATGGATCTATAATGCCATCTGACTTTAGTTTAATAGACACCTGGAAAGGAATGGAAGACCTTTTTAGGCAAGGATTGGCCAAAAGTATTGGTGTTTCCAATTTCAATATAAAACAATTACAACGAGTACTCAATGAGGCGTCTATCAAGCCTTCAGTAAATCAGGTTATATCTGTGATCATTGAAAATGATATCATTTGATTAAAAAAAACTCTTATCATTAGTTTGAAACGCATCCCTTTCTCGCTCAACAAGAGTTGGTTGACTTTTGCCACAATAATAGTATTGCTGTAATAGCTTACAGTCCTTTAAGACAAGCAGACAAAGAATTGCTAAACAATCCGGTGCTTAAAAATATTGCTCTCAAATATAACAAGACTGTGGCACAGGTAGCCCTTCGGTGGCAAATTGACAGAAATGTCATTATTATTGCAAAGTCATCGCGAAAGGAACGGCAGATGGAAAACATCAATATATTTGACTTTAAATTAGAAGATCAAGAGATTAAACAAATAACGGCTTTGAATCAAAATAACCGGTTAATTGATATCCCGGGCATTCAGAATCATCCGGAATATCCATTTGACAATTAATTGTATAAATAAAATAAATAAAATTAATGTAAATAAAAAGCTATTTATTTTGTTTAAATTATTATTAAATATTTTTAAGGTTTTCCATTATAATTAATAATTTTTTAAAACAATGCATAACACACTTCTATAGAAAAAAATCCTATTGTAATAAATACATTATGTTTAGATCCATTAAATATACCTTGGTTAAAATTAAATTATTTTTAATAAATTAAAATTTTTAGACATTAACAAATAAATATAAATAATTAAAAAAAAAAATAAATTATAAATCAAATTATTCGATGACCTGTTGTTTTATGGGAAAAATCTTGAACTCCTTTTTAAATCGTATGCCTTCCTGTGCGTGAATACAATCGGTATAAAGTGTCGGTACATTTTCAAAGGACAGTCGCTTTATAAGTGATGACCCTTTCGATATATGTCCTTAAATTTTAAAGTTAAAAAATGTTTTATTTATATATTTAATATTTAATAATGATAATTTTTAGTATTATTAATAATTAATGTCAATAAGACTCATACCTCCCATCATTTGTAGAGCACTTATAAGTTCTCGACACTGACGTCTGGAAGGACCCGATTGGCATCCGACCGATAAAATGCCAAACAATGTAATTAGTTTAACAATCAATACAGATAGTGACCAGAAATTCATCTTTTTATTCTGATATCAATTAATTCAATATATAATTGAAAAGATTTTTTTGTTTGACAAAATACAGTATACAGTAGTTACTGAACTCACAAACTGATTCAAAACAACTTTATGTGTCGACGACTCAGTTATATATGAATACAAAATGTCATTTCTCAACAAAAGTTAATCCAATTTTCAAATATTGTAATAAACAAACAGTGATCTCAAAAATATATAAAATATTCAATATATTTAATATTCTACTATATGTTTAAATATAAAAACTCATATTTCATTTGGATTCATATAAGTTATATGATATAACATAAAACATTAAGTATTATTTTAAATTTTGTTTATCTATATTTAAAAATATATTTGTAAAATTTAATATCAAAATATATTAAATTTTAAAAATAATATATTAAATGTACAGTGAAATGAACTAATATTAACTACACATTTATAATTTAGAGCATATGTATGTATATATGTATGTATATACAAGATCACATTGTTTACTACAGTATAATAAAAATATTAAGATAAAACAATATTATTGATACTTTATAATAACTTAACGTTTTTCTAATACATATTTTTTATGTTTATATTAATCATCCTTATATTATCATATTTGTTATATTAATTAAAAACAACATAAATAAAATAAAAAAATAAAATCTTGATGATGTAAAAATAAAAAATAACTTCTAATAAATTATGAACTAAATTAAAATATCTAATATATATATATATAAATAATAGTAAATCAATAAAGATTAATTTTAAAATCCGATTAAAACATTATTTAGTTTATTTTATATTTGATGAATAAATACATAATAAATAATATCTTGATATTTATAAAAGAATAATAATATAATATTAAACTAAATGAAATTAATAATAAATAACTTTAAAATAACAAAATGACATTTTACATAACTATTATTAAATATATTTTGCGCATATTTTGCACTTAATATCATATATATTCAAACTTAGATTAAAATTACATAAATTTAGTTTCAAAAATAACAGAAATTATATGTTAGTATACAACAATATTGAAGTATATTTATTATTAAAAAATTTTAATTTTTAAAATTGTTATTTTTTATTAAGATTTTATTTTCATCTAAGATAGTATTGTACAGTATATCATATATAAATACTTGTACTATACTTGTACTTATACTGTATTAGTTATACAGTATATAAAACTATACAACTATTGTATATTCCAATGCAATATTAATATATGAAAATAATGTTTACTCAATACTTTTTATCATTAATATCAATGAAATAATAGTCAAAAAAAATCTAACCGCTATAAGTACATTATAATAAAATAAATTCAAATTTATTAATCATACAAAAAATAAAATTATAGCATTTATTAAAAAATGTGGTAAAAATGTCAAATAAATAAAAAAAATTTATTGTACTATTTTTCTAAATTGTTAAAGTTGTTCAAATTTAATTTTTAAGTAATTTACCTTAATTATACATAATAGTTAAAAATATGTATAAATTGTTAATATTTATTTCAATATTATTTATTAATAATATTAGTGATGTTGTTTCTAAAAATGAGACAAATTATGAGCAAAACTGGATTAACATATTTCAATCATTTAAATCTTATACTAATTCCTATAATAATCGTATTATAAAAATCATCACCGATAGTGAAACTAATAGCTCAATTAGTCCTATTTGTGCTAATAGTTTAGTGCATTTGTTTAGTAAACTTAGCGAAGAAAAATGGGCCATAAAAAGTAAGTTACAATTTAGATGATAATAATTAAAATTTTATTAATTAATTGACTATTAAGTGTTGGATTCAAGTGGGCGCCTCCCGTCTGGTATATTAAGCGGAACGATCACAAACTTTGGCGATTTTGATCAATGCATTAATATTAATGGATATATCAATGAAAGTCAATTGATTATAAACGGAAAGTATTGTTTGGCAACATTACGACCTCTAAGAAGTGGCAAATTTAAAACAATTGAAATCAACGCAACAGTAGTTAACAGTAATTGGTTTAATCAAGAGATCAATCAATTGCTTGAAGTGGACAATCATTTGTCGTTTGTCAATGGATTGTGTTTTCCTTCAGTTTGTAATACTGTTGAAATCAAATACCTATTAAGTCAATGTATTTAATTTTTTATTTAAAAATTTATAGTTTTCAACTGATTTAAATGTCTAGATTTTTATCTTTTTTGTTGTTGTTATAGATTTTGAAATATTAAATAACTTTGAATTTGATGTCCAATACTGTCAATCCACTGTTGAAATATCTGTTTATAATTGGAAGTTAAAAATTGCTTTGTAAGCATAAATTATAATTATTGATATTAATATATATTTATAATTTAGTTATATATATTTTTTACAGAATATTAATCTGCATATGTATAACACTGATAATTGTTAGCACAATAGTCGATATGTTTTGCAAATCAAATTCAATATTATTGTTGATTATAAAATGTTTTTCATTAATTAAAAATATCAAAATATTGTTCAGAATATCTGCAAAGAATAATAATACAGAATATAAGTTACAGTTTATTCACGGCATTAGAGTATTGGGCACTTTATGGGTCATATTAGCCCATTCAAGCGGTTTTATTTTAACCACTATTTTAGCCAAAGTGTCACCATTTGCCAGATATCCCGAAGATGCCATCGAAAGCAGCAAATCATTAATGGCTCAGTTTATATTAAACGCTTCTCTATCGGTTCAAATATTTTTTACAATGAGGTATAGCATTGAATTATGCATAATATGTTATAAATTTGAAAGTTTGGATAAAACCAACTGTTTTCTAATTACAGCGGATTCCTAACTATGTATTCAAGTCTTTCTAATAAAAATACTAGCATTGGTTTTACACAATTTGTTTTGTTTCGATGGTTAAGGTATTACAAAAACCATAGTTTACATTAAGCTATTATAACAAATATATTATTTTGATTCATTAGATTTACGCCACCATTAATAGGAATGATGTGTTTCACAATTGTTCTGCAATTGTTAGGTTCGGGACCTATGTTTCAATCGGATCTTTTGAAACCTTTTATAAATCCATGTTATGACAATTGGTGGGCACATGTGCTATATATTATTAATTGGGTAGATTTGAGACAAATGGTAATATACTGTCACTAAAACAAGTTTATATTATAATTTATAACACAAATTATATTATACAGTGTGGTGTCCAAACTTGGTATCTATCTGCCGATTTTCAATTACATATAATATGCTATGTAGTCATCTATTTTTTCTATAAAAAACCAACAATCAGTCACTTGTATACCTATTTTATGATACTATTGGGTGCACTCATACCAATTGGTTTGGTCTCATTAGGCATCGCTGGTATACCCAGAGTTGATGTCCTATTTAAACCAAAATACGAGTAATTATTATAATATAATTGGCGCAATAAATGTAAATGTTTGCCTAAATATAAGTTATATGTTTAGAGTACCTGGGCGAGAAACAACACTTTTCTTTTTTGGCACTCATATACATATTATTGCTTATTTTTCGGGAGTTTTAATAGGATTTTTATTGCTCAACAAAAAATATATCAAATTAACTCAGGTTTATAACTAAATAATTATATTTTAATTAAAAAAATATTTATAACAAAATTATTTAATTTAATTTATAAGGGATGGAATAGAATAATCTGGTCAATAGTAACAGTTCTACTAATAAGCATACCGTTTGGCACATATACCATATTACAGGAGGACATTCCGCCCATAAATTATACACTAAGCAATTCGGTATTATTTGTTTCGATATTAATTTTATGGTCGGTATGTATTTCGTGGATTATATACAACTGTGCCCTCAATAAAGCCGGTATTTTGTCAAAACTTCTTTCGGCAAACTTTTTTCAACCACTGAGCCGATTGTCATTTTGTGCTTATTTAACACATATAATGCTTATTTGGTTTAATATAATGCAATTAAGGTTTCCTATCTCCATAAATGTTGCATCAATTGTAAGTAATCTAAGTTTTTATAAAAGTAAAATTTATATTATTTTTCTAAAAAATCATTTGATTACTCAATTTATATATATTTATCATAAAAAGGCACAATTATTCTGTGCAATTGTAATGCAAACATTTGGATCGGCACTTATACTATACTTGACATTTGAGGCACCGTTTGTTAACTTAATTAAACTCTTATTTTTAAAACAAAAGTCAAGAGTAAGAGCAATGACTGGCGATGAAGATATGGATCACTCGGTTAACTCACAAAATACTATTAATATTAATATGAAAAATCAAAATAATAATAATAAATAATTACTATTACTAAAAATTATTCATGTGTTTCATAATTTTAAAATAATAATTATTTTATATAAATTATTTAATATTCAATAAAAAATTATTATAAATAATTATAACTTGTTTTAACTTTAAGTTTAATTTAATATAATTTATAATTAAAAATACAAATAACTATATACAAATATACAAATAATTTCATGTGTTTCATAATTTTAAAATAATAATTATTTTATATAAATTATTTAATATTCAATAAAAAATTATTATAAATAATTATAACTTGTTTTAACTTTAAGTTTAATTTAATATAATTTATAATTAAAAATACAAATAACTATATACAAATATACAAATAATTATATAAGAAAGTTTTTCATATTAATTAATATTCCATTGATTTACAAATAAAATAGTTATTTATGATACAGTATTTTGTTACTATAATTAGTCTTAAGCTTGTAATAAACAAATATTATTAACTAATTTACAAGAAAATAAGTATACTTATACCCAAATGATTGGTTATTGTTTTTATACATTACGTGCTCAAAGCCTTATAAACGGTTAATTAAATTGTTATTACATTAATTTTCTGTAAATAAAATGTTAAATTGTGTGCAAAAATATTTAATTCATGTATATATCACAATATGTTTATAAAATATATATATATTATAATAATTATATAATCACAGACTTTGATTTATGTTTTTCTTAATATGTTTTATAAAGAATATGTATGACTAATATTGAGCACAAATAGTATATAAATATCTGAATATCTTTGAGTTGTTTCAGTAAAAATAGTTTGAAATCAATAGTGATATTTAATACATTATTTCAATTTAAAAAAAATTATCAATTTAACTAAAACATTGTTTAAAAATGTTAAATTTTTTATTTATATGTTTACTATTACTTGTATTGAATGATAACATGCAATGTGCAACTGTTGGTGGGTTTGAAGCTCCCAGTACTGTAAAAGCCGGGGACAGTCTATTATTAAACTGTTCGGTAACTTTCACTCCTGAGGAAAGACCTAATTCTGAGATTAGTCTAACAAAAGATGGACAAGAATTTTATAAATTCAGTCGTAAATGTTTGTTATTTTTGTTATTTTTTAATTAAATAATATTAATTAAAATATTTCTTAAATTAATTGTTGTTAATTGTAGCTATGAATGAGGATTTCAAAACAATTTCAGGCATTGAAAGATCACAAATGGATTCAGTAATGAATATTCCGGGTTGGGTTCGGTTGAATAATGCTAACAAACACTTTCAGGGCAACTATGCCTGTATTGTCACCACTAATGTTAACAACAACCCGTCCACACAATCCATAAATAAATACATTTATTTTGACTCTTCTTTGGGTGATTTCAGACAAAAAATAAATAGTAGTCAACCTTTAAATTCATTGTCTTTGTTATCAATTATTTTGCTAACATGTTTGGCAACAATTATTTAAATAATTATATAAAAGTTATTTTTAAAAATCTATAAACTAACTATTCAATCATATGCAATCTAAAATTTACTTATATTACTGTACATTTGCATTTTGATATATATTTTTAATGTGTTAATAATGCAATAATAAATATCAAATCAATAAATCAATAAATTATATATTACATATAATTACTAAAAAACAAAATGTATTTTATAAACTTGAACTCTATTTTAACACTAATTGAAACAATAAAATTAATTGAAAAAATTAGCTTAATACATGTATAAATATATAGTATACTAAATATATTTAAATTAATGCTAATACATTCTATAAAAAAATAATCTATATAATTGACAATTGGTAGTAATATATTAAATTAAATTATTAAAAATATTGGAAAAATATTATTTTTAATATTTATAATAACAGTACTATTAGATAATTTAATGTAAATAAAGTTGTAAATATATCATAATTAATTTATTTCAAAATTTTTAGGTTAAATTAGTTAATTATAAATATTAAACAACCATTAAAAATAAATAAAATATTTTATTATATAAATTAAATAGTTTTTTAAAGATTAGTTATTACTAGATGCTGAATACTAATTAATTTTTATATTAACAAAACAGAATATCTGAATAATTATATAAAATAATTATATTATGAATATCAAAATATATTGTTTGTTAATACTGTAGCTTAACAATCATGCATTTGAAAATGGCTGTTATACCAGTTAAGTTAATTTTTGATTAAGTTAACATTTTTCTAGTTAATAAAACTAATATTTTATATTATTAGCAATTTCCATTAGTCTATTTTAACAATAATGGCAATATTAATGGGACATTTGTCGAATTTCTTAAAATATTGAATGATAAGTATAATGTTAGGTAATAATAATAATAATAATAATAACAATAAATTAAAATTAATTTATTAATAAATTAAATTTTTAAAATTATAGCTACGAAATTATGAGTCCTAAATCACAAGGATGGCTAGAAATACTGACAATGATTGCTAAAAATGTATTATATATATATATATTACTATTATTATTATCTATAATTAATTAAATTGTTTGAATTATGAATCCCACTAATTATGATTTGAATAGGAAGTGGATATGTCGTTAACTCCGTTAATACCAAATCACGAAAGACTAGCAAATATGCAATTTTCGCGAATCATATTATTTTCATCATATGTTATGCTAAGCAAATCACACGAACAACAAAAGGATAGTAATATCATTGACCACTTGTCGACCATCGGGTCTCATGTTTGGCTAACATTTGTCTTTATCTCAATTATCATATTAATGATGAGCTATTTTGACAGCTATTTATTTGATACATTCAAACAAATAAATTTATGGCATATTATTAGAATGCATTTGAATCAAGGTATGTTTGTAAACATTTTAATAAAAACATTTAAAACAAAATATGAATTTATTATCTATTACTCCCATTTCATTACAGTCTATTTGATTGACATAAAATTGAATGGAATAACAGCCCTGATCTCAATATACATATTGTGTTATATGTGGTTTTGTATACTAATGAACCAATTAATAGGTGTCAAAATAATTGTAGTTAAATCCTATAATGAGATCAATTCAATTGAAGACCTACTGGCTACTCATGGGGTAGTTCCCTGTATTTATAAGTCAACTACACTTCAACAATATCTAAGTGTAAGTATTCCAAGTTATATAAATTATTATATTATTTTTTAACATTTTAAAAGTAAATTTACAGAAAGAAACCGATAATACATTGCATAAAAAATTATGGACTCTCATAGACCGTAATCAAGAATTATCATTACGAGTGATCCCATCGAAAGTGGGCGAAGAGTCTGTCGGTTTCAACAGACTATTCTTCAGTAAACTGGTCAGCGGTGGTGTTGTTATGTTTGAACCTGATTTTCAAATACAATTTGTTAAAAGTGTTTATTGTCGACAAATTGTTGGTATGCGATGGCATCATTCACCGCCAATTGATGTGTCGCCCATTAGATTTGCATTTGGATACAGCAAACACTTGAATAATCAAAGCATTAAATTACTAAATAATGTGTAGGTTTTTGTTTGATTTGTTAATTCATATCAAGTTATATACAGTTTTTATATACAAAATATAAATTTCAGTTTTAATTATCAATATTTAGTTAAGTTAGTTAATAATTGTAATATAATTAAAAAAGGATTCAACAATTACTCTCCAACGGAGTGATGTCCCGTTGGTTTACAGCGTCCGCTTCGTTGGCCGACGCGTTTGGCGGACATAACCAGTCATCAGATCGGGCAGAGTGTGAGTCATCTATCAAACAAAACTTTAAACACCAATACATTTCCATATCGTTAAACAATTTTCAAAAATTTATACAAATATTATCATCAATACTGATACTATCAATATTAACAATTATTATTGAAATTTTCATTAATTATTTTAAAAATAAATATCAAGTAATTAGTGTGAAAATAATATTAATTCAACCAATTATTTTTGTTAAACAATATATATTTTTTTAAAAAGTAGATAAAATAAATATAAGATAAATAATTATTTAATTAGTTAATAAAAGATTTAAAATAATAAGTGTTTTAATTTATAATTATTATATTATACATTACAGATAAACATAATTTAGCAATTATTATAAGTAACGCAAGTTTTTATTGATATTTATTAAGTGTTAAAATTAACAATTTGTCTAATTTGATTTATTAAATTAAATATTGTAAATAATACTTTACCGGTATAACAGATTATTTTCATTTATATTATCTAAAAAAATATGAACTCATTAAAATCAAATTATTTATAATCATTTTAACAATAAAAATATTATTGTGATATTTCAATATTCAATAAATATTTTATATAAACTAATTTAAATAAATTCGATATAAAATTTACAATAGATATTTTTATGTTAAGTTTTTCTTGAAAAATATTGTTGAAAATTAAATAAAAATCAATACCTTATTACAATAAATAACAATTATATTGAATTATAATGTTTAATAAATGATGTTTATTCAAAATAAACTTGTTTATTGAATTTTATATTTTGTCTATTTTACTAAAGTTTTTGTAATAATTACAAAATTGAATAATAAGTAAGTACTATAAATAAATAAATAAAATATTAATATATGATAAAAATTATATTTTCTCTTGTATTTATTATTGATATTTTAAAATTATTATAATTATTATAGTAATTTTAAAATATCAATAATAAATACAAGAGAAAATATAATTTTTATCATATATTAATATTTTATTTATTTATTTATAGTACTTACTTATTATTCAATTTATTAATTAGCTAAACTACTGAAACAATGTTAATATTTATTTATAACAATCTATAATAGTGTTTATTTGATTAGCAAATAATTTTTATTGCAGTTATACATAAAAAATAAAATTATCAATAAAGATAAAATAATAAAATTTGTAATATATATTTATGTTGCATAATAATAAATGTAATGTAACATTTATATTTTTATATTATATGAAAATCAATATTTAATATATAATTTATCAAATATGCTATTATTGTTACAATTTATAAGTAGTATCAAATAGTAAATATCAACTAATAATTTATAGCAAAATTTTGATTGATGAGCAAAAATTTAGCATATGTTTTTTATTGTTTTTTGTTGTTGTCTATTTATATACTTTTATACAGTAAATTACTATTAATTTTTTAAAGAACAATAAAATTTGAATTAAATATTTGTTTTATTTTTGTTTGATTTTTTATTGAGAATATATTTTTTGTTAATGGATAAATCCTATTTAAAATAGTTTCGATATAAATATTGATAAAATATTATAATAATTAGAATAATATGAAAATTATAAATATTTCATAAGTAGATAACATTATGAAATAGGCCATTAAAGAAATTAAATAATAACAATAATATATTTAATAGTTGTCTTAAAACTGATTTAATTTTTGTAATATATTATAATGATATTATTTTAAGTTTGTAAGAACATAAAAAATATTAATATTGAATATAAAAAATTATTAATATTATGAAAATATGAACATAAGATGGGCAACAATACCTGTAAGTTTTTAATTAATTACTTTACTATTATTATTAGAATATTTTATTTGATAATAAATGTTAATAAGTGTATAATTTGCAAACAGTTTTTTCCATTAATTCATATAAAAAATCATGAAATCAATAGCAGTAATCTCTCAATTGATGGAAATTTTGCTATATTTTTGGAAATAATTAAAAATCAAACAAATTTAAAGTAATTTAAAAATAAAATATGCTTTAAATAGATAAATTATTAAATTATATATTTTTTAAAGAAATGTAATAAAAATGCCAAAAAAATTAAATTATGCTGAATTAATAACTATGCTTAAAAACAATGTAAGTTTAATAATTTAAAAAAAATACAAAATTAATATATTTTTTATTAACTATTTTAAATAGGAAGCAGATATATGTTTGACACCAATATTTCCCAGATATGATATATTGACATTCATTTCATTTACTAAAAGCATATTTTCGGCCTCTTATGTAATTATGAGTAAATCAGTGAAATCAAGAAAAGAGTCGGATTTAACTGATTATCTCAAACAAATTGATCCAATGGTTTGGTGTTTTATTGTCATCAGTTATATAATATTGATTGTAATGAACAGATTAGATAATTATCTGTTCAAATCTGGAAAACAGGTTAATTTATGGCATATTATACAAGTATCGCTTAATCAACGTAAGCATAGATTATTGATTTACAATGTATCTAATATTTACATAATTTATTATACTGTATTAATATTATAAGTTAACAATAATTAGATTTATAATAAATATGAATCTTTAATATCAATTATAGCCCACACAAGAATCATACGATTAAATTCTGTGACTTATTTGTTATCAATTTTTATTCTATGTTTTTCTGTATTAAACTTTTCATTTAATTCAATCATAAGAATTGATAAAATAGTTGACAATAATTATTGGGAGATTGACTCAATTGAAAGTATAGTTGACGCCAAAAATGTTGTTCCCGTTATTTACGAGTCTTCATCGTTGGAAACACTTTTCAATGTATCTATTATTTGGAAATGTTATATAAAATAACTTATAATTGTTAACTATATCTTTCCTTTTTAATTGAATAATAAAAATCTAGACTACAAACGATTTAAATTATCAACAAATAAGTCGTTTAATATACAATAATAGAGATCTCTCATTAAAAACTTTTCGGACCGACGTTATGACAGAAAGCGTTGGATTTAATAAAAAACTTTTTAGATATTTATCTGAGGGAAGGATAGCCTTATTTGAACCGGACTATTTTGTTGAATTTCAAAAATGTCTATATTGTAGTAAAATACCAACATTACGATGGCATATAGCACAGGTAGAATTACCTAATATTATTTTTGCTCTGGCATATAGAAAAGATTTTGATATACAAGTTATAAATAAAATTAATTATATGTAAGTACAGGTATTAAAATACTTATTATAAATGATTATCAATAAATAAACTGAAAATTTATTAATAAATTATATTATTTATAGTATCCAATTATTAGTATCAAATGGATTGATGACCAAATGGTTTTACGATACAATTAATGTCAATAAGCAGTTCCGCAATCAGACGACCCAACAGTGCATTCAAAGTGGTGGCCTCAATGAAAAACAGTCGTCACAGTTTTATGACATCAAATTGGTTAACATTAAAATATTTTTGTTGATAATCTTGATATTAGTTATGATATCAATACTATTTCTAGCAGTTGAATGGTTTGTATATATGTGGTTAACATTAATTATAATAATTAAAATATGTGTTTCAATAGTTTGAGGCCAAATAAGTTGATTGCTTTACTCGAAAGTATATGACTCGTGTGACAATCAATTGTCCCAATAAATTGATTAGTTTTTTCAATTGACATAAAATACAGTATTTTCATTAATTACTAATAGACAATGAAATCATAATTATTGAATTTACATTTATCATATTACAATTGATCTATTGATTTTTAATATTTATTAACTTAAACTAAATAGTTTAAAAATTTTTGCTTTTAAAAAGGTAAATTCATTGTAAGTTTTTATTTTTATTAATAATTCAAAACTAGATATAAATTTTTGAATAGATTATTTAAATTTATCAATATTAATAGTTTTAAATAATTTTAAAAATATTATGTTAAACTGGTATTAATGATATAAATTTTTATAATATAAAAGATAAGTTAATATTTAAACAAATTATTAATTATGTAAATTTAATATTTTATAATTCAGTGATTAATAATGTGTTGCATTTGTAAAATAATTTTTTTAGAAAATAAGAAATCATTATTTGAAAAATATATAAACAGAAAATAAATTCAATATTTTTATTATATTAATCAATTTTTAATAATAATAATAACAATAATAATAAGTATGCTTTAATCGCTTATTAAAGGGCAGTGAAAATGCTACAAAATTATGCTAGGTTAGCATAAAAATTAAAGCACAAATAATATAAACAATGTAAATAAAGTTAATTTGTTTCTAGTGTTTATGTTTACAAAAACCATATTTTATCTACAATTGTCTTAATTTGAATTAAAAAACAACAAACTTAGAGAAAACAACAAAATATTACAAATGTCTAAAATAAATTAAATTCAAAGTTTAAATTAATAATCAAAGTATTTGTAAAGTTTGTATATTTATATAATTATGTTTGTTTTACATCTATGCAAATATTTTATATTAAATGTCAATTTTATTATTAATCAATATCATAATATAAATTTTATTAATGACCATAATATAATGTTTATGTTATATTATGATATGATTTTTAATAATATGAGTATAAATGAGATTTTGATAATGAAATATATGTTTCTTATTGTGTTGTTTTAAAAATGTTGATGAAATTCACAAAAAAACAAAGATTAATAAACAATCAAAATATTATCAAAAAACACTTCAAATTACTCTACAATTATTTATAAATTCAACCAAATAGTATACCAACCGTAAACTATTGATTAAAATACTATTATATAAATTATTACAAGTGTTTATCGTAATTAAAAGATATATAATTCAATTAACAAATAGAAACAATATATATTCAAATGTAATATATATATATATATATATATCGTAGTATTTTATTGTTAAAAGGTTGTGTTAATTTGTAGTATAAGATTAAAAGTTATCTCTAAAAATTAATTGCTTATTAAAAATTTAAATAGCGTTTTAATTTTTTCTCATCATAAACAGCATTTCAATTACTAATTATCTGGATTTCAATCACACGTCGATCCTATGAATCTTTTTTTCAAAAAACACCGGTAGCTATAGATTAATAAGATTTATTTTGGTTAATATCATTTTTATTAATTAACAATTATTTTGAAAAATATATCAAAAGTAATGATAAACCAAAATAAGAAAAGAGAAGAGAGAGAGAGAAAGAGAGAGAGAGAGAAAGAGAGAGAGAGAGATACAGAGCGATATTGAAAATAAATTAAAATATTTTTGAGCAAAACTCAAGATTTTTTAATAAAAAAAAGTTAAAACATGTTTTATTATCATATGAATTGCTATTCATAACATGCATCTATGCGTTGTTTTTGCATTGAATTGAATTCAATTTAATAACACAAAAAAATGATTATAAAGTTGTATATTTTTTCATTGTATTATGTGTTTAATATCATATATCAAATATATGGCAATCAATTATTGTGTATAATCTTAGTAGGTGTGGGCGGTGTAGAGCTAGAGCCAGTGCTACCGGGACCTCCACCAGAACCGGAACCAGTATTTACATGCGACAAGTTTTGTCCAACTGTCCCGTCATCGGGACTGTTGTGAACCACAGAAAAAAATCGGTCTTTGAATAAGATTTCATTAGAAATATAGATAAGTATATAAAGGTTTAAATGACAAAAGTATGTGATTTTTGAAAGTAAATTAAATGAGTAAAAAAAGATAAGTAATAGAATTTAACAAATATTCTACAATACCTTCCGCTCCAATCATATGAGGCGAGTCGACCTCAGTGGCACCGGTAGGCATGAGCCCAGCCATCATACCATAGTCTAAGTTTTCGTCCAATGGTAAGAATGTTGAGGCGCCGGTATTCCATCGAGGAATAGGTGTTGTGCGCGGTGTGGATCGGGGTGTAGTTGCCGGTGAATTAAACATAGTTGGACTGATCACACCTGACATTGCACTTACTTGACTCATTGCAGAGGGATATGTAAATAGCTGTGAAAAACATTACTGTTAGTAATTTAATGATCTCCCAGTCCTACTCAGTCAACAAATTACCTGTGAGACAGAATGATGTGAGACGTGAGAGAATGAGTGGTCGTGTCTGCCAAGTGTTGTGAATGGACTGTTGACCACAGATCTGTTAATTGGTGACACTATACTATCGCCAATGCATACATTCATAGCGGCACTGGTTTGAGGCGATGACACTCTAATATCTGTTGTGTTATCTCCGCGCACGTGTTGCACAACAACACTGGCTGCTGATGAGGTGTCGTGTCCACCGTTGACCATCGTTCGGGTCGTTATTGGCGGACTGGGAGATGAATGAACAATCATCTCCGGTGAACAGGACTCTATGGGTGATCGTATTATAGGAACAGGTCTGGCCATAGGAGCAGGTGGTGGTGGCGGCAGCATTGAAATGGACGAGTTGTAGTAATGATGCTGTTGATGGTGTGATGGTGTCGACAACTTAGGACTGTTGTTAGGATCAATATCATTGTTCTGTCCCTAAATAAAACATTATAAGACATGATATGTCATATTTTATAATATATTTCATATAATGTTGGTATGAATAGCAATTTATATACCTGTGAACAGTTACCATTATTTTGAGCCTCTTGACAGACCAGATTCACAAAATCAGACAATGTATCGCCATTTTCCTGATATTTTCCCGGAGGCAGTGAATAATATGAATTTTGTGATGATATCGGACCAACTGATGTACTCGACGCTGAGCTCACATTTAGTACCGGTGAATGTGAATGTGATAAATATGAGTCTTTTAATTGATTTACAATACCTGTTAATAAATAAATAATTATATGTAATAATTAATTACTATTTAACCTAATCAATAAATATAACAGTATTTAACTACATGTACCTGGTACAAACTACCTGTATTAATTTGTCAAAATGCCAAATAGCATTAAAATGTTAACTAAATTAATTAATTTTTTGTTTCCCTTAATTAATGAATAAACAGAATGAATATTATTTTAAATATTTGTTATCGAAAATTGTTTAATAAATTATTGTTAAGTGATAATTACTTGTAAAATTATTATACAGTAGATGTTAATATAAATTTATTTATTAAATCTATATTTTCTAATAAATAATTATATATAATATAGAAATTTCATGGGCCTATAGCCCATCCCACTCTGTTACTAAAGTTAGTGATGCCTAACGTGTGTTCACAACCAGACAACACAATAAAAAACTTTTACACACTTTGATGAGTGGTTTACACAAGAAATAAGAGAAATGTTACCAAAAAAAAAAAGTCAAATTAAATGTCAAATGCTATCAAATAGTGTGACAATTGATGTGATGCTTAAGCTATAACATTAAAATTTTCAATAAAACTTTTTTTTTATTTATATATTTTTTTATGTATATGCAGTAAAAGTTTCCTCAAACATACAGTAAGGCAAAGGATAAACTATAAGAGAAAAATTATAAGCATTTGTATTGAAGCGTTTGATTCAACACATTGTCGGGTAATTGTGAGCTCGAGTTTGACGAGTGTCTCAGCTTTTCATATAAAAACTACTATTTTTATTTAGTACTCAAATTAATGGGTTGTCCTCATAGTGTCGGTCATATTGATTAATGTGTAAACACTATGTGTGTGTTTAGTTGTAAAATACTACACTGTATAGATCTCGGTGCCTATAGGCTTAATTTTTAGGCAAAATTTTTTTTGATAATTATCTCATTAATTAGCATTTAGATACAAATTACTTCACATAAAATTAATAGTTTTTAGTCTGCATTTTTTTAACACAAACCAAATAATTTAATTTTCTTAATTATCTAATATAGTTATCTAAATCTTTTAATTTTATACATTTAAAAAAATTATTAAATTGAATATCAAAATAATAATATTGTTTTGACACAAAATATCTATTTTAATATAAATAAATCAATTTTATACCTTCCCTATGGTGTGAATCATTAATAGATTTATTGGACAACTCTTTAGGTGATTGTTGTGAGCAGTGATAGTGTTGACCTATTTGTGTCACTTCTTGTTTAATCTTGACGTGCGGTGACATATGAAGATGCTGTACACCGGACACGTGTTCAATGTCGGGACCCGTTTGCCACGTCTGAGCATAATATTGCAAATCGTTGGAACTCTTATCAGTTTCATCATTATCATCAATAGTTGTCAACCGTCGCTGACGTTTACTATTGTGATGATGACTGTGCTGATGATGGACATCACTGGCTGGACTAGATGCCGATGCCGTGTGGCTTATAGATAAGTGTGTGTTGTGACCGGTATTGCTCATTATACCGGTTCCCGATGACAAATTGGACACCGGTATCGATACGGCGAGTGTACCGTTTGGGTCATCGGGAGAGTAATTATTGCAATAATAAGAGCCAGCATTTGGTTCGACTTTGATTACGTGTTGCAGTCCTGGAGATTGCGGTTGTATTATAGATGCTGTCAAACATATAATATAATAATAATAATAAGTTATTCAGTTTATTATCAAATCATTTTTAAATCATATAAACTATTGTTCATAAATAATAAATAAATATATAGTAATGTTATATAAAACAAACTAAAATAATACTCGAAACAGTAAATTTAGTAATAATGTTATAATTTATTATATTGTATACTTCTTTGATATTTGAGCATGATCATTTTAATTTTATAATGAAATAAAAATTAGAAATAATAAATTATGGGGTTTACTAAAAGGTAGTCTAATATGTCATACCTTTAGAGAGCCGGTAGAGTTCGGCTGAAGTGAAAACCCCAGTGGCTAACAGTGTATTTGCATTGTTATGTATGTCTCGGTGTCGGCTTATGTTAACATTCATGTCATCCTCACTCTCATTATCACATGTATCGTGAATCCCCCGCAAATGGTCTATACATATAATAATATAATAATAATAATTTTTAAAATGCTATAATAGTTTTATTTTTTTTTTAATTTTATAAGTCTTGCATAATCTCACATTAATTGTAAAAATTATGACTAAATATTTTGATTTATATACAAAATTTCTTTTAAAATTATTCACTTATTTTATAAATAACTAAAACTTTACTCAAATTCTACTCTTTTAAATAGAGATATAGTTAAGATAACTAACATAAAATAAACCATTAAAATATCTTTATATAAAGCAAATTATTTGATTGAACTAAAAGATTTTCAGTTTATTAAGGTTTGTGTAGAAAATATTTTAAATATTTTTGAATAAGCTAACATAAGCAAAAAACATAAATATTTTAAATATATATTGTCTAAATTTATTATAATTTAATTTTTAATTAATAATTTTTATAACTGTATTAAATTTGGTCTATATTTATACACTGCCAACAACAAAAAAATCACCTGTTTTTCAGATTAATTATAAAAAGTACCGTATATTTAATTAAAATGTAATGCAACAAATTATTCAAAATAAACAATCTAATAAAATATTACAGATATTATTTTATTGTTTTGTAAATTACATTCCAAAATAATAAATGTAAATAATTTATATTATTAATTTAACAAATTATAAAAAATCAAATTCTAACGTAACTTTATGACATATTATGAATATAATGTAACATGATATTTTATTTGATAAGTTATTATATTTTTTGTATTATATACTGTATATAAAACATATACATAAGATAAGTTATTTTAAAATTCATGTGATTATTTTCTATGGAAATTTAACCATTAAATATTTTAGTAATGATTTAAAAAAAACAATAAAAAAATATATTTCATAAAAACTAGTAAAAATAGTTTTAAATTATTTAAAAAAAAATATAGTTAAAACATTAAAAAAATAATTCAAGGTTTAAATTATTTTGATATTAATATAAAACTAATTATCGATTATTATTTATAATTGTTTAAAATTTAATTTTGATATAAATTTTATAAAAGTATTTTTTGCCTAAAGATATTTAATTAAAAATATAACGCATTAATAACGAAATTAAAAATTTCATTTCATATGTACTGTACGTAAATTATAAATATTAATTTGTTTTTATTTATTTATTACTTTCTTATTATATCCCATTATAATTGCAATTAACATAGAAATCAATTATTATATGATTTAAGTACACTTAAAATGCATGCAAATAACGTGCAAAATATGGTAAATAAATGTGTATTAAGTAAGTCATACCGTGACTAAATATAAAGTTAGCGAGATATAGGTCCAGTTCCCGGACGGATACGTTAATGTGATAGGGATTCACACAAAGACTCGGATGAAGACATTCAATAGACTTCTCCAGTCTTTCGCCGTCAGTTGATTCCAATGGTATGGCTTTAAACAGTATAACCATAACTAAGTCGAGACGCCATACCTTTTATGGAGAACCACAATATGATATGATATTTAAATAAAAAGTTGTTTTTGTTGGGGAAAAATATATATAAATTTTTAAATGTTAGAGATTTGCATAGAAAATCCACACAAAATTTACATATGTATTAATAATTACTTTGTGCTCTATTTTTGTAATAAAATGTGAAATTCAAAACAAAAATGTATTTTTAAAAATAATTTTTTATCACACAATCTTTTAATACTTCATCTCTCTTTCTCTCTCTCTCTCTCTCTCTCTCTCTCTCTCTCTCTCTCTCTCTCTCTCTTTCTTTCTTTCTTTCTCTCAATTTATGTATTAAAAATAACTTGAAACTTCAATTGACGACAATTATTTCAAAAAATGTTGTCTTTATATATACACACTGTATGGTAAAATGTAAACCTAAAAAAATAATATTAACAAAAATAAAGTTTTTAGCTAGCTTAATATTTTATGAGTTATATAAATTTATATATAATTACACATTACAACTTAATACCATATTATTATTATTATTATTATATAGTGTTAACTAAGTTGTTATCATTTGATATTTTATATAAAATAATAACATCTATCAAACAAAAAGTAAATATTAGTCAACTGAAAAAAATAGACAACAAATTGGCAACAAATCTTACTCTAGAATTTGCCGACAAAGTAAATATAGATATATTTTTATATATCAAATAAAAATATTAAAAAATATTATATAATATCATATATTGTTTATGAAAAAATGTATTGTTTTTTTGTCAGTAAAATAATAGGTACTATATATATATAATGTTAAGTACGCTATGTATGTATGTATGTATGTGCCGGTATGTGTGTGTGTTTTAGGGGGACATACCTTATCTGCTTGTCTGAGACAATCAATTCGTCTCATTTTTCCCTTCTGATCGGGATTACTGAGCACACAATTGACACGTTTTTTGCCAGTGATGCCCAACACGAAGTCCTCTCTGCACTCCTGAGTGATGTCTTTCCTCAGTTTTCCCAACAAACGTGACGCCCATTTCTGCTTCACTTCCAGTCTCTCATTCTGTGTGTGTATAAGACATTGTGTTTCATTGGTTTTTTTCACAATGAATTAGTCGACAAATTATTTGTTACAACAATTTTTTTTATAAATGCAATACATTTATTACATATAAAAAATCTTATACTATCAATAATACTAGTAGTAGTGGTAACTTATGAGTACAGTATAATGTAATACAGTATGGTATATATATATATGGGGATTGAATTTAATGATAAGTGTGTACTAATAATAAAAGTATACAAATATTTTTGTCGCTACTCTTTTGTTGTATTATTTTGTTGTTTTACTTTTTCATAATTTCTCGGATAAACTATTTTTAAAAATTTTAGTTTTTTCTCTCTAATACTTTTTCTGTATTTTATTAGTTACAGTATTTTATACTATACTATAACTTACAGCTGTATTTATGTATTGTTTGCATTGTCTTAATCTATATTGTTTTCATTAAAAAAAATTGGCAAAAATTATCCTCTCATTCATGTCATGTCAATTGAAATAATTACAATATCTTGTATTTGTTTTTATTATTTTTTATATTATAAGCTATAAATTTTTCCTATAATTTTTTGTTCATATAGTTAATTATTATAGACCTATAAAATTGTAAACATTATATATAGTATATATAGAATATTCTAATGTAACTGAAAATAAAAATTATGAGAAATTGGTAAAAACTAAATTTAAAAAAAAATCATACAATATTTAATAAATATTATTTTTTTTTTTGAATAACTAGAAAACATATATTGAGATAAATAGTAAATTAGTCTAAAATATTGACATTACCTGTAATTCCTCTTTACATCTGCGCTCCTCTTCAAGAGTCATACGTTTTTCGTGTTTCTTGAAGTACTTGCGTTTAGCCGCCTGAAGGTTGAACCACGTGTAGGAAAATGACTTGACGTGAGGCAACAGAGCCTCAATAAATGGATGAAATTCATCCTATCATTCAATTGTAAACCATTTAATATTCAATCATTTAAATTAATAACAATAAAAACAATTATATTTATTATATCTGTAATGTATACATAATTATATAAATAATAATATATTTAGAATCAAAATTTAAAATTACAATAAATTATTGATAATAATTAGTTAACGTAAATGATTAATATTAAAAGTAAGTTTAAAGTGTCAATAGGAAAATAGTTCAAAAAGTTTGCTTATGAACTGTCAATGAAAATATAAATAAATTTCATTGACCTTAAATATATTAAGTGTATTTTTTGTCAATTGATTACATAAGACTACTGTTTATATACTTTATACAGTAATAATACAATTATTGGCAACAAAATGTTAAACAAATATCAAAATAATTATGTATTATTTGAGACATATATACAGTATAATACACAGGGATGTAGTTGTGTGTAAATTAGTGTAAAAAGTATATACAACTATACATTTCAATCACATCTGAGAGATTTTTCCCGTGAAAACAATTTCATTCATTTAGAAATAAAATATTGGCTTCAATTCAATTGGAGAGCAAAAGTTTATACATTTTCCTCATTGTTTTGTGTATTTAATTCATGCAAATTGATAGTTAAAAACTTTCCCAATTCAAGTATCAATTATACAATTATTTTGATGTTAAATTTGCACAGTGCAAATTTTTTAAATATATATTATATATAACATATAATAAAATATGATATCAATAAATAACAAAACTATAAATCTGTATATTAATATCTAGTTTATAATTTTATTAAAAAACATCAATAAAATATTACTTCCCACTCAATATATTAATTTGTTTTTAAAATAATACAAAATTTATCCATTTCATCGATATTATTATAAAACAGATATATTTTGACAATATATTTATAAATAATTTGATCTCAATTACAAAATTTCAAGATCACTAGTAATAGTAAAGAGTTTGTAGGAAGTACTGGATTACAACCAATTAATAGTAATTAACTGTTTATTTTTTGGCCATAATATTGTAAACATTGGCACAATTGGCTAAATATTTGGATAGAGTTTTCAAGTTTTGTTTGACAACAAAATATTAATATATATATATATATATTTGAAAACCTGTATTATATATGTTGTTTACATTGCTTTCACAATTTTAATTAATATTTCTAAAATCTTTATAAATATTTTATTTAAAATAACTAATTGTAATAGTAATAAATAAATAAATATAATATAAAATTAATTATCATTAATTAAATTTATCACTAATAGTATGCCTAATATGCAATTAATAAACTCAAGCATATAGAAGTTTGAGAGTTAAAGTGTGGGTTTTTATAAGTTTAACAATAATATTAACTATAGTTTCCAGTAATTATAAAAAATATACAAATTTTATAAAGTATAAAGTAAAAACAAATCTATTATATTTTTTGATTAATTTTGATGGTTATATCAGTATATTTAATTAAACTTTAATTGATTTAAGTTTTAGACTTCTACAGTATAATAATATAATAATAGCAAATGATTTATTTTATTTTTATACTCACAATATTCGGTAACAAATTAAATACTTGTTATAAATGTTTGATGTTTTTTAATTAGCTGCAGTAATATAACATTTTATACTATAATAATTTATGTATCGCTATTTATTATATAATATAAAATACATTGTGATTATATAAAAATTAATCAGCAAAACCTATTGAATTATTAGTCTATAGAAAGTCATAAATAATTATTGTTATGTAACATATTTAAAAAATACTCTCTATTTCTATTGAATTAAAAATATTTATTTATGATATAAATGTTTTAATATTTAGAAATATTCAATTGTATCGAAATATTCAGTTAGCATCAAATAATTTAATTTCAATAAATAAATATATTTTCATATATTTTAACATATTTAATAAAAATATGTAAAACCTTTAGTTGTTTTCAATCTTTTATATAACAAAAATGTTTTCAAACAAATTCAATAATAATTACATATTTTTATTTGTGTGTCAAAAAATATTTCATGACTTCCAGGATATAAGCAATAAACAGATAATTCATATTTTTATTATATATTCAAAATTATAAATAGCTATTTAAAATTAATGACATGTGATATACTAAACTATTATCATTTATATATATAAAATATAGTTAATTTTTGTTATTTTATAATAAGAATAATATTAATTTCATTTATATAATATATATTAATAATGAGCTCTATTTATAACCAAATTTAGTCTAAAATTTATATATTTATGTAAAATAATTTTTAAACTATAAATTTTTTTTGTAATTTTATTTAATAAAAATTATTTATTTTATCTATTCACATAGCATCTAATATTTTTAGTATATTGTATAATGTTTTCTTCAAAAGTCTAAAATACTTTAAAAATTCAATATATCATTATGCTTAGATTAAAATCAGTAAAACTTTTCAAAATTTTTCAAATTTAAAAAGTACTGATAACAATATTTATATAATTATTTATCGCCTATTAATCTTGTAATTATATTAATATAAAATTTTTGATTTTATTATTAATAAACTATCAAATAAATTTAGTACATTAAAAACAACTTTAAAAAATTGACATAAAGTCATAAATATTGACATTTGCATTAAGATTACATTAAGAATATTCTGATATATTTAAATATTTGCTTTAAAAAAAATATTGTCACATATAAATAGAGTAAATATATATAAAGTTTTCTATTTGATTATATATATATATTTAATTAATCATGACATCAGCGTTAAAATACTAATGCAATAAAAATGAATGCCATTGTGTTTTGAAAATTTTAAAAATTAATTGCAGTCAAGAGTCACATAAAAAACAACGTTTTGATACCCAAAAATAGATTCATTTCCTATTACATCAAATAAAAGAAAATGTGTTGAGAGTTACATAAAAAATATTTGTATTAAAGTTAAAAATACTTTTAAATACTGTACATCTTTGGGAAACATATAATATATTTATATTTTATACCAGTATATTGTGTAATTTATAAAAAATTAAAAATAAAAGACAAAAATAATTTTAAAATAACATAACTAACCTGGTTATATTTAATAAGGATAATATAAAATTATTTTTTAAGCTATTATAGATTAATATTGTATAATTGGCAAATTGTATAAAACATATAAACAAATAATTATTTAAATATAAACTTTCAAATATAAAATAGAAGTTATCAACAATTTATGCCTAAAAATGTTAAAAACTGATAATAAAATTTAAATATATTTTGATATCTTAAATAATATATATATATAATTCGATAAAATACTAAAAGATATTTATAAGTAAGTTGTATTGTATGTTGTATTAAAGTCATCTACAATAGTTAAAACACATATTGTTTGAAAATTAAAACATTTTACTTGTCGTTAGTTCACTGTACTAACAGCTTGTATCACATATATTACAAAGAGTAGTATTAAAACAATATATTTATAATTACAATGTCTTAAATAATTAATTGTACACAAAGTATATAACATACAAAAATCTTTATTAGAAATTAAAGTCAATCAAAAAAACATGAAAGTTGTGTTTTGTCTCCTATAAGTTAAATTTATAAGACATTATTATTATTGACTGCAGTGTTTGAGTGATGCCTTTATAGAAAATATAATACTTTTTAATAAAAAAAAATATAAAGTTTTGCAATAAAGAAAAACAAAAAAGTTTGTGTTTTGAATCAATTAGAAGACAAATACAGTTATGAAACTAACAAATATATAGAAAATGAGCGCTCAGTGGAAATCAGAGATATTTTGGCAAAATTCCCGGACTATATATACGAAAAGGGTATTTAAAAATAGGTATTATTTTATCTTCTCTTAACTCATGTGTTCATTAGCTTTCTCGAAGACTATAAATAAATGCTTATATATATAATACAATATATATATATATATTAAAAACTTTTTTAAAAACGTTTTTTTCTAATGATATTTTTAATATGCTGTATGTATGCATATTTAATGTACTGTATAGCAATAATGCATCTTTACTATTAATGTATTATTTATTAAATATGTTTTGGATTCACAAATTGTTTAACAAATAAATAGAAATTACTGCTCAAATAATAAAACGTTTAATATATTAGTAATATGTTTTTCAAAATAAAGAGAATATCATTAAAAAATTATTTGTTTTTTTATAAATTAATTGTTTTTTTTTTAATTATATTATACCTGTATATGATTAGTACAGTATATTTTCCTAATAGAAATCGTTGTATATAATTATAATTGTAGTCTAAATATAAGTCTGTATTAATCACAAATACTAAGAATAAAATATTTCATTCAATAAAATTGATATCACCCTGGTCATATATTACATACTAATGGTGCACACAATAAACAATTTAACCTTAATTGTAAATCATCTTAAAATTGCTGTAAATTTTTTGGCTCCATTTCATTAACAAAAAACTATAACAATAAAAACTAAATGCCTTTTTTTGTTTTGTAAGACATTGAAAAACAATTTCTCTAAGAAAATATCATATTTTATAAAATTTTATTTTTTATATTTAAATTTAAATAATTACCAACTACAGATTTGAATATTAATTAAACAACTTGTAATGGAAAATATTTTTTTGTCATTAAATATGATATTAAGTTCTAAAATGTAAATTCTGCAATATTTGAAAAAAATAAAATAAATTAATATATCAATAGTTTTTAATGTCAAAAAACTAAAATAATGCTACCATTTAGTCTAAAAATAAATGATAGCTCATTAAAAAAAACTACATGAATATAAAGATAAAAAGATTATAATCTACACGAGCAGCAAAAAAATGCAAAATGTTTTTAATAATTTTTTGGTATACATGAAAAACATTAATTTCCTGTCGACATTATTCAACTAGGTTATTTATAAACAAATTTATAAAGTTTATATTATAAGATTTTAGTTTTAAAAATTAGATAAATTTACTTAAAGTACTTATTATAAATAAATAAATAATGTCATACCAGGGGCATGCAGTCCCAGTGTGTGGTGTGTCCGGTGTGTGGGGCAAGTGATGCAATAGTCGTGACGTCCGACAATCGGTAATTATTGGGCGCACAGGTGGTCACCACAACCATTAGCTGGTGATCAACGAAACAGTTGACAAATGTCTGGTTTTCTCCACTTTTGTTTCAAAATATGAAAAAATATTTTCACTCAAAACGTCCGATTTTAAAATGATTTGTATTTGTTTTGTTATTTTTCTTAGTGTCCGATCACTAATTTACTTGATTTGCATTTGTGGTGCTAATTAACGCAATAATTTATTCAATTTATCAGAGTTTCACTAAAAGAGATTTAATAAAAATATAAAAATTAATTTTATCTAAAAAACACTTGTCTTTTACAATATAAATTTTACAGAAAATTGACGAAAACTAATATGTTTTCTAATAAGAAATCAAAAACATTATTTAAAAACTAAATATAACAAAAGCAATAAAAAAATCTCTTTCAAAAAGTTGCAATGTTTTTAAAAAACATACAAAGATTTTTGCGCATTGAGTGATAAATACAATACATTTAAAATAACAGTTTTGTTGGAAAGTATATGTTGAGAGACACACACACAATATGAGAGCATCTCTGAGAGATTAACTTAAAAAAGTTTTAACAAATCAATCGCTACTGAAAAACTACAACAGAAAAAAGTAACTATAAGTTAATCAAAGCGTATCTGAAATTTTTGTTTTTTGATAATTTTTTTATATATAATATATATATATATAGTCAGTATATATAGTTTCTCTCTTAATATACCATAGTATATACAATGTATGTTCAATGATAAGGACCTGTAAAATGGCAAATGATTGGCGAACACACCATCAGATTGTCTGTTACCCCATCCGTAAGGTTCCTCTACTGTTCATATAAAAAGTAGCGCAAAACGCATACATAAATATATTGTTTGATACATTATATACGGTATATATATATATTATATTATTAGTAACAATAAACTATCGAAAGAACTAAACGTCAAAAAAGGTGACGATTTGTTATGTTAGAAACGGTTTTATTCAAAATGTATAAATTTATTTAATATACTTATTTATATTTTTCATTTAATAAAAAACATAAATTTAAATACTAAATAATTTATAATTACCTGTTGTTGTTTGATTTAAATTATGGTAATATTAAAAATTATTATACTTTGACTGATAAAAAAAATTAATTAAAATATCAAAAGCATAAATTGCATATAATTAAATAAATTTAAAACGTTTTTTTATTGCTTATAACGTGAAGTTAAACACAAAAAATAGTGAAAACTTTTTTAATGTTAACTTTTATTGCTTTAAAATTCTGATATTCTGTGCGCATATGTATAGTATGTGCTATTTGTATAGTATTATATAAAAACGTTGTCTAATTTAATATATATTTATATATAGCGCATTATATATGCTATTCATTATATTTTATATTAAAAATATTGAAAGTAAATGATGTACTTTGTAGTTATATTGTTATAAAAAAATTAAATGTCATACAATAAAAAATAATATATTTAAAACAGGTTTTGGTAGCAATTGGTTGTAATAGTGATAACAAATGATATTTTATATAGTATTTAGAATAAGAATATAAAACAGCAAATCATTTACAATATGATGTAAATAAAAGCGTGAAAAGGGGTCTAAATTGAGACACTAAAGTGAGGATAGGGATGATAAAGATAGGGATGTGGGTAGGGATGAGCGATGAGGGGAGTAATGCAGCGCATAGTGTGTATGTTTTTGACTAATAATTTATCAATAAAGTTATTGTACTTTTAAAAAACATTTATATATCAAGTCTTTTGTTAAGTTTATTATTATTATGATATGTGATAACAGTTTTGGTGACACAAATTATCGTAAAAATATGAATGTTATTGAATATAATAATTTAATGTTATTTTTTATAGCAATAAAAACGTTTATATTATAATACAATAGATGAATACAGTAGTTAATAAACAATAAAAATCAAAAGCAATTTGTTTGTTAAATAAACACATATTAGACATGTTTTCATTATATATTATGATTATAGAGATGGACAGCATATTGTAAATAGCTTTACAAAACAAAAACTGAAAATTTTTATTTATAGTATAATTAATTTTATTTAAAAAAAAGTTTAACTAAAAAATAATTAGCTAAAAATAAAAATAATACTAACATACGCTAATGTATTAAATATAACAAATAAGTAATGATATGACAGTCGCAGCTAATATTCATATTTATGCTGTGAATCCTAAATATTTATATATCGTATATATTTGTATTGCCTTTCAAATGACATGACTTTCAATAATAAAAGAAAAGTATTGTTATGAAAATACAACGGACCTTAAAAAGGCATAAATTATATTTCAATATACTGTGTGTTTATTTTGAATAATAATACTAAACATAAAAAATACGATATATAAACTGTAATATATGAAATTTATAGATTATTTTTTATACAATATAAAGTACATATAATACTGTATCTAAAATTATTTTATGTTAAATTTTTTTGACATTTTTTTTATAAAAATTTATTGGAACTATTAATACAACTTTTCAAAAGTACTATAAAAACTATTATAGTTTTAAATTAAAGATTAAAGTGTACAAACATTAAAATGCATTTATCTTTTAAAGTTATCTAAGTTTAAAAAAACTTTGAGATATATTGTTAGGCAAAATAAATTTGATAAAATACATTTATAACTCATATACACTAATATTTAACACTATCATTAATAATAATACAGAAACCAAATAAAGGGTTATATTATTTTTAGATCTGATTATAAAAAGGCATATGATATGACCCAAGTAGTGAAAAAAATATTAATGATCATAAAAAACAAGAAAATACATCGAAAATAGTCGATATTGTTTGGCTAAACATCAAAAATATGTTAATTGAGATTAATTAGTGATGGATCTGTACTCAAAAGTCAACATAAGTTTTAGGTTATAAACAAAGAAAAAGAGTTAAAATTTATATTTATCTATCTATCTATCAATTTATCTATTACTGGTATTATTATTATTTAAATCTTTTGACTAATAAATGATGATTCAAATGAGTGATTTTTTGTGACATTCACTCAGTTTTTATTATAATTAAATGACCTTTTTTTGCTTATTTTTCTATTTAAAATAAACTATATTTAATATTTTAATAAATTATTAGAAAAAAGTGTAATAAAATAATTAATGAATTAGTGATGTAAATCAATACATTTATTTTTATGGTATATAATTTATGTAATAGTTGTGTAAATTTTAAACCAAATAAATAATATTTATTTTTTTGATAAACAATTAATTAACTTACACTGTATATTTTGTATATACAGAAAATAACTATGTAAGTATAACATTTAAACATAATTTATTTGACTTAAAATACTATTGCAACTTATATTGCAAAAAGTTTTCAAAAAATGTCACCAATGTAAATTTAACAATATATTATATTTGCTATAAGTGTTATTTAAAAATATTTAGCTATAAAATTTTAAAAATAATAATTTAATAAATAAAAATCATATATATATTAAACTTACTGTGAAACGCATGTTAAATAATTTCCAATAGTTTGCTTAAAGTTATAATGCAATATACAGTATATATGTGTTAAAACACAATTAAAATCTTAATGTAAACAAACGTCTAATGTCTGATCTCTTGTGAATATCTAAACAATTAAAAAATAATAATTATATTCAATTATATAAACACAAACTTTAATTATATAACATTTATATAACAATTATAACAATCAAAGCATAATGTATAATCTAAATTTTAAAAAATTAATTATAAATTTCACTTATAAAAGAAAAAATGTTTACTACATTTTAAATTAGTTATAGTATATTTAAAATAAATAAATAATTTATTTTAATATTATGAATAATTTATATTTTATTCAAACTAAGCATAAGTTTAGAAAAATTCAAACAAAACGTGTAAACAGTAAATGTGAATAAAAATTAATAACTTTTTAGAAGTATTATTGAAATCAAATGCCTTTTCTCTCACTTTTAAAATTTTTTGTTTATTGATAATTATCTATTGAATTATAAATTAAAAATGTTTTTTAAAGCTTTAAAAATCGTTGTATTTCTTTCCCTAATCTTGAAATTTATTTCATGACTCACATTAAATAATTTATTTCAAACAATATCAAGCATTTGCTGATTGAAAAACAAACTTTATATTTACGTTAAAGTAATTATGGTTTAATTTTTGTAAAATAAAATTAAAAGTAAAAAAACGTATAATTTTAATTCAATTATAAGGCTCTTAATATGTAATTAATATTTTGTGTAAATCACACATAAATTACAACATAATATTATAACAAAAGTAAAAATACAAAAAAGTGTTAAATAAAATAAGATTTTCTCATATAAATTATGAATTACAAACAATTTGTAATTTATTTCATTAACACTTAAAGTAATATTAAAAAAAATTATTTTATTCAAATTTTATAAAAATTTAATATTATTTTGTGCCATAAAATGACGAAATATTAAAATAAAAATTTAAACAATCTAAGAAAATTAAAATAAGAAAATAAAATTAAAGACAATTAATTATGTGTTAAAACAAAAGGATAATTAAATTAGGTTTCACTAAATAAGTGTTAAAATAAAATCAGTAATGTTTTTGCAAATTATTTTATTATAGAAATTAAAAAACTATTTTTGTAATAATTACTGATGAGTTAAGCTATTAATCAATTATATGATGGGATAAACTTATAAATAAAACAAGTGTTATATTCAATGAGGTATAGATTATCAGCAAATTGTTTTAAATCACGAAATAGTAATCACTGGTATTTCAAAGTTTTTTTTTGATAATTATTTATAAGTATAGATTTGTGATGAATATTATGTTTAAAAACTAATTATAATCATATAAATATTAAGCAAAATTATTACAAATATTAACTTTTTTACATTGATTAATTGATTAAAGTTAAAAAATAAAACTCATTAAAACTTATATAAAAATAAATTAGTAATATAAATTTATCTGGTCAAGTTTTAAAATAAATAAAAGTAAAATAACAAAATAATCTTACACAATATAATCAATTCTATATATATTATATAGTATAAACTAACACATAACTAAATATAAATGTGTTTCATTAAACAATAATTAATATAAATAATATTAGAAAACACACGTTTTATAAGTAGGGCATATATACAAAATTGATTACAATTTGAAAATGTATTAAAATACACTGTACACTAAAACACAAATTAAAAAAATTATTTCTATTTAATTTAATTAAAATAAATATTGTAGTTAATTTAAAACAACTAAAACATAAATAATGAATCACATGAAACAACAAATTTTGTTCACATAATTGAACTATAGGTTTGTCAAATCAAAACAAATAAATAATAATATTTTATATGTAAATCAAAAAATAAGAAACAATTGAATTAGACATCAATGGAGTGGACTTCTCCTATAATAATATTAATATAAATCAACAATTTTTGTGTAGTTTTTTGTTTTGATAGACATAAAGATGTTATGAAAAGTCGTCTTAAGACATCATTTGCATCATATAAGCCATGCGTACAAAACAATTATGAGTTGTTTGGGATCGGGATTGGGCTGGGATTGGGAGCATTGATAACATAAGTGTGTGCATATGTGTGTGTGTTTGAGTGATGCTATAAGTAAAAGTATTTTTATCCAAAATAAGTTTGCTTTCATTAAACGGTTGGCTGTTATGTGCTTTTGGGACGTATATGCCATGAGATGAGGTTAGGGATGATGTGATGCGTATATTTTTCAATGTACTGAATATGCTGTATATGTATGGGATGTGTGAGATGGGAACATATGGATGGCTCAGTATTTTTAGTTTTTAAACTCTCAGTACTGAACATGATTTTAGGACCTGACATCACTACACATACATGAGCTTTGATTTGTTTTGTGTGTCAACTTATATATAGATTTTAATAATAAAGTTTTTATAATTTATCATTTATTCTTAATTTATTAGTTTATATACGAGTTATTTAAAATTTATACTTTTATTGTTTTTATTTACTATATGATTTAATTTTTAATATTTTGTAAATTATCAAAATAAAATAACAAAATTTTTAATTAAATTTGATATCAATCTAAGTTAACAATTGTTAAAACTAGAAAGTTTTCGTCGTTAAGATGAAAATTATAAAAATAATAAAAAGTTTAATAAATAAAATTTATATTTAAATATAAAATATTTCTATTTATAATTACAGTATAAGTTTAGTAAGTTATTTAAGTGCTCAAAATTAATACACTTTAAACAGTATTAAGTTTAACTAATTTATTTATTTATTTATTTAACAATAGCTTAAATTTTATTTTATCTTCTATATACTGTATTATTTAAATATTATTATTATTTTATAATAAAATAAAAAATAAAATTTTAATTAATTACAATAAATATATTGTGGAATTTTTTTATTTAATAAAAATATGAAGTTCTATGAAATATTAGTAACAAAATAAATGTCAAATTATTGTTAGAAACATTTATTATAATAAAAAATATTTAGATATTATTCAATTAAAATTCATATTCAAACTACAAATTTAATTAATTTTTGTTTATAAAATATCATTTTGTTATTATTTTATATTAACTATTATAAAAAATATTACATATAAAATCACATGAAAATAAAAATTTAATTATTAAATATAAATAAATTAATTTCATAACATATCAAATAATGTATTCAAATAGTTTTGGACAAATAACTAAAAATATTTTTGTTTTAAAAAGTGGATTATATCTATAAACCACTTAATTTACTTATATGTATGTGTCCTTTATAAAACAATAGTATATTAAAACTTTCGATAAAACAAAAATTTTATAAAATTTTGTTTTAATTAATCATTTAATTTAAAATAAATCATAAAATGTAATTGTTTAGCATATAGTCATAAGTCACGCTATGCTTACAAAATATAAAATAGTTAGTATAATAATTTTTATTTATATAATTTAATTTAAATTTTTTATTTGTATTAAATTTTAGATTAAAATTATTAATATTTTATATTCAAAATATGATATCAATCAAACAAATAATTTATATGTTAATGAAACAAACTATTATATAAAAAGTTATATTGTATATTTAATATATATTTGATAATGAATTAATGTCACAATTTTAACATTGAAAAAAATATTGTATTAACCAAATTGTCAGTATTATAATAATCATAAATATTATTAACAAAAGATTATATTCTTTACAAATTATTAATAAATATTTGGTTAAGATTTGCGTCAAAAATTGATAAGAAATATGAAAACATAAATAACATAAAAAAATTTTGATATATAGATTAAAAACATTTTATCTAATTTTGTTCATAATTTTATTTTACTTATTTCATTACTTATATCATTTTATAATAATTTATATTATTAATTTTATTTTCTAACAATGACATTAATAATATTATCCTATATTATCAATAAATCATAATTTATTTTTATTTAATAATATTTTTAAAAAACTATTATAATTTTGTGTTTGTAATAAAAATAGCTTTTTGATTTAAATCAAAATAACTAATTGATCACATTTTAATTATGAACAAGAAATCCAATCAAAAAATATCATATATATTAATATAAAATTATTTTTATATTTTTAAAAAACTTTTAATGCAGATATAAAAAAAATGTCTTTTTCCTCAAACTTGAAAACCAGAGAAAAACTATTTGTTATCAAATCGTGTGAAATGCAAATTCAATTAAAGCAGTTATTTGTTATTATTTTTTTTTTGTTAATAAATATAAATATTATAATCAAAAAACCTTCAAATTTGATTATAAAAGAGTGAGAGTGAGTGAGTGAGTTAGTTAAGGATATTATTAGTAATAATTTGAGTGTTTGAGACATGAATACAGTCGAACCCCAATAATGTGTTTAATAGTGAAATGTGTAACACAAATATTCAATTAGCTATGTTTTTACATTAACCTTGATAAATTATTTGCATATTATTTATTACACAAACACTATATTTAGTAATAATAATAATAACTTAAATAAAACCTACATTTAATATTTTAACGTAAATACTAGTTATTTCTAGAAATAAAATTTATATTTTATAATATATTATTTTATACTATAGTTGTAACAAATGTTTTAATAATAATATAGAATATGTAATTAAATGTTTGTTTTTAAAAATATATTAATTGTAGTTTTGAAAAAATACTATTACTTGAATTAAAATATAATTAATAAATGTTATTTGTGTAATAATTGTTTTGAGTAATTGAATCACGATTTTCATCAAAATATATTTAAAATTAAATAAAAATTTTTGCTTAAATTTAATCAAAATAATCACGAATTCTATTAAATGACATTTAATTATTTAATTTATTTAATAAAAACACAATAAGATAGTATTTAAATCATAAAATATTTAAAAGTGATAATAAATAGCCATTTATTATTATTAATAATAATAAATAAAAAAAATGGGAAAACTATTTTTTCTGATTATATGATAGTTAAAAAATTAATATATAAAACAAGCAAATAATATTAATAATTGTAAACAAGTTTCTTATAAAATTAATTTATATAAAAAACAAAATATTTTTTATAATAGCAT